TTCAGTACTCCGCGGGAACATTTTAGGTCCTAACTTTTTTGAGGTTAAACTTTTTGCCCCTTTTGTCACTTGCTGTTATGGAAAATTTTATTCTAAACAAAAAAGGTGCTCTTGTAAGAAGTGCTAAACTTTGGCCGTTTTCGAGAAAAACCAGGTATAGTGCGCCAATGTCAAGCAGTATTTTTTTTATAAAAAGGGGGTGACCCCTGTCCAGTTGAACACCACTGGTTGAACCTTTAGGGCTCGTATTTTAGGGAATACAAGGTCTACTATCATACATTATTTGTACCAAATTTTATTGAGATCGGTTAATAGATTCCGGAGATACAAATAAAAAGTCAATTTCACCACCTTGTATCTCTAAAACGAAGCCGTTCCAGACCTATGTTTATAAGGCAAACACCTACTATTTTAAAGAGATCTATCTGTCCTCGAAGTTTTCTGCGTAAAATTCGGACCACCCTGTATATGATAATACAATTTTTAATTGATATTTTCAATACATGTTAAAAATAAAATATTTTCTAAAGATTCAGACAACACACTGACATTATTCTATTGCCTTTCTGACTCAAGAAACTTATAGTTTGGCTATCTAAAAGTGGTAATGTTTATATCCTTTCGTTAAATGTTAACCTTTTCGATTTACTAAATCGTCGGATTAAAGCAACCTCTACCCCACCTCTACTTCCACTCACGCTACATCCACTACATATCTAAACTTATTATTAGAAAATGGAAAAGTTGATACGATCTTACAAAACTTATACTCGTATTAACCCGTTTTTTGTGTTATAAATAATGGAGTACACTCTATTTTGTTATTTCAGTGTGCATTGAATGAAATTTTAATTTTCTTATTAATTAGTCCCCACGTAGCCCATTTTTTGCTATAGGAATATAAATTCATGAAATGGAAAATAATAATATATTTTCCCTTAATTTTGATATCGTGAGCAATTTCGACTATTATGATTATGACGAAATATATTATTCATGTGATAATTTCAATCATAATTTTATATCGCCACAGTTTTTACTTATATAACTAGGTACTTACATTCGATTATAGTATCGCTTGATTACAGGGTACAGGGTGTACTTAAATTATACAGGATGGGCCACCAGTAACGCCTCGGTCGCTAGTGACCAAACGGCAAATGTTACAGAAACCTGTTTAGGTGGGTATGTGTAGGTTGATTACGGCTACATTTTAAAAATATTTTGAAATATACAGGGTGTCCAGGAAAAGCGTACCATATCAAAGTTATGTTTTTTTAAATGGAACACCCTGTATTTTACTGCATTTTTGAAAGCACCGTAAAAAAATAGGTGAACTTTATTAAAGGTTCTGCATACCTAGGACTTATTGTTTGTGAGATATTTCAATTTTAGTGAAAATGCAGGCTTAGCGTAGAAATTTAATATTAGCAATAAAACAATTATTTTAAGGAAGCAGCTTTGGGGGGTCTACTTTAGATCCTTGAAGTTATAAATTGTTATATTTGTCGTCGCTTACTATTATACAGGGTGTACAAAAAACTGCTGACTACTTCTCTCAACTTTAAACAGCAATAACTTGGTTATTTTAAATGGAACACCCAGTATATTTTTACTTTGGAAGTTGAGAAATTTAAAACTCTTTCAAACTGTGTATAGGTTCCCTATACCTATCTCTAACGGTATTGGAGATATTTGTGCCGTTACGTTTTTTATAGATTTTTTTTGTAAGATGTATCCACGTGTCTTTATCGAGGTCTTTATTGAATTGATTTGGGTTCTTCTTGAGCAAAGTTCAGTTTTTTAAAATTTAACAAGAGTAAAAAAAAATTTCAAATTAAATTCTCCTGTGAATTAATATTACTATTTTTCAATTCGGTCAATGAAAAATAAGTTCAGTACAATTTTAGGGGTGAGTCATCCCCAATGCACACCTCGTAGTGCTTCGAATAACTTTAAACTATACTCAAAGAAGAGCAGTAATAAACCTAAATCATGTACCAAATTTGGTTCTTCTACGGTAAAGTGTTGCAGAGATATTTTTTTTTCGAAATTTAGGGCCCCACATTGGGGGTTAATAACGCCTCAGGGGTGCAACTTTGTATACAGGGTGTCCGGTAAGTACCTCCTAATCTCTCGGGAGTGTATAGGGGAGGTCAAAATAAAACTAGTCCTTCCTATAATTTTTTTTCCTAATGTGCCCCCTAACGGAGTTATGGGGGGTCAAAGGGGTACCTAGAAATTAACGTTTAGGGTTATAACTTTGAAACCACCCTGTATATTTTAATAAAATTTTCGTACGTTGTATTACACATGGAGCTCTACGATTTGATGCTAAAATCAACTTTTTGCTATTATCAGGTGTCCAGAAACGGACTGGCCCTATCACAATTTTTCTCAAAATTTTGACAGAAGTAATTTTATCAAACTGAAAATATTATTATTAGATACTCTGAAGGTTTTTCTTTAAAAATGGTACTCTTTATTTATTTCGAAAAAATGAACGGTTTGCGAGATAAATCGGTTTTGAAAAAAATTGGTAACAAATACAACAACAATTAAAATTTATTTTTTTACAATAAAATCATTCCCGCTAGTGCCAGCCTACAGATTCACCATAAACATTTACTGGTGGTGAATTAAGGGAATGAATAATGCCGTTTCTTGTAAAATCAACATCTATGACCAAAATACATCTACAAATTATTATTGCTCTTGTCTCCATGGAGTTCTTTTCTATTGTTTTCGTTGTTAGACCCTGTTGATTTTAAAGTACTTGTCAAAGGCGCGTGACAGAATAAAAATTCAATTTTATTGTGGTATTCGTTTTAAGCCGTTAGAAATAACATTTAAAAATGGAAGAATATTCCTGTGCAGAATATGCTGATATGCACCTAATTTATGGGGAAGCATTATGCAACTCCGTGGAGGCAAGAAGACTTTATGAGGAAAGGTTTCCGGGTCGACATTTGCCGAGTCCAAAAACTTTTGAAAGAGTTGATCGTAGTTTAAGAGAAACAGGTAAAAAAAAATAGTGAAAAACGTTAGTGAAACTAATTTCTTCCGAATCCTTTATTTAGGAAGCTTTTTGCCACGCCGTGGTGGAGCAGGAGCCCCGAGGAGAGTACGAGACCCTCATGTAGAGGAACAAATATTGGAAGACGTTGCTAATAATCCTTCAAATAGCATAAGGAAGCTTGCGGCGCAAAACAATGTTACAAAATGGGCTGTACATGAAACTCTGAAAGAACAATTGCTTTACCCGTACCACATCCAAAAAGTACATGCTATGTCTCCAGATGATTATCCAAAAAGACTTCAATACGCCAATTGGTTTTTACAGCATCATATTCGGAATCATAATTTTGGTACATCTATTTTGTTCACCGATGAAGCAGGTTTTACAAGAGACGGCATAATTAATTCGCATAATCTACATGTCTGGGATGAAGAAAACCCTCACGCTTTAGTTCAAACTCGCTACCAACAAAGGTTTATGGTGAATGTGTGGGCTGGCATTATCGGGAATCATTTGATTGGTCCATTTATTCTGGAGCAAAGACTTAATGGTGCTCTTTATTTGCAATTTTTAGAGGAAAATCTAAATATTTTGTTAGAAGAAGTGCCCCTTCAAATAAGAACTGAAATGTGGTACATGCATGACGGTGCACCACCCCACTTTGATCGTTTAGTACGTCAACATCTGACGAATGTTTTTGGTGATCGATGGATAGGTCGAGGCGGACCTGTATTATGGCCACCTAGGTCGCCCGACCTAAACCCATTAGACTTTTTTCTGTGGGGTCATTTAAAAAATAACGTTTATTCAACACCCGTAAATAGTAGAGAGGAACTTCTGCTGAGGCTAACACAGAACTGTGACCATCTCCGCAATAATCACGGAATATTATTTCAAGTGCACCGGGAAAACATTCGTAGGATTAGAAAGTGCATTGAAGTACGGGGTGCTCATTTTGAACATCTACCGAAGTAACATTTAGGTACCTTTGTTCATTGTTGAATGTTCTTTGTTGCATGTCTTGTAAGTAAGTTATTTTTCAAATGTTATTTTTAATTGGTCACTACTTGCTCATAAAGTATAGCCAACCCGTTCAAAGATTTCTGGACTTGATAAAGTTAAAGAAATTAAATGCATGAAATAATATGTAAAAAAAATAAATTTTAATTGTTGTTGTATTTGTTACCAATTTTTTTCAAAACCGATTTATCTCGCAAACCGTTCATTTTTTCGAAATAAATAAAGAGTACCATTTTTAAAGAAAAACCTTCAGAGTATCTAATAATAATATTTTCAGTTTGATAAAATTACTTCTGTCAAAATTTTGAGAAAAATTGTGATAGGGCCAGTCCGTTTCTGGACACCTGATAATAGCAAAAAGTTGATTTTAGCATCAAATCGTAGAGCTCCATGTGTAATACAACGTACGAAAATTTTATTAAAATATACAGGGTGGTTTCAAAGTTATAACCCTAAACGTTAATTTCTAGGTACCCCTTTGACCCCCCATAACTCCGTTAGGGGGCACATTAGGAAAAAAAATTATAGGAAGGACTAGTTTTATTTTGACCTCCCCTATACACTCCCGAGAGATTAGGAGGTACTTACCGGACACCCTGTATAGGTAAGTTTGGTTAAATTACAATATTTTGGACACCCCTACATGCACCTGTCCTGTGTCAGTTCTTATGAGGGACACCCTGTATATCGAAATTTTTTAAGTATTTATGCTATTTCTTTGAATGGAATCTAGAAAGAGAGTTCAATATTTTTACAACAATAACAACAGGTAGGGAGATAGATTACAGTTTAACAAGTCCCGTAATCTTGAATTATTACCATCATATAGACCGTACAAGACAATTTTAAGCTCTGATAACTCATATAAATCGTTTTCAACGACAATCATTTTTACACCTGGGACTCATCTCAGTTTCCATCAAACATTTCATAGAACTGTATCGAGCAGGAAAGATCAGACATGTATCAAGTCTTCCTTCTACTACTAATCAGTCTCAGTGTACAAAGTGACGATTTTACTCTGGTCCATTTAGACGGTTTGCATCCAATTGCGAGAAACACAAATCCCAGATCTGAAAGGTACCGGGACGTCTATACTAACCACAATAACTTCAAAGAAGTGGTGAACTCTTATTATGGGATTGCAAGAAGACCCAACCAAAGGAAATTCGAGAGACTGCCTGACATACTACACGATATAAGCGTATTTAGAAGTTTTCCTAGACTAGAAAAGGTCTCACCGGTGCAGCTAGAAAACTCTGCAAACTTGGACAGGATTGATTTCCACTACCCTAACATAGACAGGAGTGAAGAACTAGAGTCGAACTTTGGTAGCTTCACAAACGAATATCCTACGGAGCAAAATAGGTATGTCTTCATGCAAAGTCAAAAACTTGTAGCAAATGAAGAGGAAAAAGGAGACAAGTACAAGAGACCCGTGTACAAAACTACAAAATATAACCATCCGAAATCATACGTGCAAAAAATTCCGAAAACAACTACTCCTACGTATGAAAATAAATACGAGGAGCTAAACATAAGGAACAACAGCAACTCTACTTCGACAAAGGGCAGAATAAACCAATTATTGCAAAGTTATCTGGGAAAACTCTACGAAAAAAAATATAACAGCACTTTGTCCGATGTCCAACCTAATACATCATCAAGACTGGAACAGGAGCAGAAATCTAAGAAACTCTTAGACGTCAACACCCTGAAGAACTTAAAGAACAATGCCATAAATAAAATAAATAAGATTTTCAGTTTGTTCACTGTAGTTCAGTTCAATAATACTCAATGCACGGCGAATAACACGGCTGGCGTTTATCAAGGGATTTGCTATACCGCTTCCCAGTGTACCAGCCAAGGTGGTACCGCTATGGGTGACTGTGCTAATGGATATGGCGTCTGCTGCGTTTGTAAGTAGATATATACAGATTGTCCTTGAAATAAAGGTATAAAATGATCTATGATACAAAAAAATGTGTGTCGAATGACGTGCATTCATAAAATTTCCACTAGATCGTTGGTTATTTTGGCGACATATAAACTAATGCATTATTTTAGGCCAGGAAAATAAGCTGGGAAATAACTATTTCGTGACTTTTCGTTTCGGCAAGCTGAATTTATAACTATAGATGCTAAATATTATGTACAATAACGTATTAGTTTCCACAGTCATACAAATGGGGGGAAGATTGTTTACAAGGTGGTTAATTGTATAATTTTTATGTAAATTCACGTTTTTCGCTTATAACTTTTTTCCGTTCATTTCCACGAGAAAACAGTAAAGTACTTTATTTTTCGTCGTCAACCTACAAAACTAGCGTAAAAAAATATTGATTAGATCAAAAGTTATAAACAGAAGAATTTATTACTTTTGAATGAAACATTTATAAACTGCGTTATTATTACTAGAACGTTTTGGCATGGCATCCTCTCAGTCCTTATCACTGTCTAATAACTCACACGAAATCGGGAATCGGTAAGTTGAATAATTTACAAGTTATGGCCTTATAAACAAATTAAATAATTATTAATCTGAACGATCCCTAGGATATTCCACAATCGCAGTGATTTTTATCATGGTAGATTTCATAATAATACATTGAAATCTATCATTTTTTTTTAATTTTAAATTTGTAACCTGGAAATTTGTTTTATTTTTTAGCCTTAGTTGCAGAATGAAATATACGACGCACGCGCGTGATATATTTATAAATTATTGCATATTCCGAAAGCTTATGAAAAGAGCTTTAAGTTAAAAAAAATCGTCAAGAATCGTTGAAAAACAACGGAGACTGTCAAAATTGACGGCCTATTGTTAAGCAAATTAGGCTGGTAGCGGCGGTTGTCGAAACAAAAAGTCGCGTCCAAATCTATATTTCCTGGCCTTTAATGTAATAATAATACAAGACTCGTCGAAATAACAATAATAATAACACAACGCCAAAATAACCAATGATATAGTGTGTAATTTTATATAAAAAATTTTATGAGTGTAATTTTTTACTGTAAAGACATACAAATCGATTTTGTCATTATAAAGGATATAAATAGCATACCATCCGTAGGTACATTGGGATATTTCCATTAGTGTTTGTTATTGTTGCTGTTGATCAATACTTAAATAACTAGCCACTATTATTGGTTGTTGTTGGCACTGGCAACTTATAATCATAATAAGACGTGATACAGTACTTTTTCAGATTGTAACAGAAAATGAAACAATGTGACAAATAACTTGCCCTGTTTTGTTTTATTTTTGCGTGAAATCATTATTTTAATTTAAAGAACATAAAACTAAAACGAACTTGTCAGACAGTTGTGACGTGTTAAACTATACCTTAATTGGGCCATCTATTAACAGCAAGTTCAAATAATACCTCATACCACTGTCCTCATTTTATTTACTAATAGAGAGTATCCATATCCAACGTCACAAGTTAATAACAATGGAGTATTTCGAAAAAAAAAATTTAAATAAAGTTTTTAGCAAAATTGCTTGTACAGTACGTATAACTTTTATTGTAGAATATTTTTTTATGCAAACATCGTATTCCCGCATTTAAAGTTATTTTCAGAAATTCTTATTGTCATGTCAGTCTTGTCCCTTTTTGTATATGATCGACGAAGATAGAATAAGGGGCTTATAACAATAAAATATTCCAAAATATTCCAAAACGTATCGGAACACTATGCAAAATGAACGGCACATTACAATTGTCAAATAGAGAATAACCAGAATTATTTTTATCAGGTTATGAACTAATAACAATTTATTTTTCACTCACTGCCTACTTTTGGACCTGCACTATAAATACATTCATACAGGGCGTTCTATTGAGAATGGAACACAACTTAAAAAGGAGTTTTTGCACTAAATTTCAAATTAAACTCTTTCCTTTGCTGCTGAACACCTACTGCATAAGTCCTCTTTTAGTTATAGGCACTTGTGGCGGAAGCGGAAGTCAAAACTGCACATACTTCCAGAGCCCCAACTATCCCGATTATTACCCATCAGACGGCAGCACAGTGACGCCTACTACTGCAGCACCCACGAATCCATCTCCTACACCGGATCCCAGGCTGCCATGGGATTATAACATAAACGGTTGGGGCAGACAGACTGAAGATGGAGTCTATGCTTGTACGTTTAGCGTCAGCAAGTTGAACGACAACGTCTCGAAGATCAGGATAGATTTTGAAGACTTGGAGGTAAGTAACTTTTTCAGCATAGCAACAAAACTGGAGTAAATTATCTATTTTAGCTGACGGGTCCAACAAATGGTACTTGTACGGACGAAAGGCTGGTAATATCAGGGCAGAACGCCAACAACCAGGTTCCTGATATTTGTGGGTACAACACTGGCCAACACGGTAAGTTAGGGTATAGATCTTTTATCAATTTTTTGTTACTTTTGAATTGTAGTCTACGTAGACGTGTCGTCCCTGTCAGGACCAATACAACTGTCTGTCCTGTCCGCTTCTGGAGCTAGAAAACGATTCAGAATTAAGATATGCCAGTTCGACGACACATGTTTGGAACCATCCAGCAATTGCCTTCAGTACTATACTGGAGTTACAGGTGTTATATCTTCATTTAACTACGATCAAGCTACGATGCTCTCCAGAAGCACTCCTGGGTATTTCGTAAGTAGTTCATAGGTTCCAGCCATTTGAAGCTGACAAAAATAAAATAGGCGCACTCGGAATAATTCTCTAGTTCATCACAGAGAAGGGCTCGAATCTAATACATTATAGTTAAAAACTGACGGTTTAAAAAAATATCTGAAATAAATATTTGTTCATAACAAACCTATTTGCATTCTGTGTTCTGTGTTGGTGTTAGTGTAAGCTTCTAATGAGAATTATACTTAGTGGTTTAATAGAAGTTTTCACCCTTTTAGTAAGCAGTGGAAATAATTTTTACGAAAATGGCACACAGATTCAATAAAAACGAACTTGTGGACATGATTTTAATTTATGGAGAACGTCTTCAAATTTAAAAGAATAAAAGTGTAGATCCCTAGATCTGGGCGAGGTCCGGAACATTTTCAAAATTGCAAAAATGTTTTAAAAAATTTTAAAAACACCTATTTTATCTAAGTTTTTTACTTATATCTTGGAACCTATGCATTTTGGAAGAATATTGAAGAGGAAAAAAAGTTTTAGAATTGAATTTTGCGCAATATACTGTAAGTTAAAAATGTTTAAATTTATTACCGAATATGCAAAATAGCAATAATTGATGAAAAAAAGGCAAAATAATCGAGTTTCATGAATAATTTTTTTTGCATAATTTAATTGCTCTGAGGACACACCAAATTTCATTAAAATCGGTTCTATAGTTTTCGCAAAATAATTTTTTGAAAAAATAATTGAAAAAACATTTTCGCAATTCAAAATGTTGCACAGCCTCAAATAAAGCATCCATAAATTTTTAAAATTTTCACACTCTTTAATTTTTAAACAATTAGATTGCATTATCTCGGCTTTTAATAGACCAATTTCAACCTTTTTTTATTCGAGGTCTCGCGAGCCAAGGAATTCGAATGTCGTAATGCCAACCGTCTAATTTGCACATATTTTGTTATAAACAAAGTTTATTATTTTAGCATTAAATATGCTGTATATTTTACCCTATGCTATTGCATTTTTTCAATGAAAAAATTTGTTTACGTATACATTTCAACACTGAATATGAATGTATTTAGTTATAATTATTACAATTATTTACATAATTTTTGTTTAAACAAATTAAAAAATATATATTTTTATTTGGAAATTTGTTTTTTGTTAAATACAGATAAAATTAAGAAAAAATAATACTTTAAAATTATAATTTTTGAAAAAAACTAAATTGCAAATTGATAAATGTAATTTAATTGTTAAAAAATAAAAAAAAGAGTGTTAACTTTAAAAATTTACTGTGGCCGTCCTAATCAGCCGATTTCAATTTTTCAAAAACCATTTGAAAGGTTGAGCGGTCTTTTCTATGTGAAAAAATTTTCTAGTATCTGGACGCTTTATTTGAGGCTGTGCAACATTTTGAAAATTCGAAAATTTTTTTCAAAAAATTATTTTGCGAAAACTATAGAACCGATTTTAATGAAATTTGGTGTGTTGTTTTATTATACTCTAAAGTTTTTTTACCAAAATTAGAATGGTGACTATGTGGTTGTGCTTCTCTTGGAATGGTATCCGACAAGATGGTCCCAAGGTTTCACTTCCACAAGCCATTTGAGACTCGAATAGAGGATCAAAGCAAGTGGGAGGAAAGGTTTAATACCCTGGAAAGGTGGAGCCTAGTATGGTTTACAGATGGCTCCAAAATGACCAGAGGTACGAGTGCAGGAATATATGGACTCAGACCCAGATGGAGTGCAAGCTACAGTCTGGGGGAGTTCCCTACTGTATTCCAAGCAGAAATCTTCGCGATAATGGCGTGTCTGGCAGAGAATGTACGTAGAGGTTATAGACGTAAACTCATATATATATTCTCTGATAGTCAAGCTGCAATTAAAGCTTTAGCCGCACACAAGGTAAGTTCAAAACTGGTGTGGGACTGTTTACAAATGCTGACTGAACTGGCCACCAACAATACAGTCAGACTGTGTTGGGTGCCAGGGCACAAAGGCATTTGTGGAAATGAGAAAGCGGATGAACTTGCTAGGAAGGGATCCGAGACAGTGTTCATTGGCCCGGAGCCCTTCTGTGGCACATCTCCCAGTGTGGTCAGGCGGGCTCTGGGCAAATGGACAGAGACAGAACATAGGAAATACTGGACTTCAAGGCCAGGACATAGCCATTCTAAGGAGCTTATGGAGTATCCTTCGAAGGGAAGAGCGAATGAGCTACTGAGCTTGAATAGAATCCGGCTCAGGAGAGTGACAGGACTCATAACGGGACACTGTCACTTTAGGAAACATCTACATAAGCTAAAGCTTGTAGACAGTCCAGTCTGCCGAGGATGTGAATCAGCGGATGAAACTTCTCTGCATATCCTGGGCGAGTGCCCGGGATTTGCACGTAGCAGAATGACGCTCCTTGGGAGACCCTATTTGGAACCCAAGGAATTGAGAGAAGTGTCAGCAAGGAAGCTTTTGGACTTTGTAAAAAAGAAAAATCTACTTGCTGAATAGGACTAGTAGTGGGACGCACAATAGGCATAATTAGGCCGCAGTGCTATGGGACTTTTTAAAGGACCAACCACTAGATGAAGATGAAGATGAAGATGATGTGGTTGTGCTTCAGTCCGAACTTTATAATGTTCGGAAATAGTTTAATTTAAAAAATTCAAAACTTGTTCGAAAATTTTTGCAGTTTTGCCCATTGTCGCAGTTCGGCGCTCTGCTGACATCGTCGGCTACGCCTGTTGGTCTTTGGAGGCAATCGGAATTTCGTGGAATATTTCGGGAAATTTTCAAAACATGAGTGAAATTCTGTTTTGCCCCTATTTTCCGATGTGCGTCGTAAGTCATCTGCGATTTCGTCGTGAAGAACATTGTTTTAATGCATTTGATCATATATTTATAAAAAAAAATTGTTGAATTTGTTTGAATTAGCTTTAAAAAAAATACTAGAGTAAATAATAGAATATATGTTTTTTAATGGCTTCTTTTTATTTCAGAACAACTTGAACTATGCAATTTGCATCAGAAGGGAAGAAGGGTACTGTTCAATCACGTACAGGAACGTAGTGAACGGCGTGGAATATCCGTTTCAATTCACCAACGTAGACGACTGTAAGTCCTGTAAAAATAATTCATCCACAATTTTATCTTTGACTTTCATGATACCTTTCCAGCTGGAAACATGATCATCGTGCCAGGACAAGCCGGCGCCGACATCTTCAACTGCCCGGATGACTACATCGTGATCGACGGTACGAGACTATGTGGTGACAAATTTAATGATGGCAGCGTCAACGATAATTTCACGATGAACGCTGACGTTACGGGTAAGAAAATATCACAAAACACGTCTTTAAAATAGATGTATTATTTGCTAACTTGTTTTTTCACTCTTTTACTTTCTTTGAATGCTTTGTGGTAGAATGACAGTTTTAAAATTATCATCCTGTATCACTGTATATAACGAGCGTTCAAATAAAAACGTGGTCAAGTTGGTTCTGAATATTTGGACGTAGGGCTTAGCGTATAGCAAATGAACTTAAACGTCATCTGTCAAAGCGCTATATCGCCGCTATCAATTTGAATATTTTCGTTTTAAAAAGCGTTTAAAATGGTGTTTTCTCAAGAACAAAAAGTGTTTATCATAGAGTCCTACTTTAGAAATGGACGCAAGATTGATGGAATATGGAAGTATTCTATTGAGGAGTTTCATAGAATTTCAAAATCAATTTCCCGGCGTTGTTGAGTACAAAATTTTTCAAAGTGCAGTTCAGCGTTGTGTTAATGTTTTTCGTGAAACGGGCAGTGTAACAAGAAAAGAAGGAAGCGGCCGACCTAAAAAGCGGACTGAAGAATTAAAAGAAAATGTCCAACAAATAATGGAAAATGCGCCAAGAACTTCTGTACGTGTTTTATCACAAATGGTGGGAGTATCAGTCGGTACCACACAGTGTTAAAAAAAGATTTGCGTTTGTTCTCCTATCGTTTAACTTGTCAGCAATAACTTCATGAAGTTGATTTTCCGCGACGGGCTGTATTTTGTGAATGGTTTTTAAACAACTACGGCGAACTTCATAATATCACATTTTTTTCTGATGAAGCCTGGTTTCATTTATGTGGTTACGTAAACTCACAGAATATGAGAATGTGGTCTTCTGAAAAACCAGATAACTTTTTTCGTCGAGGGCCCTCTACACGCTCAAAAAATTGGAGTTTGTTGTGCTCTCAATCGAAGCAGGATTTATGTACCTATTTTTTTTAATGGTACTCTTACTGCGCAAAGGTATAGAGAAGAAATTATCGCTCCTTTTGTTAACCAGCTGGAAGAAAACGAAATTACAAACTTTTACTTTCAACAAGATGGCGCAAGGGCACATACGGCAGGCGAGACGATGAATATGTTGAGGGAAGTTTTCCAAAATCGACTAATAAGTCTCAATGCTGAACGTGAATTTCCACCGAGGTCATGTGATATTACGCCGTGTGATTTCTTTTTGTGGCCTTACCTTAAAAACACTATTTTTGAACTGCCTATTCCTGATTTAAACCATCTGCAGGCTCGACTTATAGACAAGATTCGTGAAACTAACAATACCCCGAGCATCTTAGAAAATGTCTTTAATTCTTTGAGGAACAGGTGTGAAAAGTGCTTGGAACAAGGAGGGGGACACTTTCCGCAGCTCCTTTAATTGTTTGTTATTGTTATCACGATTATTCTTTAAAATAAAGTTATATAGTCATTAACGTTATTGAAACTGACAGCTGCTATACAGCTCGTTGAGAAATGAGGTTAAGTTGGTCGCTATAAGCTACTCCCTACGTCCAATGTGTTAGAGCCAACTTCGACCACGTTTTTATTTGAACGCTCGTTATTTTAATTAGCACTGGAAGTAAAGGGTTAGATACAAAGGAGAAGGAATAGTTTTTTTGTCTACAAAAAATTTTGATATTTAAGTATCACGCATTAGTGCAACATTTAAGGTTTTCTTTTTAACAAATTAAAAAAGCATTGTATTATTCAGGGTGTAACTTTCAGTGGCGTTCAGTTTTTTAGAGTTAGTAGTACCACATAGTAGTACGTGTTTCCCAGAATAGTTACAAATCTGAAATTATTATAGTTGAAGTTGTAATTTGTTTTTTAAACTTCACTTAAACTCTTGTCTACGCCATTACTGGGCAGCTCACGAACTCGGTTGTATATGCGCGCTTATCAGCTTTGCCTGTTATTAACTAACAAAGTCTCAACATGCAATTACAAAATTATATTGTAAAAACTTTATTTTTGTATTATTTTTCAACATGGTAGGTATTTTAAAGTCACTATAGTTTTTTAATATCAAAAGGACGCCGCGCCTTATAAATGTGTATGTATAAACGTTTTGGTTCACTCTTTGCTTTTATTATAAATTGAAGTTCCATTCTCAATCGATATTCTCATTAGTTTAACAATAACATTTAGTCCATTTATGGTTGTATGCGTTTAAAATTACCTATCATATCCCAGAATTATTAATCGGTAACAAAAACCTTTGGTAGTAGGCATGTAATTTACTATACAGGGTGATAAAAAAGAGTGTAAAATATTTCAGGAGGTAATAATATGAACCAAAATAAGCAGGAAAGTCTTAATAAACATGGGTTCGCAAACTAACGGTTGCGGAGATATGGACCACTATCCGTTTTTCAAACATTTTATTTTATTAGGAATAAACCGACAAAGGAAGCTTTTAACAAACAAAAAACAAAGTTACAGAAGATTTTCAAAGTGCCCTCCATCCATTTCCAAGCAGGCACGACATCTTCGTCTCGACGATATTGGAACACCCTCCTTGGTTTGGATTTCTTGACACTTTTGATTAATCCGTAGCTGCAGCTCTTCCAAACTATTTACAGGAGTACCATACACTAATGTCTTCAAATATCCCCAAACAAAGAAATCTAGAGGGTTAAGATCAGGCGATCTTGGAGGCCATAAAACAGGTCCGGCCCTTCCTACCCATCTATGTGGAAAAGTTTGGTGTAAATGCTCTCTAACGGCCATGGAAAAATGAGCTGGAGCACCATCATGCTGGAACCACATTTGTTGCCTCTGATTCAAAGGAATGTCTTCCAAAAACTCATACAGTGTGTTCTGCAGAAAGTTGAGGTAAGCAGCGCCTGTTAATCGGTTTGGTAAAACAACAGGACCTAGAAACCTGTCACCTACAATACCCATCCAAATGTTTAATGAAAAACGTGCCTGATGTCCAGATTCTATTAGAGCATGAGGATTTTCGTCGGCCCAAATATGCGTATTGTGAAAATTAAACACTCCATTTCTTGTGAACCCGGCCTCATCAGTAAAAAGAATGTTTGCAAGAAAACGAGGGTCTTCAGCATCATGACGTAGAAACCAGCGGCAAAAAACCAAACGTGCTTGATGATCATTTATTGGATTTAAGGCCTGTACTCGTTGCACATGGTATGGATAAAGCAGTTGCTCGTGAAGGATTCTCCAAACAAGAGGACCACTAATTCCTACCTCGGCTGATATTCTCCGCACACTCGTACCTGGATTCTGCTCTACCAGTGCTAGAATTTCTTCTTCTGCTCTAGGAGTGGATACCGACCTTGGTCTTCCGGATAAATGGCACTGTTTGCTCAAGGAACCGGTATCACGCAATCTTTGGTGAATTCTTCCAAACATGCGTTGTGAAGGAATCTGGCGATTTGGATAAGCGTCAACATAAAGACGTCGCGCTTCGGTGGCGTTCCCATTAGCACGACCATACATGAAATGCATGTCTGTTAATTCTGCGTTAGAGTAACCAGCCATAGCGAAAGAAAACTTGTGCACTGAGAACAACTGTCAAATACGTACTGTTTATTTCACTAAACATCAACCAACTATTATAAGAAAATACACAACGTTTTTGCAAAATAAAAAAAGGGGCTAAAAAACATAAAACATTCCATATCTCCGCAACCGTTACTTTGCGGACCCATGTTTATTGAGACTTTTCTGCTTATTTTGGTTCATACTATTACCTCCTTAAATATTTTACACTCTTTTTTTAACACCCTGTATAACCTTCTAGCGGTTTTCTCAAATATTGATTCTGAAACTGGATCCTCATAATTAATTTAATAAGTATATCTAGAAGGCCACGATAGAGAGAGTTTCTGAAAATAAACAATTTTCATTAAGTAACCTGTGGTGTAAGCTGTCAAGTGTTTCAGAAAATTAACCAGGAATTATTACGCGAACCTTAGACCGACCCTGCATCACCCCACTTAATCAACTGATTAACTGTTTACAATGCAGTAACTAGGTCAAGTTCAGTGTTATTTATACGGCGCTGGCGCGGGCGTGCCCTTCTTGCTCTTATTGTCTTACTGAGAATGAATATGATTTAAATATTACTCCCAAAAACAACAACTGAATCCCAGAACAGTGCAAAACGCTGCAAAAGACTGCGGGGCACCTGTAGGACATTTTATACCTTGTCGAGGGGATAATCTAATTATTGTAACTTTCTCCATGTTTAGGAAAAAAAATTAAAACTAACCATTCGATTCGTGCGTCCCAAAAAAATTTTAGAGGTACGTCCTAGGTTTTAGTAGCACACACTGTATATTTTTGTAAATACAACTGGAACATATTCTCTTGAGCCCTGGAATCCGCAAATCAAAAAGAGAGAACACTTGGTGTAAAATGAAAAAAATATAAGCAGCAGGTAACCCATATGGGCTCCATTCGTCACTTCGCTACTTTGCTTACAACTTTGTTTGCAAAAATTAAGCTTTGATTAGATAAAATTGAGTTTACCGCAAAAGTTTGATCATTTGCAAAAATTGGTCAAAATCTTTGCGACTTACAAAAGAGGTACTAATTTGTACATAACTACATAGCTTGGAAAGAAAGAATTTTTTTCCGCATTTTCGATGGTAAATTAAGCAAGGATATTGTAATTTCAGATACAGGAGCTGGACCAATAATTGTACCCGTTAGAACCGATTCGATGGTAACTGGAATGGGCTTTAAGTTATTTTATACCCAAAATAGTTGCGCTGGTTATTAAAATTGTCGTTAATAGTAAATATACTTATTATAAGTTATTATTAGTAATTATTTATTTACCTTAAACACCCATTTTTCCAAATAACGAGCGTTCAAATAAAAACGTGGTCGAAGTTGGCTCTGACACATTGGACGTAGGGAGTAGCTTATAGCGACCAACTTAACCTCATTTCTCAACGAGCTGTATAGCAGCTGTCAGTTTCAATAACATTAATGACTATATAACTTTATTTTAAAGAATAATCGTGATAACAATAACAAACAATTAAAGGAGCTGCGGAAAGTGTCCCCCTCCTTGTTCCAAGCACTTTTCACACCTGTTCCTCAAAGAATTAAAGACATTTTCTAAGATGCTCGGGGTATTGTTAGTTTCACGAATCTTGTCTATAAGTCGAGCCTGCAGATGGTTTAAATCAGGAATAGGCAGTTCAAAAATAGTGTTTTTAAGGTAAGGCCACAAAAAGAAATCACACGGCGTAATATCACATGACCTCGGTGGAAATTCACGTTCAGCATTGAGACTTATTAGTCGATTTTGGAAAACTTCCCTCAACATATTCATCGTCTCGCCTGCCGTATGTGCCCTTGCGCCATCTTGTTGAAAGTAAAAGTTTGTAATTTCGTTTTCTTCCAGCTGGTTAACAAAAGGAGCGATAATTTCTTCTCTATACCTTTGCGCAGTAAGAGTACCATTAAAAAAAATAGGTACATAAATCCTGCTTCGATTGAGAGCACAACAAACTCCAATTTTTTGAGCGTGTAGAGGGCCCTCGACGAAAAAAGTTATCTGGTTTTTCAGAAGACCACATTCTCATATTCTGTGAGTTTACGTAACCACATAAATGAAACCAGGCTTCATCAGAAAAAAATGTGATATTATGAAGTTCGCCGTAGTTGTTTAAAAACCATTCACAAAATACAGCCCGTCGCGGAAAATCAACTTCATGAAGTTATTGCTGACAAGTTAAACGATAGGAGAACAAACGCAAATCTTTTTTTAACACTGTGTGGTACCGACTGATACTCCCACCATTTGTGATAAAACACGTACAGAAGTTCTTGGCGCATTTTCCATTATTTGTTGGACATTTTCTTTTAATTCTTCAGTCCGCTTTTTAGGTCGGCCGCTTCCTTCTTTTCTTGTTACACTGCCCGTTTCACGAAAAACATTAACACAACGCTGAACTGCACTTTGAAAAATTTTGTACTCAACAACGCCGGGAAATTGATTTTGAAATTCTATGAAACTCCTCAATAGAATACTTCCATATTCCATCAATCTTGCGTCCATTTCTAAAGTAGGACTCTATGATAAACACTTTTTGTTCTTGAGAAAACACCATTTTAAGCGCTTTTTAAAACGAAAATATTCAAATTGATAGCGGTGATATAGCGCTTTGACAGATGACGTTTAAGTTCATTTGCTATATGCTACGCCCTACGTCCAAATTTTCAGAACCAACTTGACCACGTTTTTATTTGAACGAATAAGTAAATTTGGTAAAACAAGTGAAAAACAAAAAATTCAAAAGTACTGACACTTTGCTGCTATCAGAAACTAATTTAGGGGAGTTGAAATAGTCTATCAACTTTTTAACCAATAATTTTCGTGAGCTTTCCAAGGAAACCCTCGTATATGTCCGTGACTATTTAAATTTCCCGCCCTATTATTCTATTTCTCTGATCGATTCACTTCGAACTTGATGAGTATTTTAACTGGGCTCTCTTCTTTTTCCTTATCGAATTATTTACAGAGTCGGGTTATCCCTGGAATTATAACTCATAAGAGAAAAATAGTCTTTATTTGTCTCTTATTATAAAAGAAGGACAAGCGTAGTCACAGTAGGTAAAAGGAGGTTCCTCTGGTCTGAAGGCAAAATAAAATCTCAGGAGACCGCTCCTTCTGTTTATAATTATGTCCTGACAATGTACAATTTTATAAACTTAGTACAATTTTGAGGAAAATTGTCCACATTAGTTTTTCTTTCGGAGAGAGCCCTACTTTTACAACTTTATTTGTCATCATGTCATAATCAAAAACATCAGCACCAACAACAAAGGAGAATGTTTATTTCTTTACCTAGTTCTCATACTATAAAATATGATCAGAACTCTATCATTTTAAATTTACAAATTGAAGGGTATATACAGGTTTCAACCTGTATAGGTCATAGCATGTAGAACGAATTAAATTATAAATAAGACCATTCATTACATTCGTTTAAATTTGTGGGAAAATTGCCTTATGGATACAAAGGTTTCAAACTCCCACGCAGCATTTTCCTTTTCTATAAATGCTGTTACGTGATCATGTGAATGCCATTAATTGTTGTTAGTGGAGAATACGACGTAACAAGATTACAATTATGCCTACATCTACTTATTTATTAAATTCCACCATCTATATAAATAGCTATAAGCCACTCCACCTATTTTTTATATTAATTGATTAATTTTTAAATTTATTAAATCCAAAAACATTTCAAAGTAACATTTCTTTGAAAATCAATGCATTTCGCTGTTGTCGAAATCTATACTTTCAAATTCGCATAATAAAAACAATAGGGGTCGCCATCTATGAATGAGTAAATGAACTAAACTATAGTACGATCGTATACGATGCAAAGTAGAGCAAAAAATTGTCGGTCTTTTATCAAAGGAAAATCGTGTCATCATTTTTAGGAGGCGTAAGTTGAACCGTTTCAAATTTAAAATGAAATTGAATGTAAAATCTGAAATACCGCCGCATACGCACTGTGTTCTGGTACTAGCTGTAGTCGGCCAGGTGCATCGAGTGTACGAAGTGGTCGGTTATACGTCAAATACTAACCTGGCGAGCTTGATCATAGAGCAGGGAACAATAAACAGTGGCGCGTACAGAGGTGAAATGTACATATGTGGAATTTAAATAGCGAATTGGATTTATAATAACTTACATTTAAAACAAATAGTTTATGAGAATAAAGGGATTTTTATAGGAACAGGGTTCCAGACGTGAACTGATCTCTTCATCGCACCCCATTACGATTCTTTTTTTTATAAGGAGAACGAAGTTTCAAAGCAAAAACCTTGTATAACAGATATACTATAAATATTTACAGAATGAAAACAAAATATAAATCCTATGATATGATTCTATCAAATGAAAACACTAACAACAATTCTCTACCAATCTCAACAAAATAAGTTATTTTTCTATCAAACAAGAAATGTTAACAAATTATAAGCAAAATATAAATTCTATGATTTATGTACTGTACGCCAAACTGCATTTTTCTCATCTTCATTTAATATTAATTTCTTCTTTGCACCCCCTTTTTTAGGTTTCTTAACGTCTCCTTCAATTTTCTTCTCTCTTAAAATTTTGAAAACAGATAATTCGCTTACTCCAGTATATCCAGAATACATTTCCACCAAACCAGTCTTCAGTTTCATGGAATGATCCTTTTCTAAAGGGTTATAGACATTTAATATTATCGTTTTTTCTCTGTAACTTAATATAGATTTTTTTGTACCCACAGCAGTACATCCGGCTCGCGAACATCCAGGCACCGCCTCCATTTATCCATATAACGACAACAGAGCAATAACAATAAAAATACTTCACTTCACTAGCACAGAAAATATAATTGCATTCACGATTCACAAACAACAGCCCTAAAGACACAAACAGCACACAAATAAAACACAAAAAACACTTTTGTTACGGAGCACAAGAAATATGATTTCACTCACATATTCTCAAATAATAGCGCGAAACACACATATAGCCCGAAAGAAATATAATTGCACTTATAACAGTTATAACCTCACAAATATCGCGAGGGAGAAACACGCAGCACCAATACGACCGAAACGAAACTGACCACGCCAGGCCGGCACGCGCGCCGCCGCAAAAAACACAAGCACAAGTCATATGAGGGATAATGAAGGGAGTAATAAATGTATTGTTGTCCTGCCGCCCAATGTGCGAAGGAGATGCCTTTGTTTTTCATTTTGTCCTTCATAAATATATAACTGTTAATCCATAATGCATAAAGAAATTATTCAATTTCCAAAACCCCCTATAAAATGTGTTGCACTGATTCCCTTGACAGGCAATGATTTATTACTTTGCATCGAATACGATCGTACTATAGGCCATCTAGGAAATAATATGTGAATTAGTGTTGACATGTAGTAGAGGCGTTGATCGAAATATTCTCCCAAGATGTCTAACACTTCAGAAAAAACACAACTCGTCTCTTTCCCCTTGCATACAAACTTAACCTCTGTAATATGGCCCATCATCTCCGCTTCACAAGACTAACGCATTTCTAAAGAAAAGGTTTTGCTCCGAACTGAATGAAATCAAAATAAATTCAGTTACTATCATGGGCGTGCGGAAAGTTTTGATAAGGTTAATAAATATCTACGAACAGATATACGAGTACAAAAATCCCTCACCATATAAAATAACTACGTATTGGTGTTCAAATAAAATTAAATTTAAAGATCTTTATTAATTTTGTTTAGTACTGAATGAAATTTGACTTTTTTAATGTTTATAAATTATTTGTGAACTGATGGAGAACGTATCAGCAAAAATCTAATAAAAAACACGTAAATTATTTATTTTAAATTGTGATAAAAATATTTGGTAGGAATTGTTAGGTATACAGGGTGTATCACGGAGAGCGCCCAGTAGGATTATCTCAAAAAGTAGTCAAAATTGAAATCTGAAAATTTGTATTCAGAGGTTTATTAAAAAGATCTATTCAATGAAAAGAGTATCAACTTTCTCACACTTCCGGTTATACCGGAAGTCATCATCTACTTTGTTATTTCAAATGGAACATTCTGTATATTTTTGCATTTTTTAATTCTACGATAAAATCTAGATTAAATTCATATAAGGTACTATATGTCAAAATGTGACAGTTTTCAAGTTAATATCAATTTTCGAAAAAAATTGAAGGGTACAAGTGATTTTTTAAAACAGAATAACTCCAATATATAGCTTTATTTATTAATGAAATTTGGCATTGATAATTTAAAAGCAATGGAATTCAACTAGTTTATGTCAAATTTGCAAAAGTTCATACAGTGTTTAAGAACGTGTGACAAATATTGTGACGTTAAAGTTAAATTTACTCAAATGGTACACCCTGCTATATTATTATATTAATGGATACAGAAAAATGTACGGTGGATTTGATGTACTCAAATTAATGATTAATAAAACGTATTTTTTTTATTGTTATACAATAAAACAATCAAAAACAATAATTTAGTATATTAAATTAAAAAAGGCGATGCTTTAAATAAACCCACTGTACTTGTAGATTTTTCTGTGTTGAAATCCATAATTTCCAATTTACAAAAGAACTGTTAACTTTGGGTATAGAGAACTATAGTATCGTTTTAAAGTAATTTTAATTCTGCATCCATAATATACAGGGTGTACCATTAGAAATTTTTGAGTATATTCAACTTCATCGTCACAATATTGGCCACACGTTTTTAAATACTCTGTATGAAAATTTGACATAAACTGGTTGAATTCCAGTGCTTTTAAATTATCCATGCCAAATTTCATTAATAAATAAAGCAAAATGTCGAAGTTATTCTATTTTAAAAAATCACATCTCTCAATTTTTTCTAAAATTAATAATAACTTGAAAACTGTCACATTTGGCCCATAGTACCTTATATGAAAATAGTCTAGAATGTGCCGTAGAATTAAAAAATACACAAATATAACAGAGCTTATGATGACTTCCTGTATAACCGGAAGTGCGAGGATGTTGACACTATTTTCATTGCATAGATCTTTTTGATAAACCCCTGTATACAAATTTTCAGATTTCAATTCTAACTTCTATTTGAGATAATCTTACTGAGCCCTCTTCATGATACACCCTGTATAAAAAAGTGTAATATTAGTACTTCGTATTATATTAGCTATTTTTTTTAAATTTCTTTACATAAAAAGTTAGCATATCATTTTCATATTATTGGAAAACGTAATTATTTGGTGAAATAACTGCTGTTTAGATATAATTAAGGCAGTTTATAATTAAAAACAGAAATAGAATGGATTTTTGATAAATTTCGTGTTGATAACTTCTCAAATTTGAATTATTGTACAGTGAGAATATACACATAAATGTATACAATATATTTTAAATTTCTTTTACTGTTCAAAGAGCGATAACTAACGATACGCCACTGAAAATCGACGGATCCACATTTTTGTAGTCCATACGCAAACCAAAATATACAGCGCATTGAGTTCCACCTTTTTGTAACAGACTACAGATGGACGACACTAGCACATATTCTGTAGTCGGGTGCGTTGGCAGACATTTTTTCTCGTAAGTATTGCTGGTTGCCTATATGCTGAGAGCTATTTTAAAACAATATTTTACGGTATTTTTTTCACGAAATTGTATTCAACCAATCAACAATAGCATTATCTCGACCATAGACTTAACGATTTGTCATTGTTCATTGCATATGAATCATTAATATTCAAGATTTAGGAAATTTATAGTGCAATGTTGGTTGCCCAAACTCGGAGGTCACGTGGCTTGTAATCATTTATAAAGTCTCTGTACATCACATATCACCTGTACATTAGCTACGGGACAATATGCATTTTATATTTGTTCAATTTCAATTAATTTTCAATCAATAAACCCAGCTATATATCTGTCACTAAAGTTAAGTTAGGAGGCCTTCTTGATGTAGGTGGTAAAATTTCACTGTACTGTATCCCGTGAAGTTCACAATTTCGTTTTAAAATTAAAAGAGAGTTTAGTAAATCATGAACTATATTTCAGTAACGAAGAACTTATAAACAAATATAATTTAATAATAAGTAGGAATCTGAATTAATTACATTATCCGCCCGATAATAATCTACACCTTAAAGAGCGAACTAGGAACTGGCAAACGATGATGTACTTTAATTCTCGTCTAATTCCTTCTTAATTTCTATCTCATCTTCGATTTCTGACTTTAAAGCAGAATTCTCATTTTCCTCTTTGTCGACTGTTTTCCCCTTTTTGGACTTTGGGTTCCCATCGTTTTTTCCTTTTTTGTGTTGTTTTAAATGAACCCTGTATTTTTGTACTACCATGAACTTTTCGTTGCACTGTTTACACTGATACGGCGGTTCGCCTTGGTGCATTTTTAGATGAATCTGAAATGAAGCAGCAAGGTGAAAAATAATCGTAAAAATTTATACAAGAAATAAACGTAGGGAATCGTAACACCATTTTTAAAAAATAGAAAAATTTTTTTTTCAGGGTACAAACGTTAGTCAGCTTCGAAGTACTGGTTCAAGTTACCTTCAAATAACTGGCAGACGTAAAGCCTCTCTGGCAAACGGTACATCTGTACGGTTTCTCCCCTTTATGGGAGTCCAGATGCCGACTCAACGAGCTAGACTGACTGAAACCTTTTTTGCACACGGAGCAGATGTACGGTTTCTCTCCCGTGTGTATACGTTCGTGTTTCTTGAGGCTGTTCCCTGCGGTAAATTGTTTGTCGCAGAACCGACATTTAAAGGGCTTCTCTCCTAAATAAAAGAAAATGTAAATACTGTTCTTGAGTATCCTAAATCATGATATTGCATAAAAGTGTCAATTTTCTTAATAGATTTTCATTTGACAAGGAATATGGCTGTAAAATCCTTTATGGTGTACAAATTACATTTTTTTTTTATGACAATGTAGAACTTGATAAAAAAAATCTTAAAAATTATGAAAAAACTATCTGAAGTAATTCTAAGCAGTAGAGTGGCAAAATACCCAAAAAGAAAAAACTATCTCTTCATATACTCTGATACCTACCTCTATGGTCCATCATGTGGATTTTCAGGGCGTTTTTTATACTGTAACTTCTGTCGCACAAGCTGCAGGCAAAAGGTTTGCTCCCCGTGTGCGTAACCATATGGTACTTTAAATTACAAAGGTAAATAAAACTTTTGTTGCACACGTCACACTTAAACGGCTTTTCCTTGGCATGGGCCAGCAGGTGCTGATTGAGGATAACTATCGTCCTGTATCTCTTCTTGCAAATGTTACATTCGTATGGCCGTTCTCCCGTGTGGGATCGAATATGATCCTCTAAAAATAAAGTGACATCATTGCCTGTCCCTAAATATAAGAGTGTTAATGAACTTGTTAAAAATTTAAAGGGGGGAAAAGGGAGCAAAAACTGAGTTAACTGATGTCACAAACTTGTATCGGAAGTTTAAGGTTTTGCGGCGAGTAATTACAAAAAATTCTGTAACACCTTTTACGAGTTTGTAGGTTTCTTATGAAGTCAGACTGTATTCGAAAGTCAGTTTGTAATACATTGTTGTAGTGATTGCTGTGCTATTTTTCGAGAGTACATTTAATAGCAGTATTTCCAAGTTTTCTTTTTAAAATAGCACATTTATTTAGCACTCACGAATATTATGATATGCTCATAATTTATGGCGAAGCAAACGAAAATGTCCACATAGCTTGTCAAGTGTACCATGCAAGATATCCTGAACGACGTTCCTCCACACCACAAACATTTGTTGCTGTAGGGCAAAGAGTTTTGAACACCGGTGAAGTACAACCGTGTTGAGGTCGCGACGGTGGCCCTGGGCGACCACTAAGAATTTTACATGCTGGGATGATTTTAGATCTCATCGAAGATGATCTGCATCGCAGCACCAGAAATATCGCACAGCAAGTAAATATTTCGCATCCTGTTGTGTGGCGAACATTACGAGAAGCTTAGTTGTACCCATTTCATATTCACTTACTCCTGAGGATTTTCCACCACGTCGAGGTTTTTGCGAATGGTTGCTTCAAGAACATGCAAGAAATCCTCAACTTACAGCGCAAATACTTGTTACAGTCAGTCGAAATGGTGTAAGTAACGACCACAACACTCACCACTGGACTATCGAAAATCCACACGAAATACGTCGCGCTGCTTTTCAGCAACAGTTTTCAGTTAATTTGTAGGCTGGTATCAATGACACTTTAATAGAACCTTTTGTATTGCCTAGACACTTAGACGGTGCTTCTATCTAGATTGTTTGCAAAATCAATAAATCATAATATTCAATCACCTAAAAACTTATTTTAACTTTCACATTCACAAAAATAAATTTATTAGACAAAATAATACGGAAAATAATAAAAATAAAAAAAAGTATCGTTTGTTAAATTGACATATCGCGGTTGATTTTAATTGTACAAACTTCTACCAGGCACCATTTTAAAGGTCTTGAAACCAGCTTTCATTTGAATATGGCATTACATATACTTAAATTAACTCAGAAAAAAGTTATGACGAAAATCGTCAAAAAAGGGCAAAAATTGGCCAAAAATCCAAAAAATAGCCAACTTTGATCCAATGTATCTCGGTTTCTATTAGTCGTAGGTACTTCTATAAAGGCTTATTTTAAAGGAAAAAAGATTAACTTTTTTTTCTGTGAAGCAATGTTTATACCTAACTCCTCTCAGAAAAAAGTTGTGGGCCAAAAACCAAAAAGAAAAAAAAAAACGCATTTTTTCGTTTTTTTTTACTCGTTTTTTGGGCATATTTTTGTTAAAAATAAATTTTTTTGACTTCAGAACGTCTCATTTCGATTGGAAATTCAATTTGCTACAATTTTTCTGTTGAAAACTATAGTGAAAAAATGCATAGTTTTCGAGTAAAACACAAAAAACTGAAAATACCACCTTTTTACTTTGATCTCAAAAACGCACCCCTTTAAAAGGTAGCACTCCACGGTTTTATCATTTTTTAGGGTCGATTGAACATATCAAACAATAAAATTTCTGTTATGTTGTAGTTCCTATCTAAAGTACATAGTCAATAGCCTATTGCGAGAGTTTTTGGACGTGCCATTAAATGTTTGGCAAAATATGTGGTTACTGCATGACGGCGCCCCCAACCACTTTTTTCGGAGTGCGCAACTCTAAACATTACTTTTCCCGATCGTTGGATAGGCTGCGGCAGTCTAGTTAGATGGCCCCCGCGGTCCCCAGACCTCACCCCTTTAGACTTCTTTCTGTGGGGATATGTCAAAAGTGTTGTGTATTCCATGAAAGTTTGTGACATCGGCCAACTGCGACATCATATTGCTGAATCTTGTAAAACGATTCGAGAGAACATGGCAATGTTGCAACGTATGCGAGCGAATTGGATACGTTATGCTCAAGCTTGTGTGCAAGCAAATGGTGGGTACATCGAATATCTTCTACGAAAATCAGCAGTTCTCAAAAGGTGGCTCCTTGCAATGTTGAGGCAAACCAGATTTTAAAATTACATTTTACTCAACACAAAGTGTATTTACCTCATTATGACATAACGGACATGTCGCAAAAATATTTGACAAAAGTTCCCTGTATACAGAAAGATACTAATTTTTTAAAACCCTTCCATTCATATTAAGAATCATTGTACACATTTGAAGGTAAGTACTGCGTGCGCACCAACAAATTGCAAATTTGCCAAGTCATGTGTCAAGAAAATTATGAAAAAAAAAAACTATATATTTTTTGTGCTGGTGGGAAGAAACATACCCCCTTGTACCCCCTATAGCCAGTATTACTAAAGGGCAAAGCCTATCACAATCAAAAATGGTCGATTAAACTGTAAATGTGTTATGTTCTGCATAAATACCAGAATGAAACATGTGCAAAACAAAAATCGACCCGTTACGGGAAATTTTTATATTTTGAACTGATTATGAGCTATCGAGAAAGAATTTTTTTAAATTGACAGGGTATGGACCTTACCTAGTGCACTATTTTTCGTGAACCCCTTCTCGCAAATTGTACAATTGTAGGGCTTTTTATTGGTGTGAAGATAGCCATGATCCTTCAGGCTGCCAGCAGTGCCAAACGATTTATTGCAAACGTCGCACTTAAATGGTTTTTCACCAGTATGTGTGCGCATGTGAGACCTCAGTTTGCTCGGGACAGGAAAATGCTTTGTACAAATCGTGCACCTAAACACGGTTTTTTCCTTGCCTTTCACCATTTCCTTGCAGCGGATCATATTGTCCTCCAAACCTAAAAAAAATATAAAGGCGTAAACAGATTACGATTTATACAAATATCACGCAGTACGTCTGAAAACAAACCTAGTTTGTCAGGCTCGAAAGTTCCATGCATGCCCAACATATGGGCAGACAGCTCCGAATCATCAGCAAACTTAATTTTACATAGACGACAGGATATACTATTCGAATTCTCATGGGTTTTAACATGAATATCGTATGCCTCCTTTTCTCCGAACCTCCTAGAACACTTCTTGCCGTTATCATCTGTGTATTCGCATTCAAAACTGGACGGATCTTGTTTATCTACAGGTATGGTCGTTCTGCAATTCTCCAGGTACTTATCGCTGATATCAGTCGGTAAAACTACTGTGGCAAGAGGGTCTTCCGCTCCAAAAATATCGTGATGAACGCCCTCGCTCAAATGGTTTTCGATGTGGAGTTTTAGGAATTCTTCGTTGCAGAAGCATTTCTGGCAAATGTCGCATTTGAAATCTAAAAAGTGGATTTAGTGGATAGTCAACAAATACGAATATTTGTATTCGCAAGACTGTACCAGCCTTGTTTGTCAGTATTCACAAACTTATTTCTATATTTTTATTGTGTTGTCAATATTAAATGAAATTAAGATAGAAAAACCATGAAAATGTTTTCCATGAATTGAAAAATAAAAAAAATCTCATTTTACAGTTTGGTAAAATAGTGAAAATAACATTTCTTTTTTGTTCCTGTTGGATATTTTACATGGACCTGTAGGAAAAAAAAGTAATTTACGTAATCGTCGAGAATTACGTAAATTTCTACAAATCGATTTAACATCCAGAACGGAACAAAAGAAAAAAATTGTAAGGAGCTTTAGCACAAAAATGAGTATATTGGTGTACAAACTTTGGCCAGTGATTACATGTCTAAACTTTAGAGCCAAATTTGTTGCATTGAACATTTTAACACCTTGTGTTTATATGTATTCTACATTGTTGTATCAATAATAACTACTGTTATACCCCTTGTAAGAATAATTTGACACAATTATATCGATATAATGGATAGGATTAACTATTATTGTATCAAGTTCTACAATATCTCGTCTATTCACATTTTCCACTGTTGTAACACTGCTGTTTCTAACTAGGGCAGCTTTCTGCAGTATACAGGAAGGAATATTTTAATCATAATTTTAACGAGATAATTGTGACTTGACAGATGGAATAGCTTCTTTTATTGTTTTTTTATTAGCAAAAGAAACATTTTTTTCTTTAATTTTAATATGAATTCAGTAAGAAATTGTGAAAGCCCGGTCCTCAAATAAAAAACGAAATATTGAATGAAAAAAAAGGGTAAAAATACACGAAACTGTTATTTATTTTCTTACAAACAAAAAAATTCAGAAACCCGGACTTTGTGTTAAAAGCAGTTTTTAATAAATAAAAAATTAAATAAATTCCACCAGTTTTTTTCTATTTTTTATAAAAATAAACAATAAATAATTGATGCCATTCCATGTTTCGGCGGTCAAAGGACTTTTCGTCTCAGAATCTCACCCTCTTTCTACCCCTATATGACTGACAACTATTTTTGGGACACCCTATATACTTTACACACCGCATTTTAGCAATTCTTTAACTACTAAGGTAATTTGCAAAAGGAATTGTGGTAAAAAACTCCTTAGACATACCTCTGAATTTAAGATTAGAAATTGTCCCTATTTCTGATCGATAGTCGGTTAATCGGAAAAATATTCAGTGCCACTGAGGTCATCGAAGTTCTATTGTATTTAATTTTACATTTACCATTTAACAAATTCAGTCGTCGTGAGAGAAGTTATGGAACAATATAATGCAGTACCAGAAGCAAACATAAACAGTTTACCCGGTATTAACAAACGTCATCGGTCGGTGGTCGAACGGTTTGAGGTGTCAATACTTGAATCCACTGTTGCAAGTTTATTCCCGCAGCTGTAAGACCGTATAACAACTATATTTGTAGAGACATCCTCTCTATGGGTATGGTAGTTTGGAGAAACGTTGACTTGGGTCAATGTGAGAGATTGATACTGGTTGGCGTTTGACCACCCCAATAATTAATGAGTATTTCCAGGTTTCCCTCATTCCTGCACTGAATGGTGGTTAGGGCTTAGCAACGTAAGTCGTTCCTGGGCGCAAATACGGCCTTCTGAATAATAATAATATGCCGCCCCCTCTCCCGCACAGGTCTCCGACTTCTGAGTTAATCCTTGTAATTAGTATGAGGGGTAGAGATATTATTATTATCGTCAGAGGAAAATCTAACAATTTTCTTTAAACTGTTGGTAAAATAAAGCAGCAAATTTGACAGACTATTTAATATAGGAAAAATATGCATTTTATTACAAGAAAAATGTACAAAAATATAGTACAAAAAAAATTTTAGTTTTTATTTGTTTAAACCTAGTCTCCGTTTAATCGTCCACAATCTTGTATTTTCCTCTGGAGCAATATCAACTCTAAATTCTTGATTTCTAATTCTTTTTTATAAATTTCTTCCCTGTGCTTTCTATCCATTTCAAAAAGATGTTCCTTTTGCTGCAACTCGAGCCTATACATGTGATTGCTTCTTTTTTCTTCTTCCATGAGAAATTTTACCTTTAATTTATTAATTTCGCTACACGAAATTACTTCTTCATTTTCGATTTTTTTCATTTTACAAGGAGGTCCGTCCTGATCTACAAGATTTCTTTTATGAGAAGAGACAGACGTTTCAGGTTTCTCCGAACCATCTTCAAATACCTCAGAAATCCTATTAAAAAAACAAAATATTTTACAATAATTTAAATTTTACAAAAACAAGCTTTTGCTTTGCAAAAATTTATATTTGCACTATTTACACTAACCTGCTGACTAAAAGAGGATCCCCTGTGATATCTTTTTCATCTTCAGAGGACAGAGATACACATTTGCTATTTTCTTCTACAGACTCATCAATGCAGAATTTTTTACCCTAAAAATTAATATTACAATGCTTCCGATTCTATTTTCAACATATTTCTGACAATTTTAACTTACATCTTCGAGAACTTGTTGAATATCAATCCCAAGGATGTCAAAGTCGCTGGTACACAGTTTCACAAACATATAATCTATCTCGTGTGGTTCCGGAAGTTTCTTATACTTGTAAAACCTTTCTATGTGCGTCTTAGCCTGATTCTTCAAATGGAAGTAAGTTCTAGCCAACTTTTCTGTGTTCCTATCATAGTCATGTTCAGCAAACATGGCGACCATCTTCAACCAGCCGTTTTTCAAGTGATTTTTAATTTGTTCCAACTTGGAATACTTTTTATTCAGCCCCAGTTCTTCAACGAACTGAAGTAACATTAATTTTTCTTCATTGTTCAAAGGCAAATTTGGGTTATTCTTGAATCTTCGCTTTAAAGTAAAGGTTTTTTTATTTTTATTTATAATAGATACAATAATATATTTACCTTGGGCACCACTGGTCTCTGAACACTCACTGAAATTAACAAAAAAAAATTGTTTATCAAAAAGTTGCAAGTGAGACTGTTTGTCAAACTTGAAAACACGCAAATTTGCAAAATGGTTAACGGAAAAATAAATTTATAGAGCTTTTCCAATTCAATAGTCATAAAAAAATTCATTTCTAATTACCTTTTGGTGTACTATCTTCAATAACATTTTTCACTAAATTGGGATCAACAAAAGTGCCGTTCTTTTTCATGACGTTTTTAAAATAGTCTTCACCATGATGCGTCCTTTCGTGAACTCTCAGATATGAATCATCTGAAAAAGACCTAAAACACAATTTACACTTGAAAGGTTTCTCTTTTGTGTGAACTCGATAATGTTTATGCAAATCTTCTTCAGTAAAGCAGTCTCTGCGACATACTTCACATTGATAACTATTCTTTTCTTCTGTGTGGGTCAAGATGTGACTGTTCAATTCAGTAACAAAACTAAAAGTTTTCTTACAAATATTGCATTGATGTAATCGTTTAACTAAATGCATTTTCATGTGCACTTTAAGTAGGGTATCTGTAGTTGTTCGGTGACCACATATACCACATTTATAAGGCGTTTCATTTGTTGATTGTAAACCTTCTTCTTTTATATTTATTTTATCTTCAATTATATCATCCTCATCTATTTGTTCAGATTTAATCGTTACATTCTCTATTTCCATTTTTCTGTCTTGTTTATTTACAGCTTTTAAGTTTAACAAAAAGAATAGGTAATTTACAGTCTTTTACACACCATTATTAATGGTAATAATATTTCTTTTATAAAGTAAAAGAAAATAGATTTAATATAAATAAATATATTTATATTTTTGGGGATTACCACAAAACAAACACACGAATACACAACACACACAAGTACAAGTTGGTGTCACAAGTCACAAGTCTCACAAGTGTCACATCACAAGTCACAACACAGTAACACACAACAACGTACGATCGAACATTGAACAACAGAATAACCCAACCACAGAAGATAAAACAATTTGTGCCCCAACTACTACTACCACCAATAGCTGTATTTGTTTTACACACTTGATCACTTAGGTTAATTCAGTTTCAGTAGAGTTCTGATCAAGTTCGTTTTTTTTAACAAGTGAACAAACCAAAATATGACCAAAATTAGTTCCCCCCTTTCTGATCTAACCTAGCCTACTATCGTGGTTAATATGTGAACAAGGTAACCGAACAAAACATAACCTACCAATAATAATAATCATAAATTTAAATAATAAAAATAAGCCGTTGATAATGGATATGGATTCGTCCGAAAAAGATATGTTGTTTGTAAGTATGTTGGGCACAGTATGGTTGAGAACAACAACAACCTAATTAAACTGAAATTGAACAGACGTCAAAAGTCAAAATTTAAAAAGGAGTAAATGTGTGTTTTTTTTAACCTAAAGTTAGTTCAAATCACGGTCACTTCAAGTTTGGTCAATTTGACCAAACTGAACTAACCAAGTGGTCAAACAAATACAGCTTATTACAGCTAATATTGACTTTTTGAACCGAGTTGAACATATTTCGTCGCAAAAAAACCGCTTTCGACTGGTCATTAAACGCAGTCATAATGAATGTCATTTGATAATTTGTGATATGTGGTTGTATTAGCTGGCTAAATACCCTCTGGGTGAAGGCCAAAAATAAGAAGAAGAAGAAGAAGGTTGTGTTCTCCAAAAAGGGGAAGAAGAAGATAACCTCAATTAATATAGGATTAATAGTTCAGTAATTTGTGTATACGATTGTTATTCTGTAAGAAGCCGCTTTGTCAGAGAAAATAAACCATATTCGTTTTATAAATATATATATAATCAGAATCATACAATGGTTGTGCGTCAATATCAAGAAGAACTTCAGTATCTAGAAAAATTATCCCCATACTGCTGGAGAATAAAAAAGGGCTTTCAACCCAACATGAAAGTGGAAGGTGTTTTTTACGTGAACCAAAGGTTAGAAAAATTGATGTTGGATGAACTAAGAAATGCCTGTAGACCTGGCATGGTTGGTGGCTTTCTTCCAGGTGTCAAACAAATAGCAAATGTAGCTGCCTTACCAGGTATCGTTGGTAGATCTGTAGGTTTACCAGATGTTCATTCAGGATATGGCTTTGCCATTGGAAATATGGCAGCATTCGACATTAACAATCCAGATTCTATTGTATCACCAGGAGGTGTGGGTTTTGATATTAACTGTGGAGTGAGACTGTTGAGAACCAATCTTTTTGAACAAGACGTTTTGCCGATTAAAGAACAGCTAGCACAAAGTTTATTTGATCATATTCCAGTTGGGGTAGGATCAAAAGGAATCATTCCAATGAATGCAAAAGACTTAGAAGAAGCTTTGGAAATGGGTATGGACTGGTCACTTCGAGAGGGTTACATTTGGGCAGAAGATAAAGAGCACTGTGAAGAATATGGTAGAATGCTAAATGCAGATCCAGCAAAAGTTAGCATGAGAGCAAAGAAAAGAGGATTACCTCAGTTAGGAACATTGGGAGCCGGGAATCATTATGCTGAAATTCAAGTAGTGGAGGAGATTTACGATAAGTGGGCTGCTTGTAAGATGGGTATCGAAGAAATAGGACAGGTATGTGTAATGATCCATTCAGGAAGTAGAGGATTCGGTCATCAAGTGGCTACAGATGCTTTAGTCCAAATGGAAAAGGCTATGAAACGAGACAACATTGAAACAAACGACAGGCAATTAGCTTGTGCCAGAATTAATTCTGTCGAAGGACAGGACTATTTAAAATCTATGGCAGCTGCTGCGAACTTTGCTTGGGTGAACAGAAGCTCGATGACGTTTTTAAGTAGACAAGCCTTTGCCAAACAATTTCATATGTCACCAGACGACCTAGACATGCACGTGATATATGACGTTTCCCACAACATAGCCAAAGTCGAAGAACATATCGTAGATGGTAAACCAACAACCCTCTTAGTTCATAGAAAGGGATCGACTAGGGCATTTCCCCCACACCATCCCCTTATTCCTGTGGATTATCAACTTACGGGACAGCCTGTCTTAATTGGCGGTACAATGGGGACTTGTAGTTATGTTTTAACGGGAACGGAACAGGGTATGCTGGAAACATTCGGATCTACTTGTCACGGAGCCGGCAGGGCCCTATCCAGAGCCAAGTCTAGGCGCAATTTAGATTATACGGATGTTTTAAGGAAATTAGAATACATGGGAATTTCGATACGTGTAGCGTCACCTAAATTAGTAATGGAGGAGGCACCAGAATCTTACAAAAATGTTACTGATGTAGTTGATACGTGTCATGCTGCTGGAATTTCTAAGAAATGTATTAAACTGCGTCCTATTGCCGTTATAAAAGGATAAATCAGACTGATATGAAAATTAAATTTATTTAAAATTAAACTATTTTTGTAATTTCAACTGCATGCTTATTAAAATTCATCTATTATTGTATTAATATTATTTTTTGTGTTTTGTGTCTGAAGACAGATTCACAGTTATTTCTTCCATTTATTATTTATTTACCAGTCTTAGTCTAAACTTGCAATTATGAAAAATTATAACTGTATATATTTGTAAGTTTATACTTATGTCATTTTTATGTTAAACACATTAAAGCTGTGTGAGAGTGCGATTTCAGTTTTATTTTATTACAAGGATCCAAAAATTTCACTTGCGGCCCAAGTTCCATGCTAAATTATCATAATCCTATGTATTGTAACTTTATGCAAATGTTATTTTTATTTTAAATATATTAAAGCTGTATTAGGATGAAATTTTGGTCTTATTTTATTATGAAGTTTGAAAAATTTCACTGTGTGTGTGTGATTCTATAAATAACAGCGTGGGCATAGCCAAAGGGAACAGGAGGGACCACCTTAATCTTTGAAAAAGTTCTCTGAGAATTCGAGATGGCTAATGATATAAAATAACTTTTTTTAGTTACACCAGTACGTGTAAATAAAGTTAAATTAATATTTTTCTACAAACCTCTATTATACAGGGTGTTTTTAAATGAAGTAGCAAAAATGGTACCAGTGAATGTAGAGCCAAAAATAAGAGGATTGAAGTAAAAATACCTTATATGAAAGTTGCACCCCTGAGGCGATATACCCTCTTGAAGGAGGGGATTGATTCACATTTTAATATTTTTCTTTAACATTGGGAATGCTAGAGACACGAAACTTGATATGAACATCCTACTAATGAAGGGACAACTTTTCAATATTTGTTTGATCATTGGTGTATTTTACAAAGTAGTGAGTCAACCCCATTGCAATAACTTATTAGAAATTTTTTATATGAAGCAAATTATTTATTTAAAAATATTTATTGGGAAGACTGATTTATTACGCAACTTTTTTACCTCTTGTAATTTTTCGATAAAACCGATAGTTTTCTAGTAAAAAAATTAGATGAGTCATCGTTCACTAAAGGGGTAATTGCGAAAATTTGTTAAAATAAAGTAGGCGGATGTCATAATAAATTAAATGTTATTTAACATATTAACAAATTGACACTTTCTGTCAACCAATAATTAGTACCGATTGATTAATTTATTATCAGAATAATTATGGCAAATATTTATACCAATGACGAATATGTCCAATGACATGCTCCAAGTGTTTTTGGAATCCAGAAAAAATAGTAACCCTGCAGTAAGATTATACCATCAAAGATATCCAAACCGACCGATTCCTCATAGACAAACATTGGCCTCGTTGGAAAGAAGGCTTCGCGAAACTGGTAAAATTCAGCCCAATCGTGAGGGTGTGGGAAGAAGGCGTAATGTCCGAACTATTGAAACTGAGGAAGCTATACTGGAACATCTAGAAGAAGACTCTAATTTTTTCAGGAAGATTTAAAAAAAAGCAGTGTGAATACATAACCATCACAATTTCCTACATTTTTTTTCAATATCCCCTATATTATCCAAATGTGGTTATTTCATAAATTACACATGCTGCCATACAATTTGTACCAAATACAGAACATCTTTATAATTTTAGGAAAAACTTTACTATACTGGGCGTAACGTAAAGGTTGAGAATAAATTAAACGGTGGATTTTTTGGTTTAAAAAATAAATTTTTCTCATATGAAGTTATGCTCTACGGGTTTTCTTTTTCAAACTCAAGTTTCAAAAAATTTAGTTTTTTTCTCCAATAACTTTCGAACATTACAAGATAATGGAACGAAATTATAATAATATGATAATCCCCTAGTAACAGAAAAAAGATTGACTTTATGTTACTCAGAGGCGTGCATATGGATTGTACCGTAAGGTTTTTCGAAGAAAATTGTGGTAACACCACTGGGTGAAAACATCTTTTTATGATCTACTTTTTATTTTAAACAAAATTACCCTCTTGCGTTTTATTTCTAGCTCTTGTAATTTTTCCGTAAACAAAACACTGCTAACATACCCACTAAACACGAAACGTAAATGAAACGTTACAAATGAGCTGTTTTACTACACATTTGAAACAATAACTAGAAACGTTGCTGTTTCATTACAGAAATGTAGCACTTGAAAACTTACTTAGTGAAACATAGCCGAAACATTCCAATTGAAGAGAGTTTGAAACATTACTCGAAACATTCCCTTTCGATCTCGGAAACGTAACAACGACAAACAAACAACCCTTTGCTTTTGTTTATCTTATGGAACTTCCATTAGGCATTACTTAAATTTTGCTCTCAAACCCCATCATTATAGCAAGCGTTAGTTCATTTGCCTTTTTATATGTACAACCAGACATAAATAGAAAAAAAATGTGGTAGCATAATTGCACATACTTCTATCCTTCTATTGGATAGAAGTATGTGCATAATTGTAACACAAGTCTAGAAAAAATGTATGTTCGTGACTTGCGTAGACTGCGCGTAACAGCCCGAGTTTATTTGTTTTGTTTCCCGTGTGTCGTTACTGTCGTTTCAATTCGTATTATGTTAGGTTAGGTTTGCGGTTTGCCAGTTTGCTTGGTTTCGTTGTTCTTCATCTTTACTTTGAGGCTATTTTATGTGATAATTTGTAGTGTGTGCAGTAGTGGTTATTGTAAGGTACATATAAAATAATAAATATTGATGCAAAATGTTTAAAACGATATGTAGAGATTTCCAATTTTGCGTCACGTCTATCTAAATATAGTCATACCCACTACCAGAGACAAGGGTTGTCTCTGCCACTACCTATTACAGACAAGAGGACAAGGGACAAGAACTAAGAAAATGGAACAACAACTATACGTTTCGATATAATTTGAAGGGCAACTACTTAGTCAGTGAGAACTATTTGAAATATGGATGAATCAAGTGAAATAAGACGTCATTTATTTTATATTCTGTACAAATTTTTATATTTGTTTATATGTTTCTAGGCATGCTTAAATAAAAGAGTTTAGGTATACCTACAGATATTTACTTTGTCAAGATATCATTTTGTATCCTTATTTCTGCTGAATAATTTATTACTATTAAAAGGATAGATGTAATATTAACCATGCCTAGAAGAAATTATAACTTTATATTATTTTTCAGTAATGTTATTTGTTTTTCATGTACCTACCATTTCAATCATAATCATAACTAACTTTTTATAATTATCAGTTCGTCATTGTTACCATATTCATGATGGTCTCAACATTAGAAAATTTCCATTTCAGAAGCGTATTTGAACAATATAAAATGAGTAGCTTTTTTTAAATGCTTCTGATATTGTTTTGTGACATTTTTATTTGTACAATGAATGGCAAAATTCGTAATCCACATTAGAAACTTTTTTCAGTGGCTTCTCAAAAAGAAAGAAATTCTTGGTAAAAGTTGCCGCATCCCCAAACTAGAAGAGCATATTTATTTTTTTTAATATACAATGTAACTTTTTTTAGTTCGAATTAAGTCATTCACAATACAAATAAAAATATCACTAAAGAGTATTACAGATATTTTAAAAAATACTCACATTATTTATACTATTTTAAAAACGCGTTTGAAATGAAAATTATCTAAAGTTGAGGGCATTATGAGAACAATATGGTAATAAAATTATTATGTTACTCAAACATTTCTGAAAATATACTGAAACGTAAAAGAAAAATATCGAGGGCATAAATGGAACATAAAAAGAATGTTACTGAAACGAATTTTTTGAAATGTTTCATTGGAAACGTATTTTGGGGAGGACATCTTGGGCTTCTAGAACGTTACCAGAACGTTGCATGGATTTTTTATGAAACGTTTCAAGAAAAATAGAAATGTTTCTGAAACATGTCAGAAACTGAAAAATGTTTAGTGGGTAGGAAAATAAAAATAACAAAAACATTCTGAAGTAGGCATGTTTTGACTCAGCCACTGAACATGGTCAAATAGACATTGAAAAAAGACTTTTGCATTGAAAATGATATTAAGAAACTAAATTTTTTGAAATTTTTTAGCGTCCTGTAGCTTGGAAAAGAAAACCCGTAGAGCATAACAAATGACAAATATGACAGCATGGCAAATATTTATTTTTTAAAATAAAAAATTCTTCATTTATTCCCAACCTTTACGTTACACCCTGTATAAAAAAAGGAAAAAATGTTATTACTTTGGTCAAATTATCAGCCTCGAACAAAAACACAAGCAAGCAGCTAATCAATTCTCGAGTGGGTAGTTTTCGAATTGAGTACCTTTTTAATTAATTAATAGAATAATAGTATTGATAGAATTGAACTTAAATTAAAAAATATCACAAATCTACAATTGCACTCTAAATTTTTTTCAAGTGATTTTATTTCAATATAAAATTTAATTACAGACAAAATAAATGAAAGCTTTTATGATTTGACCAATAAATTTCCCATATTTGTTGAAAAAGTAATACAGGGTGTTTCGCATAAGAATCCAAAATATATTGATTTAATGCAACTTACCTTTATACTAATCTGCACAATTGAGAAGTTGGGTTTCAAATTTTGAAAAAAATCAGTACTTAATCAGTTATACTTGAACTTAGAAAAGCCAAATTTGGTATACGGCGCGAGTATAAAAAGAGCATTAATCGACAGTTAGTAAAGTTTAATTGAAGCATGTTAAAGGGTCGATAAGGGATGATGCACCATTAAAATGTGATATAATTTTTTAACCCATTGGTGGACTTAAAAAGTTATTACTTTATTTTATGGGGAATTTAATTCTAAAACTTTTCCTACTCTTGGTAGTTTTCAAAAAACTTTTGTCGTTTTCAACAAAAACACGAATAACAACTAATAATACGTATTGTAGCTTTATTTAAAATCATTGAAAATTCAAAAGTTAGCTATGAATTTAAACGATCAGGAAAAAAGTAATTTAATTTTAGTAAACGTTTGCTGAGTATTTTCAAAATGGCCTGGAAGTTTTCATTTAGCGAATAAGTTGACATGCTATTAGTGTTAGGTTTCTCTGAAAGAAACTACAGAAGAAGTGTTGAAGATATCGAATATCAGTTAGTTTTTTTAAGTTTTACTCGAAAATCTGATGAAAATATCATGATAAAGCAGTGGCATACGATTTTATTTAGAAAAATATGCTACTGATATCCTGTATCTCCGCCACTGGAGCAACTAAATTTTAGGAAAAGACCTCAGACTTTCGACAACGTTTACATACATACATGCGTCCAATTTCAAATTACTTCATTTACAAATTTTTATTTTTTTATTTAAAAAAATTAAAAACATTTTTTTATGTTTAACACCCTGTCTTTTTAACAAAGCGTCATAGATAAAAACTTTATATGAAAGACTCCCCTTAAAATTCACCAAATACATGGTTTCATTTTTGATCACCGTTTGTGAATCATCCTGTATATTTCCTCCTAGTTTGAAAAGGTACAAAAAATTTATTTTTCTTTATTTTTACGTCTCGCTGGTGAGTATAGTCTTTCCGATATCAATTGAAGAACCAAGAGGTTGACATTATGTACCAGGTTCGGTCGCTGACGCAGCAACTCGGCATTGAAATATTTGAAAAACTTGTAGCCATATTTATTTAGCCCTACCCATATAGATCTGGTCAAACTAAACGTAAAGGTGGTAGAAATGTATACGCCCAGTTGAACGAAAAACAAACACAGCTGCATTGGGCCACTGGCCAATAAATCTCAGCTGTTGACAAGTGGTTGACAAATTGCCCAGCAGTGCAGTGCAGCAATGCGGAATTTGGTGTGATTCAGGTAATTTTAATTTATTGTTGGCACCTTCTATTAAAGCCTGCACATACATACGCCACGGTAGCAATGGCGGTGGCGTTATTCGAATTTGAATACAAAGACCGCTCGTACCGCGACATGTATGCTTTGACCCATTTGGTTCTATACGTTATATTCAAACGCCACCGCCACCGCCATCACTACTGCGTATGTATGCGAAGGCTGTTAGTCATTCATATTGCAATTGCGAAGGGAGAACATGGCATTTTGGAGATCTTTTGAAACAGAACAAAACGAAATTTACCATCAATATAATAAAATTGTTTGAGGACGTAAATAATTAAAATATGTTGTTGGCCAAATGAACATATAATAGACATTTTCTACACCTTACAAATTATATTTTTTTACCTTAGCAGAATACTTTTTAGGGACGCCTACGAAACTCATTAAATTTTATTGCCAGGCGTTTTTTTACATGTTCAACTAACTTCGGAAAGACTGTACCAAGACGTGTAACTTACCTTCTAAATGTTTTGAAGCATCTCGGGAAAGGTACATAGAACATAATCTCCTGAACTGCGTTTATTTGATTTTATTTTTAAAAACCTTTACCAGCAAACATAATGTATGTTAGATAATACATAAATATTGCTCAAGTAATATAAAATCATTTTATAAATAGTCTTAACAATCTTAAAATATTTAAGATAAAAAGACCTTATATAGTCTACGGCGTATAAGGGTTTAACAAACAACATATAGACATCTACACGTTTCGTGAGATTTTTGGTCCGTAAAGAAACCAACGCAGGCTAAACATAAATCTATTACAGCTATATTAGTTATCACCTTGGAAATAATTTAAACAATTAAAACAATCATTGTAATTATAATCGTTACGTATATGGCAGCAAAATTAACATTTGCTCTAGTACGCGAAAAGAATTTAAAGCACCGATTAACTAGTACCGTGAAACGTAAATAATTTTTAGCTATGCATCATTTCACGATTCTTTAACAAAAAAAGATATATAATTTTATAGTTATAAAAAGATAAGTGCTAAACCTGATCTAAATTCTGATAAAGGTTTTCCCAGTTACGGAAAAAAATTCTTTGGTAAAAAATTAATTTTCCGGTACAAAGATTGTTTCCCAAAATATTTCCTTATATATTTTTTTTGTAGTATCAAGTTCAATATTTTTATTCAGTTAAAAATGGTAAAAATATATTATTCTATTCTATAATTATGCAATCTACGATAACAACAAATAATTTGTTAATAAATAATTGACTGAAATTATTACTTCAGTGAAATTAATCCCGCCATTTCAATAAATATAAAACGACAACGATTCATAATCATTTTTTGAGGGATACCGACCTACTGTGTCGTTAAATTTTTATTACTGACAGGTCCACTATTATACTACTGGATTGTTATTTAATAGTTGTTATTATCCCAAGACCATTACAACAAATAATTAAAACAATGTTACGAGGGAACTACACAATAAGTGCAACCAACACAACAGAATGAACGCCAAATAATGGGTTGGGGAATAATGTCAGTTTTTTCGAATTTAAAAATTCACATGAGATTCAAACGCATTGCTAAATTGACACATCACTCTATCAGATTGTGTTCTTGGTTGCTTCGTTACGATTGTGAATTTTCATTAATTTGAAATTAATCATTTTCGGTACTTGCTTTTGTTTGCTAAAGCCGATCTAGCTGCTTTACGATTGAACAAACGATTGAACAAACGGCTCGTTAACGGTTTTCATGTTTTAAAGAAGGTGATTTGGCCCTTAAAGACATGAATCATTGGGGACGCCTGTTGAATTAGATGAACATAAACATAAAACACACCACAGAAATGAGACAACCCCCAAATTCAAAGCCAAAGGCTGTGCGGAAGGGGGCTACACTTGAAAAAACGCAGACAAACACCCATTACCCATCGGCATTGCCAGTACCGAAACCAGGGATCGAACCCGGACCAGAATAGGAAGTGAGGTCGAGCCACCGAATGCTCGACTGACTACGCTACCCTGGTGATGAAGAACAATTGAATCCAGTCCTTAATGAAAATCCAATACATTCAACAAGGGAAAATGGTAAACCACCTGCATTCGATGGGTAAAGTTCAAAAACTCCACGTTTTGAACGAAAACAATAAGAATCAACGCTCAACAATTGCCGCTGGTTTGCTCTGGCGTCATCGATCAACACATATAAAAAAAAATCATAAAGAACGTTTTCTTTATCGTATTGACACTGGTGATGAAAAATGCTGTCTGTACATGAATTTGAAACAGCAGAAAGAATAGTTTAGACCCAAAAAACAAGTAATTCCGCGAACAAGACCAGAACTTTATCCTCGAAAAACAATGTTGTGCGTCTGGTGGGATTGGAAAGGGATTCTTTATTCGAACTCTTACCGAGTAATCAAACCGTCAACGCAGATGTCGAACAACTAGGGTGACGCTATTCAACAAAAAAGATCTGATCGGCAATACGACAACATGAGAGTGGACGACCACATATCGCCAGTATGACCACAATGGCCATTTCGGAGTTGAATCGGGAAGTTCTGCCGCACACGCCTTACTCTCCCGATCCCACTCCTGATTTTCACCTCTTCCGCTCTTTGTCAAACTCCTTACGCGGTGTTTCTTTTAACGACAATGAGTTAAGAGCTTGGTTGGATGAGTTTTTTGAGTCGAAACCAGAGAATTCCTATAGAAGAAGCATCGAGAAACTTGTTGAACGTTGCGATGAGGTCATAAATAACAATGGAGAATACATCAGAGTAGATTTAAAGTAGAAAAAAACAGACATTACTTATTCCCTAACCCAATACACTACACAACTGCAAAGTAAAAGAGTGATTTGAACCTTAAAGACATGAATCGTTTTGGGCGACCTGTTGAATTTGATGAGGAGCAATTGATTCGAGTCCTTAATGAAAATCCAAGACATTCAACAAGGGAAATTGGTAAACCACCTGCATTCTATGGGAAAAGTTTAAAACTCCACGTTTTGAACGAAAACAATGCGAATCAACGCTCAGCAATTGCCGCTGGTTTGCTCTGGCGTCATCGATCAACACGTAGTCATAAAGAACGTTTTCTTCATCGTATTGTTACTGGTGATGGAAAAAGCTGTCTGTACGTGAATTTGAAACAACGAAAAAAATGATTGACCCAAAAAACAAGCAATTCCGCGAACGAGACCAGAGCTTCATCTTCGAAAGACAATGTTAAGCATCTGGTGGGATCGGAACGGGATTCTTTATTCGAACTCTTACCGAATAATCAAACCGTCAATGAAGATGTCGAACTCTCTGCTCTTTGTCAAACTTCTTATGCGGTGTTTGTTTTAACAACGGGTTAAGAGCTTGGTTGGACGAGTTTTTCGAGTCGAACCCGGAGAGTTCCTACAGAACAGCATCAAGAAACTTGTTGAACGTTGCGATGAGGTCATAAATAACGATGGAGAATACATCACTGAGTAGAGTTAAAAAAAAATCTTAAATTTGAGAAAAAAACAGACACTATTTATTCCCCAACCCAATACACTACACAAGTGCAAAGTAAAAGAGTTGTTTGTTTATAAGGTTCTTTATGTACGTAGTGTTTTGGTCGACCTGAGTTTGACATATGACACCAAAAACGCATTTGTAAATATTTGATTTTTTTAATCAAAAACCTCGCTTTCAATGCCCCAAAAACTTTTGACATAAAAATCATCACAGAACAAGTCAAAAAAAATAAAAAATAAAAAACAAGCTGCACGATAAAAAATAAAAGAATCAGCTGCAGCACACCTTTGCAAAAACCCTGTAATAAAAAATTACCTTTAATAGTTCACATTATTTTACCTGCCTTAAATTAATCCTGTCGTTCCTTCTAACAAATAAACTACCTCCTTGCGTCTTGCCTGCGACCATTTCCGCAAAACTACAAATTATATAAAAAAGTTTCCCGTATTTCATATAAAAAGTCTAAAAACTCTACCTTATCCATATATCTCGCTAACCTTTAAGTACTTTATGCCCGTCATCTAATCAAACCTATGAAAAAATAACGGCTATTAAATAACGTTAAATTATAAATTATTGCATCTAATAACTATTTACAATTGGTTTAATCAATTCATTCTCTTAAGGCCATTTTTTAAATAATATAACAAAATTCCCACTAAAAAAAATCAGGTTATTGAGCATTAGTCTTCCTCTACAACTAATCTTTAGAATATCGTGTACCGATACTGTTTAGTGCGGTATCAAAGATTTTTTCCCAAAAAAAAAACTAACCTCAATTCTCTCATTCAGTCGTCTCGGTAAAATATATTTTCGTGACGACGATATCGCCCGTGCTGAGCGTTTGCGTCGCAACGTTGGTGTGGTTCTCTTTGGCGAATCCGGGTTCGTTGTCTTTAACACTGCTAACATACTCGTTAGTAGGAGACACGACTCGATCCTGATGCCTGTATCCGTTGTTCAGCTTGTTACAGTGGCAGTTGCAGTTGCACTTGCCCGGATCAGTTTCGGTTTGTAGGAGGGCCGCGGCGCTCAGGATCGACTCTAACTTGTCGATTTTTACCAGACGGTCGATCTTGTTGTCGTTGAGTATCGAATCGACCAGCTGCATGGATTCCGTGAGACTCGTGGGTTCGGAGTTTCGGGGAGACGTCATGTCGCTTTCCAGGCTGGGGTAGTCCTGTTCGTTTTCACCGTCGTCGTCCGAGCTGTCGCCGTCTCTGTCTTGGCCCAAGCTTTCCAATTTTTCTAGTTTCTTCGCTACCTTAGCGGACGATTTCAGTTTCTCCTTTTCCTCGTCCGTCAATTCGATATACCTAACGCAAATTTACAGATTAAAATACAAGAATTTTGTGTAGAATGACTTCGTGTAAAGTAATTTTTGCAAATGTAAAATTACAACTACAAATTTGTATATTTACAGCAGTGGAGTATCAGAAATTCTGGCAGGTCATTCTAAAAAGTAACTTCTCTTGGATGGAGAAGTTTAGAACTTACCTCAGCAACCTAACCTCTCTATTGCTCAGTACAACACTCTTAGTGGCTTGTGCCAACTTTACTCGCAGCTCTGCCACCTCCGTCTCTGTTTTTCTTTGCCTCTTTTTCAGTTTCACTGTATCTGGGTTTATGTGCATGAATATCTAAAACAACAATAAGAAGTGTTACACTACCAGAAAACATTTTGAATGTGCTTGGGATTATTAATGAAAATATAAGAGAATAGTGTAGTTAATGGCAATTATTACTAAAAATTTAGTTGCACTTGTAAATTTACAACAGCATTTGTAAAGTGTGTAAAACACAGTTGTATCTGTAAATTTGCAGTTGCATTTCCAAATGGGCAGTTGCATTAGTAAATTTTTAGTTTGTTACAAATTTACAAATGCATTTGTAAATTTACGACTAATTTATATTAATTTTATGCAATTGTATTTGTAAACTTTCCGTTGTGTTTGTAAATGCGCAGTTGCATTTGTAGATTTCGTTGTATTTGTAAAGTTGTAATTACAAATGTAGTTACATTTGCTGTTACGTTTGCATTTGTAAATCTGCAATTAACTCAGTGTATCTATAGCTACATCAATAAATTTTCAGAACCATTTGTAAATGTTGGGATGCTTCGATTAAACCTACAGCGACCTTCCAGGAATCAAGGACCCTGTACCTACGGATTAGTGCGGTCAGTTACCTTAGTGCTTGTTGTCCTGTGTGGAACTAAGAATAGTTAGTTAGAATCGTAACTGCTAAGGATACAGATGTGTCCCCATAAATACTACACATCCATAGATCTTTACATTTATTGTACAACACATATATTTAATATAGACATTTTGCAATAGATAGTACGCGAATAACCACTAAATAAAGTTTAATAGACTATATGCCTATTATTTGCAACAGTAAATTTACAGTTGCATTTGTAAATTGCAATTGTATTCGTAAGATTACAGTTGCACTACATTCAGATAAATATGTAAATTTTCAATTCCGTTTATAAGTTACAATCCCATTTACGACTTTACAGGTGTAGTTGTATTTGCAAATTTACGTAAGTGTAAGTTCGCAAATCTGTAGTTACCTAAGTAAACTTTCAGTGCAATTTGTAAATTTACAGTTGCATCTCTAAATTGCAATTGCATTTGTAAATTAAATTCCATTTATAAATTTACAATTTCATTTATGATTTTACAAACGCAGTTCTATCTGCAAGTTTACCTTTGTTTGTAATTGTAGTTGCATTTGCAGATTTAGTTGCATTTGTAAATTTAGTGTCATTTATAAATTTTCAGTTTTCTATAAATAAATTTAAAATTCCATTTGTAATTTTACAGATGCAGTTATATTTGCGCAAATTTACAAGTGCATGTTTAAATATACTGTTGTATTTGTAAATTGCTGTTGCATTTGTAAATTTGCAGTTGTATTTCCAAATCGGCAGTTGCATTAGTAAATTTTTAGTTTCAGTTACAAATTTACAGGTGCATTTGTAAATTTACCATTAATTTATACTAATTTTATGCAAATTTGCAAATTTTCCATTGTGTTTGTAAATGTACAGGTGTAGTTGTAGATTTAGTTGTATTTGTAAAGTTTTAGTTGTAATTACAAATGTAGGTACATTTGTATATTGCGTTAGCATTTGTAAATCTGTTGTTAACTCAGTGTATCTGCAGTTACATCAATAAATTTTCAAAACCATTTGTAAATTATAGTTGCATTTGTAAATTGCAACTGTATTCATAAGTTTACAGTTGCAGTTATATTCACAAAATTACGTAAATGCAAGTTCGTAAATCTGTAGTTACTTAAGTAAACTTTCAGTGCAATTTGTAAATTTACAGTTGCACCTTTAAATTGCAATTGAATTTGTAAATTGCATTCCATTTAAAAATTTACAATTTCATGTACCATTTTAAAAATGCACTTCTATTAGTTTATCTTCGTGTTTGTAATTGTAGTTGCCTTTAGAGATTTAGTTGCATTTGTAAATTGTTTCATATAAATTCGTATAAATTTTCAGTTCTATAAATAAATTTAAAATTCCATTTGTAATTTTACAGATATACCGTTGTATTTGTAAATTGCAGTTACATTTGTAAATTTTCAGTTGCATTTGTAAATTTGCAATTGCATTTCCAAATTGGCAGTTGCATTAGTAAATTTTTAGTTTGTTACAAATTTACAGGTGTATTTGTAAATTTACGACTATATACTAATTTTATGAAAATTTGCAAATTTCCCATTGTGTTTTTGTAAATGTACAGGTGCACTCGCAGAATTAGTTGCATTTGTAAATTTAGTTTCACTTATAAATTCCTATAAATAAATTTACAATTCCATTTGTAATTTTACAAATGCAATTATATTTGCAAATTTACAAGAACATGTTTAAATACTGTTGTATTTGTAAATTGCAGTTGTAATTGTAAATTTGCAGTTGCACTTGTAAATCCACTGCTTTTGCAAAGTTTGCCGTTTACCATTAGTCTCATTTATAAATAGACAGTATTATTTGCGAATTTATCGCTGCATTAATATATTCAGATAAATTTGTAAAATGCACTTGTATTTATACATTTCTATATTAACTGTAACTGAATTTGTAAATTTACAATTGCATTTGTAAATTTGTAATTGTCTTTGTAAATCTGTAGTTACCTTCGTAAATTTTTAGTACCAGTTATAAATAAACAGCTGTATTTGCAAATTGCAACTGCATTTGTGAACATAGTTGTATTTGTAAATTTACAGATAAATTTCTGAAATCATATATTTAGGTGCATTTATAAATCTGAAGTTGCGTTAACAAATTTTGATTTCCATTTGTAAATTTCTAATTTGTAAATTTACAGTTGCATTAATAAATTTACTAATATGAAAATGAAGTAATGTGACCATATTTAATAAGACAGTTTTTATTAAGTAAATCCCAAAAACTCACCTGCTCTTCGCAGAGTTCCAGCATGAGCCCCCTGTTCTCCTCCCTAATGGCCTTACTCATAGGATAGTAGATCTTCTCGTTAACCAAACTCAACACGTCCGCCGAAGCGTAAAGTATCATTTCCCTCGTTAGAGGCCTTCTAGACCAGTACTTCTGATCTCGTCTGTAGATATTCTTCAGCTGGTCCTTCATGGGGTTGATGGGGGCTCCGTAGCACTCGCAGAGGGCGTTCAGAGCTACGCTTTTAGCTTTGTAGACCGGTCGGCTGGTTTCCTGATATGTGAGGACGGCGTGTGCCGCTTGTGTATCGAACACGGTTTGAAGAGTGATGTTAAACTGGTTGTAGAGGTTAACGGAATCGTTCCGACAGTCGTGCATAATCTGAAAGGAGAAATTTGGAAGTCTTAGTAATACAAAGTACGAGTTGGATTTTAAACGTACCTTGACCACGTCGGCGCTTTCTAACAACTTCCTCAAGCCGTTATCTATCATTTGTGGGCAGGAAATCAGATCGAAAACGTACGAAAATCCACTCATCGATGCGATTTGCATCAAGGTAAGCTGGCCCTTTATTCCCAAATTAATGCCTTCGCAATCGAATCCCACCACCACCTTATCGGTGGAAAAAGGCCACGCCTTGTTGTTGTTAGGCGTAGCTTTGCTCATAATATCCTCGATGACCATTTGGCATTCCCTTATGCTGCATATCACCCTGGTGTTTTGGAATAGTTTTGCCTTCCACGAATCGCTGTGCGTCTGGTGGTTAAGCAGAGTCTGTCTTTCGCGGCCAGTGTTTTCTTGCAGCGTTTTCAGCACGAGGTTGTTTATTCTCTGCTTTAGGGACTGGTTGTAGGTGGAAGCCTGTTTGTTTGCGGGTCGGACAGGTTCGCTTTGGGGTAATTGAGGACTCTGTGGAATGACGGGCTCTTCTGCAGGTTCTGAGATTTGTTTATTTAATTTGCCTAAATAAAACCACGACATTATTCCACATTTCTTGGTCCAACTAATGCAAATTTTTCCCCTTTTTCCAAAATTAATGAAAAAAGAGCGCAGGCTTAGAATTTGCTATTTTGAGGAAATATATTTTTCACGTTAAAATTTATTTAACAAAAAATATTTGAACTTCATTTAATTTTTATTTTTTTGGTTAACGATCAAACGGCAAACGAAAATCTTAGGAAACGTAAAAAAAAAATGTAAAAACTCACCTAATCTAAAATTAACTCCTTTACTCCTGTCGTCATTTTGGGGAATTAAGCTAACCGGTGCTTGAGGAACTGGCGACAGCGGCGGTTCGGGACTCAGCGATTTCGCTTGGGCCTCGGACAACTTCTGCTGCAACTTCGGCTGTTTCAACCTGTCACTGATGGACCTCGGCGATAACTGCACGACTTTCTCCGTCTTAATTTCCAAAGGCGGAGAAGGTGCTTTCTCGATTTTCAAGTTGACCTTCTCGATTATTTCGTTCTTGCTGTCGTTGGCTAAGTTTCTTGCGTTTTTCAGCTCCTCGTTGTTTTTCTTGTTTTCTCTGATGAGCGATACCTGAGCGGAGATATGTTTTTGGTTTATTTTCGGCGCCTGTAGGAGCGTCACTAGATTCGACTGTATGTGGAAGCTGTCCGAGAACAATCGTAGGAAACTAGTCAGGTGCGTTGGAGTGTTAAAGAGGTTCGACCACATGCTTTCTGGTAAGTTGCAGCTGACTATCTGGAATAGTTGTTCTACTAAGATAGGGCCTTTGACCTAGAAGAAAAAAAAAAGTATGGACTTTTTGTCCAGTTTCTGGACACCTTGTAGAATAATTACTAACCTCGATGCACTGCGCTAAAAAATCCAACAGCGTCTGGGTCTCTTGCGGATCTATCTTAACGTCTGGTTGGAAGTGTAGTTCTGGAGGGCAATGACTCTTCACCGCGCTGAAGTTCGCGAGAATCACAGTTTCTTTCTCATCATCGACAGTGAAAGACTCCGGATGCTTAAGTAGGAACTCCCTGAATTCATGGAAATGTTGACCCGAGACATGCCGGACTTCTGGACTCGCTTGAGATCTGTGGCCTAGGAGGCTGCGGATGGGCACTTCAGTACCCTCGCCGTATTGGGCGAGTTTTTCGGAGAAGTACTCCACAGCTTGCGTATTATAATCTTTGCCACCTACGACGTAAAAATAATACAAATAAACAAAATACATTTTAAGTCCATTTGATTGTACATTAGAACTACTTTTCTAGCAACTGTAACACAAAAAATTGATTGTATGATTTCAATGGACATGAACAGTTGCAAGCCAACAATTAGACACAATCAGATATTTATGTTGGCGTTTTGTTGTGATGAGGCTACTGCAGATTTACAGTTAAACACTAAAATTACCATTGACTGTTATAATCCTGCTAACATTGTAACCTAGTAAGATATGACAGAATTGATTCTGAAGCTACTAATAAAAGTGTCATCATTTTCTACTGTATTATTTTAACAAATTTTGATATAGCATGATCAAAAGTAATCCTTCATTTAAATATAAACATATACAAGCTAAAAACTTAGGTACAAATTATCTCTCTCTTTTAATAACTGTTTTTCACTTTTCCTGTCTCTTTGCAAGGAAAAAATAATATATTGGGTATTTGGTCCGCCTTGTACCTATAAATTTCATCTATGCCGAGATACTCATCACTCATAACACTATTAAACAGTATAGTATGTGTGTCTTGAATTTAAAACAGGATATTTAAAGAATATATGTCACCTTATAAATTTCACATACAAAACATGTTGCTTCATATGTATACAAATTATGAGGAAAAATAAACGTAAATGTTTGTGATTATAACAAGATAATTTATAGCAAAAAGAATTAGAATGAAATTTATCGTTTTTCGCTGTCTAAAATTTGGTACATTGTTAAGTAATGCAGCTTTATAATAAAAGATGTATGAGGTACTAAATACATTATTAATTTTTATGAAAAATAAATTGGCATTATGTGGACTAATTAGACTTTAACTAAAATTTCTTTCCATAATTAAAACTAATTACAGATTTGCGAAAATAAGGAAGATACATAAAATGTTACAAGTCTCAAATAGTAAATGACTGACTGACTAGTCACGATTTTTTTTTTGAGACACCTGGTAATATTTACTTACCGTGTCCTTAAACTTTTTATCATGTATCTAATAATTGTCATTGTGTGCAGGACAATAAGAATTAATATATGACATCTTAAATATAATGTGATCTAATTTAATTTCCATAACACACTTTTATTTATCTTGTAAATTGTCACCATATGATTCGACACAGTACCACAAATTAAGCAGGTAATTAACAATTACGTGCTGCTAATATCAAAAAAGAGTGAATAGAGGTTGTTTATTATGCTGCTTTTGCAGAGCAGAACGGGATCAAAAAAAAGAAAATCACATAAATCAGTTGATTACATTTGCATAGCCTTCCCAGAGGATTTAGTAGATTAATTACTAAATCAAGTAAGCCTTAAGATTAATAATGCATATCTCATCGTAAAAATACATGAAATTATTAAATCACAATAGATAGAATGTTAATTTGAGAATGCGTTATTACCACATGAACTATTTTAATTTTTCATTTATGTAGGCTTCTTGAATAACTGAATTATTATTAAAGTTGGCTGATAATGCCGCTCTTTTACGCCTACTCTGATTTGTTTATTGTACTGCATGAATTTTACAGCTTACATTTAGACGCAATTAAAGTTTTAACATCGCATAATTGCATTATTTATTCAATTTTTAAATTATAAGGACCATACCCATCTCCAACTAGCTTTATTAGCTTCTAAATTGCTTTAAACAAATTATACATCTTGTTAATAGCTATTGTTTTATTTTTTATTACTAGGCAAATTATTTATGTCATAAGCTAATAATATTCATGCAATCTGCGATATGTAAGAGTTAATTTACATTAATGCTAATATCAAATTGTACCAAAATAAATATACTTAATTGCTCAATATTATCAAAATATTTAAATTATAATAAAGTTCTTAACGAAAATACCTAAATTATTATAAGAATTATCAGCACTTTCTACCACATACATAAGACATTAATAAGATTAATAGTATCAACAATAATAAATCTATCAAGAAAATTTCTCTATTACTTACATGGACAATTAATAAGCTTCAATCTACACATTTATTTATCTTTTAAATGAGTATATCTGCTTAAAAATTGTGCAATTCTAACATCTTTTACATTTTTAATAACTGTTAAGGTATGCGTTATAATGAGGACAAAGTTTTATTGTAAGAAAACCACCAAGTACAGACCTACCTGAACAATCCTTATTACTGCTGTGCTGAAACGTGTTTATCGTCACATATTCTCCTTCCATAGAGAAAAGAGCAGGGTACTGTGTCAAGAACTTTTTTAAGCCGCTTTGACTTCCTCCTGCTATCTGTCTCATCTCTTTCGTGAAGCCTTTAGACCCAAACTGGCAGCTTAAATCGTGTAACGTTCTAGGTTCTCCCTTGTCGAGGAGACGTTCGAAGAAGAACAACAAGGTCATATTTCGAGCCAATTCGTACTGCATAGCCTCCATTATGATTTAATATTAATAAATAAAACCAACTCAAGAGGCGTATATCAGATCTTGGTAGATTTTCTCAAAAATCATATGGTTATTTGTTTAAAAATATTTTCTTTTAAATTAAATTACACCACGAAACGAAAAGCGTTAACAATATATATATACAATGTAAATATAGGTACTTAATAAAACTTTAAGTAGACTATTGTAGTAAAATGTATAAAAAAAATGTATAAAGGAGTTCTTCTTAGCGAGTTAGATTTTTCTTCCTTGGTTACAAATAATATCACAATGCACTTATACTCACACAAACAAACAGACTAATTGCAAATTTTGATACAAATTTGGTTTATAAAATTAAAAGAAAAATATTATAAAATAAAAACTTTTTTGCGATCTCTAGAACATCAAGTTGGCTTCCGCCATCTTGAATTCTTTGACAATTCACTACAATCGACCAAACATTTCACTCACGTGTCACACAAATGTTTTTACAGGGTGAACCAAGAAACCGTTCTTCGACCATCTTATCTTGTTTAGCAAAATTTCTGTTGACATTATAATTTTGATTATATTTAAGGTTGTAATTTGACCTAAAAACGAAATTGATTGTGATTTAAACTAAATATGTTTCTTATTAATTAAATTAAATCACAAAACACAGACTAAATTCTTTTTTTTTTTACGTTTTTCATTTGCGTTTAGGATCAGTTCACTTATTGTTAGGCAGCCATAGTTAATAAACAAAAACAGATTTCGATTAAAATTAAAGTATTCAGAAGTACCTTTTTGACCTAGTAGTTTTTTTCTTTGGTGTGAAAGTTAATTTGTAATGGTCCAAATAATTAACGATTTAATCCTTGATCATTTCATTTTAACAGTGACCTTGAGTTGCACAGTAGTAAAAAATTAAAATGTTTATCTTTCAAGTGAATCGCTAGATCAGAGATTAATACAATATAAATTGATAGTTTGTATTACATTTTATATAATCATAAGGTATTTATTTAAAATTTAATTGTATTTTTCTCACGCTGTATCTATATTTTGCAAATTGGCATGCATAAGAGCCAAAAAATTTAAAATACCTGCGAAAATCAGTATGCATTTTGTGTGGGTATTATTAGCAATAATTTAAAAATACCTTTTATATCTGATCAGCGAAGATGACAACTTTAATACATACCTAGTTTATAATATATTTGGAATAATTGAGATTATTGAAATACGGGTTTTAATTTAGAAAATATTTATTACTGTCTTATTTATATACATGTACAATTTTAAAAGTACTGAGTATAAGAAAGGAATGTATTAAGTTACGCTTACCTAGTAAATAAGTGAAAAAAATAAATATAAAAAATAGCTTAAATATATTCTACATCTACAGGAGCTTTCAAATCAGATCATATTAAGTGAAAAAACCAGTCTTCAATTTATAAAAATGTAGATACTACAAAAAAATATATACAAAAATAAATTTAATTAACATCATACAGCTATGGCATCACATCACAAATTTATAATGTTCGGGTTAATACTATGTACGTTTTTGGTAATAAACAAAAAAAAAATAACACGCAGGACATTCGAAATATTCTCCATTCATTATTTTTGGTAAATAAATTGAACGGCTATTTGGAGTGAGGTGAATTTAACGAGATTTTAAGGAACACCAGAAAATATTTGATAAAAATAAAACTGGTGACCCATTCTGAAGCCCAATTCTCAAAACAAATTCAACTATCAAATCGGACATTTTATAGTTTTGCTCCTAGTGAATTACAAACGGTTTCCAACAGTCCGACCCCACACTATTACTACTGAAGAGCAGAAAACGATCACTCACGTTAAAAAAATTTATAAAGTAATAAAAATGCTTGGTCTTACTTTAATGGTAGTTTCAATGTTCTGTTTTCTAAATGTTCAAAATTAATAAATGGTTTATTTCAAGTTACAAAAATACAGGCAAATCGTGTAAATATTTTATTTTATTTACGAATTATCGCATTTTGTAAAATCTTTGGTGTTTTATAATAACAGTAAGATCAATTTCGGATATCTTGAAAGACAAATACCATACTGGAGAAAATTACTAAATCTACCTTTGAAACTAAGTCCTTGCAATCTCTAATACTCTGTATATCGAAAATAAACCGTTTCTAGACATTTGTTTATATTAACTTTTTCAATTAATTTGTAACGTTATCTGTTGTTAAAGTGTGGCTAATGTTTTACATATGCCCTGTATAAGTATGCTTCATAGTTCTGTAATCGTGATATTTACTTAAAAAAAAAAACTAATAGCGTCAATGGACACTGAAACGTGTACATGCAGTGTTAACAGAATTAATGATTTGAAAATCAGTCTTGCGAATGTGATCAATTTCTTCTATCGTTGGAAGTTCCCAGATACTTGAAATTTGATCAAATTTGACTCACTCAGTATAAGGCGGGCCAAATTTGTCATTTATGGTTTCTTCTATTTCCCTAAAAGATAGAAAAAAAAATAGGATGCCAGACTTCATTTTTCAATTTTGACCAGTTTCTTTGATTCCCTACAACTTTTTTGGTGGTGAAAATTTCTTATTTTTATAAACGAGTTTCTTTGTACAGTTTTTTGTGTAGGAGATATTTTTTATAACTTTGTTTTTCACTTATAATGCGAACCTATGTTTTTTAAATTGAACACTGCTTATATTTTTTGATTTTTGAGATTTGCATAAAATTTCCTTGAAATTAAACACGAACACATATTTGCACTTAATAAATTAAATATTGAAATTAAATTGTTCGTAATGTAACTATGTTGTAAAATTATTAAGTAAGCTACGAATTTATCGTGAAAAATAAACGACTCCTCGTTATCAAGAAAATAATAATAAAAATTAAGTTTTACTTCGAAATTAGGGCACTATTTTATATTTCATCCTAATTGTCAAGCCTGCTAACTCCACTTATGTTTCATTTATTACCAGTATTTAAGGATGTGCAGATTATACTTTTAAAATTTGTTTACAAAAGATTTATAGAAATCACTTTAAAAGATCAAATTATTATTTTTAGGCGAGCTATCACTTATACAACTGGCACTGGCCACTACGGTTGCCTGATTTAACCCCACTTGATTTCTTTTTCTGGGGATTAAACTTTTAAAATTTGATTACAAAAGATTTATAAAAATCAATTTAAAAGATCAAATTATCATTTTTAGGTAAGCTATCACTTATACAACTGGCATTAGCCACCACGGTTGCCTGATTTATCCCCACTTGATTTTCTTGTGCGGAAGAATTAAAGACCACGATTATAATCGGGGCTATAATTCCTGGTGAGATTTGCAGCAAGCAGTGTTACAGTCTTTTAATAACATGCGTAATTTATTATTATTATTATTATTAATATAGAACAGTGTCAATAATATTAAACAACGATGTACAATAATTTATCTATCATAGAAAGGAGCGCAGTTTGAACATTTGTTGTGGTGGTGCATTCTTGTAAAATGTTTTTCGATTGATCCAAATTTATTCTGTAAGTATTAAAATTAATGTTTTGTTTGAATTGAATTTGTGAATAAATTATTTTCAATGTTTAATATCTCAAAAAGTATTTTTTGTAAATACGTGTAATACATCATTTGAAGGGAAATTTTATGCAAATCCATTTAAAAAACACAATTTGACGTTATAACTGAAAAACTGAAAGTTATAGGAAAATACTGCATATGCCATCAAAAAAACTGTATAACAAATCTGTACAAAATTAAAAAATTTCCACAAACAAAAAGGTTACAAGGCATCAAAGAAAATGGCCAAACATGAAAATTGCTTTGTATTTCATAAAAATTAATTAAGATATTGAGATGCGGTTTGTGTCATTCTACTTTCCTTGAAAATCAAGACTGGGACATTTGAACTACTTTTTTTCTATATTGTCAGGAAATATGAGAAACTCCAAGTGTTGAAGTTGGCGCACCCTGTATGCTTCATCTGTATGTTTTCTACATGTTTTTCAAGAAATGAACATGTATGTTAGAAAAATTGAAAAACATTAAGTACATGTTGAACTCGGAAGTACCGAAAATTCCAAAAATAATTCTTTTTTCTCCCTATCACCAAAAACATCGTAGAGCATCCCTAAATAATATGGCATCTAATCAGAATCAAAGACTTAATAACTTAGAAAAAGAATTATATACACATCTAGAGGATACTACCGACGGCCGATTCGATTTCGTTCTCATTGAGACAATTGTTGTGCAGCTCGCAATAATCATCCTCGACTTTAATATCTTCGGGTTCCGTACACTCGTAACTGATGGACTTAATAGCGGAATCCAGTTCGTCAGGCTTCCTTTTAAACATATTCCCGTTCAACACAGAATCGACGGTGTTGGAATTAGAACGAGTGTTGAATTTACTCTGCGACGACGCGGACTGAGATTCTTGCGAGCATTCGTCTTCTTCGGAACTTTCGCTCTTTGTACCTTCATTATTGTCGTCGGTAAAACTCGAGCTAGACTCCTCGCTGGACGACAACTCCTCCCTGTTAACATTCGAGGCTAAGTTCTGCTTCTCGCGTATCATATTCTTCAGCATCTGCGCTTGCATGGAATTCTCCGACAAGGCCGATTCTTCACTCTCGTCATCTTCTTCTTCCTCCGAAGATGACACTTGTTCTTCTTTAATTTCTATGTGTGACTGGTCGTTTTCCGAATCGTCGTTTTCAGACTGAGACGAACACTCAACTTGCTCGATAAGACTCTCGTAATTAATATCGTTTTCGTCGTACACCTCAATACTATCGTTAGCTTGCTCCTCTTTAACCTCTCTAAATCCGTTGGTTCCCGTCTTTTTCTCGCCACTTTCCTGTTTCAGCGATTTGGGTGGTTCGCTTATCAAACTCCAGTCGAAATTTTCGTGGATCACCATGTGGAGTCGTAGCTTAGAACTAGCATTGTGGTAACGTCCGCAAATCCTGCATATGAAATTGGATCCAAAGCCTTGACCATGTAAGAGTGTTGGATGATTCTCAAGTAGGTGCATCTGTAGGCTCTCGTAACTCTCGTTAGTTTTTAAACAAATGCCGCAAACGGTAGCGGCCACGCTTTTGTGGCAACGGATGTAATGCTGCCACAAGTGCTTCTTCGCGGGCCACGTCTTAAAACATATCTCGCAGTAGGAAGGATCGTTACTGTTCACGTAGACGGTTCTTTTCGAGGAGTTAACTTGCGGGTTAGACGGGGAGTTTGTTAGTTCCGCATCGTCTTCTCTTTTAATGCTTGTCCCAGAAGGAATATCGATTTGACTTCTTTCTTTCTTAATTTCGGTGGAAAATCTCAGTTTAGTTTCGGGCGCGTTACCGTTGGAGCGTTTACCGGTACTTATTAAACTTTGCGTTCTAGGTCTCGTCACCATTTGGTCGTCTTCGGAAATTCTCTTCCCCAGCAGTCGCTTTTCCAACAGGGAAATTCTAGATTCCTGCGGTAAGGGTGGCACGTGGGACTGCAACTCTTCTTTTGGTTCTTCCATATCGTTTTCGTACTCGTCGTTGCTCTGATCGCTGTTATCCTCGTTTTCTTCACCGCTGTCGCTCTCGTCTTCGTCATTATGAACGCTTACTTCATTCTGAGTCACAACTTCATTGATCGCCGTAGTAATATGAGCCATAATACTGTTCCTGACGGCGGTGGTGGCGATGCCGCTAGCCCCCTGCCCGCCGTGTGTGGTAACGTCGCAATGAGCCTGCAGCTGAGCGTCGTTATCGAAAACCTCGAGGCAAGTCTTGCAAGCTTTGAAAATCCTCCCGTGCGATTTGTTTAGATGGTCGTACGTCTTCCATTTCGATCCGTAATTTTTGCCGCAGACAGGGCAAGACGTGAGGGGCGTGAGTTGGTCTTTGTGGATTAAAGTTACGTGGTCCTTCAGGATGTGTTGCGTTTCGAACAGTTTCAGGCAGATTCCGCAGGAGAGGCTCAGAATTTTGCGGTGAAGGCTGAGGATGTGCATCTTGAGTTTTATCTTGCTGGGCAGGGAATCGGCGCAGAACTGGCAAACGTACGAGTCCATGTGGTCCCGTAAGTGTGTCTGGAGGTCTTCCTTGCTCCTCAAAATGTTGCAGCAGATTTTGCAGAACAAGTGACAGCCGGGATGTTGGAATCTGATGTGCGAGACGATCTCGCACTTGCTTTGGACTTTTTCGCTACAAATTTCACAGATATACTCAGAATGGTAATTCACCAAGTGCTTGGTCAGGCTCTGGCGGTCTTTGAATATTCGCGCGCAGGTTTTACAGCGAGTCAGCAGGTCTTTCTGCAGCTTGGGCCTGCAGTTTTTCTTGTGCTTCTTGAGCAACACTTTCTTGTGGAAAGCCTTGGAACACTTCGGGCACTTGTATTCCCCCTCGTTAAGCGGAGGGGTGTAATTTGTAATTATATTCGTGTACAGATTATGCGAGGAATCGATTTCCTTTGGAGCGGCGATTTCTTCTTTGATAATCAACACCTCTTCTTTAATGTTACCCTCCGAAGTGATTTCGTCGTCCTGGTCGGACAGCTGGTTGGAGTTATCCTCGACTTCGCTGACGCTGTTTTTCCGTTCCCGATCCAAAATCTCTTGCCTCATGAAGCTCTGCTTGACCGACTGGAAATCGAAGCCCTGGAACTTCTGTGCCATAAAATCTTCCTTTTCCGATTGTAAATTATCCGTTTTCTGCTTCGTACCTTTCGTTAGGTGTATCTTGTTGAAATGCTGTGCGAGGTGGTACTTAGAAGCAGACGTTTTGTAACACAACTGGCAGGTAATACTTGGATGACCCTTGTGAAGTCTATTAACGTGCTTCCAAAGGTGAGAATTTCGCCCGTAGAACTTATTACATAGATCGCAGTGAAAAATCGAGTGCTGACTTCGTCTGTGCGAGCTGAACTCTTTAAACGATTCAAAGTCGTTCAAACCACACTCGCTGCAAGCGAGACTTTTAGAGCCGGGCGAAGGAGCTCCGTTCTCGAAACTCTCGTTGGTGTCGATGTAATCGGCGGGGTCGAACATCTTCGACTGCTTCTTACAAGCGTCGAGTAGGAAATCGTGTACAAGAATGTGGTTTTCCAGCCATTTAAAGTTGTCGTCTCCATACTGGCATACCTGGCAGATGTATCTCGTGTTGACGGGATGCTGTTGCGAGCAAACCTGAAGGTGGCTTTTCAAGTTCATGTACGTGTTGCACTGCTGCAAACACAAGCCGCATAGATGTGCCGCTTGTTGGGCGTGTTTAACTCTTAGGTGCATCATTAGGTCCGGTTTGGTGGTGAAAACGGCAGGGCAATTGGGGCACACGAAGCTCGGGAGGAGCATGGGCGGGTCTTCGGGCTGCTGGTCGGGTAACTGGTTGTCTTCTGGAAAAAAATTTCAACAAATGAAAATTAAATGTATATTCGTAATTTCTATAATAGTCATTCTCCATTTTTTATTTCTTTTTTTTACGAATCCATTTAAAATGTTTAATCCTTGGTTTAGTTTACACTTTTTAACGTTTCGAGAGACACATTGCATTCTGTTTTAGAAGTAACTCTAAAAGTCTCCTTAAGAAGAGAACGATATGTCTCTCGAAACTTCGATAAATCCAAACTGATGATCCGACAGCTCAAAAATTGTACAACCACTGACAACTGGCATGGTAGTCTACAATCCAAGCAAATATTATTGGCCATTATTGGCACTGCCACCTAGAACTCAACGAGAAATAATGTAGAATACAGTGTGTCATCTTTCTCCCACCTTAGTATTATGTTGAGAAATTTACAATGAAACATGATAAATAAAAAAGTAGTAACCTACTTATTGACGTTATAAATATTTATTACTTATAGAACATTTTATAAAAAAATTAACCTAGAAAAAACGACCATAAAGTGTAAATATTTGCCTACTTTATCTGCCATATTGAAATGAAATAAAAAATGGAATTTTATGTATAAATCTCAGAAATCTCAAAAGGTTAAAATATTTTAATATTGTATGTAAATAGATAGAATAAAAATAAATTAACAATATATTTTTACTATCTTTATTCACAGGATATTTTGTGGCAAAGAATAATGCGCTAATGCTCTTAGAATTAATATAAATTTGCCAATAATGTTTAATTTATTTGCATACATTTTTTTCAGATTTCAGTAAAAATACTGTTCACTAGCCAAAAAGAATTTGCATATTTTAAAAATGCGAAATATCAAATATATGGGGGGTGAATAGTGCTGGGCGATATTTCACGAACTGTGATTTAATCATTGATCAAAAAATCACAGGTCGTGATCGTTCCTCAATTGCAAATAAAAATGTGACGTGATCACAGTTTACTCCTGATTTCTTGTTTAGCAGACTAAATATACTGCTTTAAGGTCGAATTTTGTTTTAACACCATTAAAAATATCATGTGTTGCATGTCTAAAGTGCCTTATTGACCATGTCGATGCTGTAAAGTCAGCTTTCGCATATCACCATAATAATATATTAACTATCAACCTTATGCTGGGTTGTGACTCGTCGTGATCATGTCACGCTTTTTAATCACCGATATCAAAAAATCACAATAACGATTCACAACGTGATTGAAAAATCACGGTATCGCCCATCACTAGGGATGAATCATTTTTTACCAAGGGAATTTTGTAACTTGAAAAAAATTGGACAAAAATAGTGCCTCTTTATGCACCTAAAAGCAAGTTATAACTGAATAATTCTAAGGAGTTGAGAAAAAAAAAGAGAAAATTTCTATTTTAAAAAATGTTACATATCATTTTTATTATTCAAGATAGGTTAAAACTTGCTAACTGAATAAAAGAATATGCTCCATGTAAATTTAATAATAAAGTTGATCTTGATTACAGTGATACGGTATATATTACGGATTTATGTTAAGAGGGCATGTACAATTACAACGATCAGAAAATCTATTTTTTTTTTTATATTCTTAAACGATAGAACTGTATGTGAAGAATATATTCTGAAAGTTTGAAAGCGAAATTTGAAAAACTCCGGAAGAGCGCACAGGTATACTCGTTGACCAGATGTTTGTAGGAGAATTTACTGTTTTCGGATGAGTTTCGGCAAATAGCCGCCCAAGTTTTTTAGAGTTTATAGTTCACAGTGGCGCTCATTTGTCGAACGACTCCGTCTGCAAAGGATAGAATAAGAAGGGTTATTTACCGTTTTTCTCGAAACTACATTTCTAAAACTGATGTACACGATTGTGCAAAAACTATTGAGCCGATTGAATTCCCCCTTGGTAGAAATGTTGATAACATTTTTACCTTGTATATGACGCAAATTGATTTTGGAAAATTTTGAAAAAAACTATTTTTTTATACAAATTCTGTAGCAATTTCTCATGAAAATTCGATATTTGTCTTTAATTTCGTGCCGTTTTTTCAAATTTTCACCGTTTCAATTTTTCTCAACGTCGCGTAGAAACTACAAGTTTTAAATAAGAAAAATTTTGTATTTTGATGCAGATCGAATTTCACGGGAAGCTAGACTGTACACCATTTTGGATGTCGCGATGCAACCTTGCTGTGACTCTCTACCACAGCTCCGCCATTTTGACGATGGACAAATTAAAAAAAAAAATTTTTATACTTGAATATCCCATTAAAGAATACCTACAGTCCGATAAATGTAGAATGAATATTTCTCAGTTTAAAAAATTCCTCAAAATTGACTCATTTTCCTACGTCTAATTGTATATGTCGCCTTAAGGCAATTTTTTTGCTTTTCCTATATATTTTTATTTCCTCATCTAATTCTGCGGAAAGAAAATTATTGAAATTATTCCAAACAAAATTTTGATCCGTTGCTTGGTCTTCTAGTCGAAAAGATGATCTTTTCTAATTTAACCTTCCTTTTATCTCTTATGGTTTATGAGATACCAATGGTGGGAATAAAAACACATCACTATATTTGCATTGATACCAAATTGCCATTTTCCCCAATTCCCAACAAACTTTTTACTTTTTTAGGAGGTTTATCGGGTACGGAGGTATGTCTAAAGTCTAACGAGTTTCGGTAGACTCGCTAGTGACTAAAGTAGTAAGCCTTTAGGTTTGGCAACGTTGCACATAGCTGGCTTTGTTTGGATGCCTAAGCTTAAAATATACACCATATGTCACACCTGCGAATTTCAAATAATACGTTACTTCCAGAACCGCGGCATTGCCGCTATTACACATATGCAGGTTAAGTTAATCAACGACAGCAGTTTGAAGGAGAATTATTATAAATTATGTATCTTACAAGTACCTAATCGATTTCTACGAGCTATCATACGGTTCCTTAGATATCGGTTTCTTATTTATACAAGTTGCTGTGGAAACTGTTCGCCAATTGTTGCGCATTCTAAGTGGAAAGACCAAAAAAATCTACATTCTCATAAGACTCTGTACTCAATCATGAAAAATTAGTCATAATTTTTTTCGAGGATTTTCTTCATATTAATAAGCTTATATTAATTTGTTTATGAATATTTGTTCGTCAATTCCAAATCAGATAAACCTCCTTAAAAAAGACCATGCAGCCCATCATTGAATGATTGATACTGGTAACGAAAATTCCCTAGATCTTGGCACCCGCAATATTCGTCTACGCTCGAGATAATGCAATCGCTGGTTAGTTGAATAAAATCTAGTGAAAAGTTACACCGATCACAGCCACTGAAATAGAACGTTGTGTTTTATGTAACCTTGATCTTACTACTTTAATAATTTTTAATTTTACTGAAATTTAATGGCCAACATGAGGAAATAAAATTATTGTTCCAAACGAAATTACTGGTTATGTGGCTTGTAAACATTTATGAAAGCTCTATGTTTGCCAGGTAAAAAAGTCTTTGATTAATACGTTGAGATTATTGCAGTCCTTTCGCCATAGCTTGTTTATTATTACAGATAGTTCTATTTAATTAAGTAAAAAATATACTGGTTGTGCCATTGAAAAAAAATGTTTTCAACCATGTCATTTTATCCCTAAATGTCAAATATGACATCTATTGGATAACTCGTCTTTATCTCTATATACAAAAATATTCCCAGTGACGTCACTTAAGGCAATTAATAGTATTAAAATCTGCGTCTTTAGAGACTATTTACTATTTCCCTGAATCCTTTTAAAAGTTCCAGGAATTATAAATTCTGTTAACTTACCTATGGAATCGCTCCTCTTAAGATCCGAAATCTTGACCAGATTCGGTATTTTCTTCTTATTCTTTTCCGGGAACGATTCTCCAGACCCAGAAGACACAACCTCAGCCAAATCTATTCCGTGCGTTTCGAATACATGTGCGGCCAAGGCAGCCGGGCCAGAAAAGTGAGTATCACACAGTAAGCAACTCTGCGGTAAAGAAGATAATAACTTTTCGCTCTGGTAAAAAGTAAAAAATTAATATATTAACGAGAAAGCTGGGAATTCTCACCTGAATCGAAGCATTCCGTTGATTGTCATTGTCACTGTTTGGAGAATCGGTTTTCTCTAAACCATTCGAAGAACAGTTCTCGTTTTCATTCTGGCAATTTGAAACAAAGTTCTCCAAATTGAAGAACAAATTTTCGCCGATCCCTGTAATGACCTTTTCTAATCTTTTTGGCTGTTTATTTTTCCTTCTGTTAAAACTGTCCAATTTACATATTTTCGTTCGAGTTTTTTCAATTGAATCACATTTACGCTTTAAGTTTTTCCTTTGAGATATTTCCGAGATCAAATCATTTTCAGCATCATCAAAGTAATGCGGTTTAGAAGTAAAATGACTCTTTTGAGATAAAAATGAATCAACAAAATTGGTTATTTTATTCATTGCCTCCAATTTTTCTCCTAGAACAACTTTACCTGTGTTGGAATCATTGTCATCAACATTAGAATCTGAATCGATGTCGTAGTCAACTAAACATGTAGTCGATTTTGGTTTTAAAAGGTCAGTAGAATCTAGAAATTTTGTTATTAGAGGAAAATTTAAGCTATATTCTTTGAAATCTGCATCTTTGCCAACTAAAACATCAAGATAATCTTCAGTCTGAACACCTATATTACTCGTCTTAAATGTAAAATCTACAAAACAGCCTTTTTCTTTTTTTCGTTTAGATTTTAGGCAAGATTCTTGAATATCATACTGTGTTTCCAAAATGATTATATTTTGGAGGCTTTTTTTTATGAAAATGTAAAAATTGTCTACATTTTCTATACATTCCTTGCATATTGTGTCTGGTAGCAAGCAATAAGGGGACACCTAAAAACAAATATAATTTACAGCTCTCTTTAGAAAAATGTTATATTACTTGAATGTTTTACAGAAAATAGCTGCAAAAAATGATGCGACAAATAAGCCGGTAAACAAAGCAGAATTTATTATTAATATGATGTTTATACTTACAATAATTGGTAAACATGTTTCTATTTTGTCTCTTAACCCTTCCGTATTAAAAATATGTATAAAGTCCTGTCCCAATTTCCCGCATATTCTACACAATTTGGTTTCCATTTTTGGGCATTATGTTTGATTTCACTACATTTTTAATCACAAAACAAAAACATTAAAATATCAACACCTGTGTTGTTTCTAAAACAAACAACTTTTTACGGTTTTTCCTGCTCCGTGAGCATCTTAAATTAAGTAGAAATGGTATTTCAACGTGTAATTAATTCACATTATTGTTTATCTTTGAATTTTGCAGATATTTTTGCAAAGCGGCTTCTATTTGCGAAAAATCGCTTCATTCACAAACACAGTGACGCCATTTTAAATCATAATTTGCCAAATTTTTTTACAGGTGTCTCTGGTCTCGCCACAGCTTCTACGTATGGTTTCTAGATGGCGTTCTACGTTCTAGTCTGATTTTTTTTGACGTTTCATTAACCTTATCGCAGAATTTTGTTTACAATTTTATTTCCTGTTAAAACAAGAAGAAATGGCATTCAACAGTTTTCTCGACTTTTTTCAGAAAGGAAAGGTAAAAGTCTATGGATTTACATCAAATATTGTACATATTAATCCGTCTCTTGATAATTAGTGCGCGTTAATCAATTATTAACGCTTTTCTAATTTTAGACTTTCAGGCCAAAAAAGAAATTTGCTCACGGCACAATTCGTTACAGTTTATATAAACAAGCTCAAGCTAGTCTAAATTCTGGAATAAATCTAAGAGCTGCCGTAAAGTTACCACAAGGTGAAGACACAAATGACTGGATCGCTGTGCACGGTAAGTTTGCAAAGTTACATGTTACAGACATTACTTATACGTAACTTTCAGTTGTGGACTTTTTCAATCGAATAAATTTAATTTATGGAACAATTTCGGAGTACTGCACAGAACAAACCTGCCCCACGATGTCCGGTGGACCGCGGTTCGAGTACTTATGGGCGGACGGTGATAAATTTAAAAAGCCGACCCCGCTACCGGCCAGGGAATACATCAGTCACCTGATGGATTGGATTGAAATGCAAATAAACAACCAGGATTTGTTCCCCTGCACTAGTGACAAACCGTTTCCTAAGAACTTCTCCAACCACTGCAGTAAGATACTAGCGAGACTGCACAGGGTGTTTGTTCATGTCTATATACACCATTTCCATAATGTCGTGGCTATTGCTGCGGTGAGTCTTGCTGTTTTTATAGGAAGCTCCTTTGAATTTTTTTTTTTTTTTTGTTACAGGAGGCTCATGTGAACACTTGTTACAAGCACTTTTACTACTTCGTTACTGAGTTTGATCTAGTCAGCCAGAAGGAATTAGAACCGTTGTCCGAGATGGCGATGAAGATATGTAAAGATCCGCCAGTATAACTTAATTTGTTTGTTATTTTTTTCTCTATTAACGCTCACTTGGTGGGTTAATGTTTTCCTTTCCTAAACTAATGTAGTTAGTCTGAAGATTCAATTAACTACTAATAAGGGCATTTTTGAAGTAGTTTAAACCTCACAAAAGACGCCTTTAACCCAATACAATATCATGAAGTACCTACATGTACTAAATTTTCTATTCCTACATTATTGTTAATAAAAATATATATATATTAACCAGTTGGTTTAAGAATTATTGAGTAAATATTGTTTGTATAGTAAATTCAATTTTTCTTTAATAGAGTTCCACGATATCGACATATACGTAAAATATTTATAAAATATGCATTATAGGTGCTTGTAAATTGTTTTCTTTATACGTTTTTTGTGTATAATTTTTGTCTCGAATTGTTTACAGATATTTATTTTTTTAGACTATTTATAAGTCTTTAATTTATACCAAATATTAACTTCGATTTCATCGGGTATTATGTTACATTATTAGCTTTAAGTATTAAAATATTTATTGTGTCTCGGCAAATATAAATGTCACTGCTTTATTTCAAATGTTTGTAAAAAATTAAATAAACCTAGCAAGAAAATTTGTTTTCTAATTTTTCCTTACAAAAATTATAAAGCTTTTGTATATTTTGGGACACCTTTAACAAATTAAAAAAAATACACTCTAAAAATGTTTATTCCCATTCTAGTGCTAGATAATCCTACATTACATTCATTGACAGCGTAAATCACATCTTTATTTGCCTAACGGTACAGAAGTGGGTAAGTTCTGCATAAAATTCCCCATGTTTCCTAGAGTTTGGAACAGATTTTGGAAACCTCCCAGAATTGAACTAGCGGGCATTACCATTCCTTGCGTTCCGACAAAGAATACCTTTATATTATCCAAGAAGTTTCCTCCAGGTTGAGACGAGAAAAGCTGACCAAATGGGTTGGATCCGTTAAATAACTGAGGTGCGTTATTAAAAAAATTCTGTATAGCTGCCAGAGGGTTGTTATTTTGTCCATCATCTAAAAGTTTATCATTTTTTGATAATTCAGTATGTTTATATACCTAGTTTTTACCATTATTATTTTTATTTGGTGGAATCTGTTGCTGTGATTCTTTATTAAATGGATTTATTTTATCTATAACTCCAGCTCCTGAAACGAAAAATTTTTAACAAGTTCATAAAATATTTTACAATTCCATATACTTGATTCCCCATTCAAGTCATTTGTGTGCGTAATATCTGCCTCGTATTCGTTTTTCTCTTTATTATTTCCAGTGATGGTGTCTATTTCATTCTCTGTAGTTTCTTTAATTGGAATGGAATTAACATTAGCTGAAAAATATGAAAATTACATATTTACTATTAACATTAACATTTTACTTACAGTAAATTAAGAATAAAAAAAATATTTTCATTTTGTATGCAAGCTAAATACTGGTTTATTAACACTTACACTAAATTTAAGCAATAATTTACTTTTATGTGTTTTGTATATCAAAAAAATTTGCATAACAAACTGCTTCTAAATTATTTTGATATGCTATCATTTTCAAATTGAATTCAAAATTCATTTGACCTGAAATGATACAAGTATGAATTATTCAAGAAAATGTGTGATTTTGAATTTAATTATTAGTGTATTGTAATGTTGGTATTACAGGTGTGTGATTATAGGCTTTTTCGAAAATTCACTTAGACTGCTCAGATCTCTATCTTCATCTTTGTCATTCTTATGGTTGAAGAGAGGAGAGGAAGATATATCTAGATCACTATTAGAAGTATTAGATTAGTTAATTTTCGTAAACCCCTACCACAAAACATATAATACACCCTTACTATGTCTAGTCTCCCTGAGGGCCTTTCGATTTGGCAAAAATAGTAGCTATTAGTAGCTAATAGCAACTTAGAGTTACTCTGAACTGATATTAGTTGCTTATAGGTACAATTTTTATCAAAACGAACGCCCCCCTGGTGTACGTGTTGTGCAAGTTTGCGTGTTGTGTGTACCAATACCAATGTTGGCAACACAGATTTAATAGAATATTGGCAACATTTGAGCAAAGTCAAAAATCTCAAGAAGAATTAAAGATTCGAATGTAGGTTATATTTACATTTAAAAAAGTTTTTGCAAATAAATTGGATCACAAATTACATATTTAAAATTTGTAATTTAAGAGCTTATATGAGTTGATACTCTTCTACTGATCTTAAGCAATGGCAGCGACAAGTATCTCAGAAGAAAATGTGAAAAAGCCAGTGTGTTTAATAGTTCTGGGAATGGCAGGCAGTGGAAAGACTTCTCTGGTAACAAGGTTAACAAATTCAGAGAACAAACCTTATGCAATTAATCTAGACCCTGCCTGCATTAACTTACCTTATTTTGCCAATATAGGTACGTTACAAAATTAATAAAAATAAATCGTAATGATAGAACATTTTAGATATTAGAGACACTGTCAACTACAAAGAAGTGATGAAACAATATAAATTAGGTCCCAATGGTGCAATTGTTACATCGTTAAATTTATTTTCAACAAAGTTTCCAGAAGTCATTAGTTTTATAGAAAAATCAGAAAAGGAGCATGCCGTGTTGGACACCCCTGGACAGATTGAGGTCTTTACTTGGTCAGTTTCAGGTAAATAATTACATAATATTTAAATATATGTTAATGATGTTTTTTTTTTTCAGGGTCAATAATAACTGAAACCCTAGCTTCATCCTTTCCTACCGTTATCCTCTACGTTGTCGATTGTGTGAGAAGCACTTCCCCAGTCACTTTCATGTCTAATATGCTTTATGCTTGCTCCATTTTGTACAAAACTAGACTACCATTTATCGTAGTTATGAACAAGGTCGATATAGTAGATCATTCGTATGCCAAGGACTGGATGACGGATTTTGAAAGTTTCCAAGAAGCTCTGGAGGCCGATGAGAGTTATATAAGTAACTTAACGAGATCCATGGCCCTTGCTTTGGACGAGTTTTACCAAAACTTGAAAGTCTGTGGGGTTAGTGCCGCAACAGGGCAAGGATTGGATGATTTGTATAAACTCGTAGAAGAAGCTGCCGAGGAATATGAAAGGTAACCTAAGTAATATACACTTTCATTGGTTATAAAAGTTTGACACTTTCAGGGAGTATCGTGTTGAATGGGAGAAAATAAGAGCCGAGGCAGCAGCAAAAAAAGCAGAAGAATTGAAAGCTGACAATGTCGAAAAGAAAAATCCTTCAAATTTACTCACTGAAGTCCCTATGGGTAGGGAATTGTCCGATGTTTATTTAAGGCATCCCGCAAACGAAAGCAGTTCGGATTCTGAAGGCGAAGAAGCACCTTTTGAAGGTAATTATGAAATATTCCAATTTAATCATGTTACTGACAATGTATTTGTTGCAGGTGTGGAGGACGATGAGCAGGAAGAAAACACATTTAGGAAAGTTGTACAGCAGCAAAGGGAAATGCAAATTAAACGGGCAAAGGAAGCTGAAGGCAAGAAGAAGGATGGTGGTTAAAATTACTTTCCTTGTACTCTCTATACTTTTACATAATATACTATTTTTTACTTTAAAATGTTTTTTTTTTAAATAAACCAACAATGTTTTCTTTATAATTTTTTTGTCAATAATTAATTTATTATTGTCGCCATAGTCGCGGAGCAAATTGATCTAAAAGTTAGTGTTAGTGTGCTGTGTTTATTTGACATTCCATAAATTAACTGTTCATAATTTTTTTTATAAAAAATTCAAACGTGCTGAAACTTTTGGTAAGCAACAAAGCAGTCTGTCAAAATCACGGTAAATTACTTGTACAATTCCAGGCCATGTTATATCTGTAAAAATCATGTTACGTAGCATCTTCAGCTTAATACAGAATATAATCGATTCAGACAGAGAGTATTCTAACAAGAAATCAAAGACAGTTATATATCTCGTCTCAACCCCCGACAATAACCTAAATATGGACCTAGAAATCGACGGTCAGCAGAGGGAAAACATAAAAACCATAAAAGAACAAGTTGAAGATGGATCGAAACACTTTAAGGTTGCTACGGAACATGGCGATGTGGTGACTTGTGAACATCCTGAAAAAAAAATTGCATCTGTTGGACGGGAAGACGAAAAACTCATCGAAGAGTACAAGGAGGCAGTGGAGAGATTCGAGAGAACCACCTTTACAAATGACGAGGAAATTGTGGGTAGAGGAGAAGCAGTGGACAGAGATTTGAAAAAATCTGAAAAATCGGAAGTTGGCATTCACGACTTGTGGGACCATATTCCGTTGAAGCAAGTTAAACCATATCAAAAAGGTAAAATAATAGTGTCTAAAAATTCACAAACGGTGACCAAAAATGAAACCTCGTATAAAAATTTTTTATGTAGAATAAAAATTATTTGTAAATTATACAATTATACTTTATTATCAAAAATTTACATATCATCTAAAGAACTATCATTACTGCGACTTCCTCTGCTTGGTCCGTGATTGGAGGACAATTTTGGCAACTGTTCCCAGAACATGTTACGCATGTCGCATTACAATAGAGTCCAACTTTGCGGCAACTGCAAGTCGCGCTGCATCTTTTTTTGCAATTGAAATTCTTAAAAGTTTTTCGGGTGCAGGCTGGTTGAACATTTTGATTGGCTGGAGAGAATTTTTATTTTTAATCCATCCCCAATCAGTTGAGTTAATGCTATCATTAGCCACACCTAAGGAAATTAAGCCATTTACACGATCCGACAATTTTCACTGAATAATATAATTCGTTTTTTCACAATAACTTTTTTAATTTAAAAAATTTTTTTTTCACTCCAAAAAGTAATTTGCAGGGAATTGTAAAAGCTACAAATCAACCTTTATAGTTGAAGAGTCTTGAACTCTTCATTTTCAAGGTTTTTAGGTTTTAAGGGCTCAAAGGTGGTCCTTACACATAAATGCAAACTAAAAAACGTAATATCTCAGTTAATTTTTGCTCTCCAGAAAAATTGAATGAGACCAAAGATATTATAAAAAAATACCTTTAAATTTGAACTCTTGCATTTTTCGCGTATCTTGTTTAATTTTTGAGTTATTTCGAAAAAAATAATTTTTTTTCATTACTTCAAATTTTTTTTTAAATTTAAGCATTCTAAACCGGTCAAACTTGCAGAGCCTATTATTAGTACCTGAATAAAGTCAACTGTACATGGGTTACGCTTAGTTTTGATTTTTATGGTTCAGGCACAGATTTTATTGTTAATTTTTTTTCCAAAAAAATGGGATGACCATTTTATTTTCATCATAACTCCACGAGTTTTGAGCTACGAAATTTTCAAAAATCATTTTAAAGGTTTTTCCAAGCACTTAAAAAAAGGTTATATTCATTTTCTTGGAAAAATTAGTTTTTCCGCCATTATTTTACCGTAAAAGGTTCGATTTTATTTTCCGAAAAATAAACAATCACTTTTAAAGAGTGATAACTCGGTTATTATTACATCTACGCTAATCAACAAAAAATTAATCGATTCGTTATTTCAAAAGCTTTATTTTTGCTTTATATGGGTTTTTCGACAAAACGCAAGGTTTTCGATTTATCAAAAATGATTGAAAAACATGCACTTTTTAGATGAAATATGAACAATTTTAATCGCAAGTAACTCGGAAAATATTAATTTTTGGAAAAAACGTTATAGAGCATTTTTTGCTTAGAATTCATCCCTCTATTGATTTTTGTGATTAAATTGGGTGCCTTTATTGCCAACCACGATAAGTGGTGGCATTCACCCCCAGGGTGAATGTACATATCGGCACTATGTAACTTTTGTTTCTTGAGCAATTTTCTACTCTTTTAAAATTTCACGTCAATTGGTGCATGTGTTAAGAATTCGGACCTAAAAACGGTCATATACTGAGCTATCTCTTATGTTTTTCGAAAAAGCCTGATTTTCGAGTAAAACTTAATGAACTAAAAACACTTACTTATATGACATGATAAAAACAAATCATTAAGTTATTTAATCGAACAAAGAAATTAATAACATTAGTCGACAGTTTAATGACTTTATTTGACTAAAGGCTCAAAAATATCTCCATTTCCACAAATACAGGTGGGACATCTGTGGAAAACGTAATTTGTTCGAAATTTATCATTGCTGGAATCTGATGAAAGGCATTAATTATTTTTTCTTCTAACTGTTCAGGTGTATTAGTGTGTTCACTGTAGCCGTTTAACAGCACCCCACAATAAGAAATTCAGTTGGTTGAGGTCCAGTGTTTTCAGTTCATTTTTTAAGTTTTACTCGAAAATCAGGCTTGTTACTCCCCTTAAAATTCATCAAATACGAAGATTAATTTTTGTTCACCATTTGTGAATCACATATGATCATACTTCAGCTTTTTTTTTTTTTGGTGGAAATAAAGATTTAGATCAAATTAGCGGTCTCTAGTGTATCGTAACAGAAAAAAAAGAATTTCAATTTTTTACTGCTAGTTGTGTCGGCTACCTAAAATTGGGTATTTCGGCGATTCCAAGTAAATTTTTCTAATTTAGATAAAAAATTGTTTACAGAAAGAGATCAAATGCAGGCGTTGATGGAACAAATAAAAAAAATGAAAATGGGTATGGAACGACTTCAGGAAATTGCCCAACAGTTTAATTGCTCCAACCAGTTCAAGCAGGATGTGGAATTTTTAACAAAAAACGTTGGTCCCGCTCTAGAAAAATCTGAAGTGAAAGATAAACACTTGGCACCAAAATTGTAAAAAAAGTCATAAGTTAACATGTACCAATTATCGAAAGTGGTTGTATAGTAATTTAATAGCTTATTCTTAGTAAAAAAAAGTTTTCTTGACGTTTCTTTTTTTTTTTCAAGGAATAAAATGAAACACAGGTCACATCCGAGACTATATATATTTAGACGGTGAACACATTAATAATATACATTTTTCTTTTAAAATAATGTGATAAAAAAAAGACAAAGTCTTTCCTCTCAGAGTTTTTTACATTAACAAAGAATTATACAAAAAAAAAAAAAAATGATACACTTAAAACAATAAAAACCTATTTGTCATATAAATATTACATTATACCTAAATATAACTATTTCACAGATTTCTTCATTTAAATAAATGAACGTGTCGGACACGTTCATTTTAGAAAATACTTGGAATTTCCTCTTCCTACGCTACAGATTTTAGTCGATGCAGCACAATTGAAAGTCACTGGATTAAATTCCACTAGCTTTAGTGCCGTGCTGTAAAATACTATTTTTGCCCTGTATTGTTTCTCGTTCCAGGTTCCGACGTAAAAAATTGCCAATTTATAATAAAAAATATCGTACCGGTTATAAAAACAAATAAATTAATAGACAACTCATTGGAATTTCTTAAGGTCGGAACCCGCGCTTCTTGAACTGCCCAGTCGATGGTGCCTAAAAGGTCTTCTCTTCCGTTTTCTCCGAATCAGAAGACAGAGCCTCAACGAGGGCATCCACACAATTTTTGGGAATAAGCGTGCCTTAAAAAAAATACGTTTTTATTCATCTTTATAAAATGTTGATATTTGGACGTGGACACTCACCAACTATTTTTAAGTCCTCTTTAGTCCTTAACCTAATAACTTGCATTTTATTATTCTGCGAACCATTTTTACTGGCAAGTACGCCTTCTACTCTACTCCATACAGAGAGAACCGACCCCGATACGACGTTATACGTACGTCTTCTCAAACCAACCTCACAGTCATGTCCGATGGAGACGTTTCGACAATTGCCTCGCCAGTAGGCGTGAGAACAAGTGTTTACAGACGCGTCGTACTGTTGAATCCACGCCTCCTCCGCATCGGCAGACTCCACCTACACAGAAAACAGAAAAATATTACAAATCAACTTAGTAAAAGAAGCGCTACTTACCTTTTTGTACTTTTTCTCCAATTCGGCCAAACTCTCCTGCCTAAATTGTAGTCCGGTATTCGGGCGATAAACAGAGAACATCTGTTCCTTCTTGCTCTCCTTCTTGGTCTTGTTGTTGCCGGCTTCAACGGCCACGGCAAGAATTGCAGTGTGTTTTGCATTTCGCACCTGGTGCGACAACCAAAAGCCCTCGTTTTCCCCCACCAGTTCGGAGAGCTTCTCCAGGGCCTCCGGCCAGGACATGCCCCTTTCGACGTGGACAGTGTGTAGTTCGGTAGGTGCCGTACCAGTCGCGTGTTTTCTTAGGAACGTCATCGTGCGGACTTGGTTCACCACCTCGCCACCAGCCCCCAGGTCCAGAATACCTGTCCAAATTGTTCATAGAATAACAAATTATATAAAAACAGGATTGCAAAAGAATACGTTTTTTTGAACAAGTGCGATTGTTCATAATAATAGCATAATTTACCTAAATCAAATCTTCCAGACCTCTTCGCCGACGTGACAATAGCACCTAAGGTATCAGTAAAATATCTAAAAAAAAGTACAAAAATTATAAATTCTTAACAGGTGATCAATGAATCAATTCGGTTAGTTTTGGGGAGCTTTCTTTTATTTCCGGGGGAGATAGGCAAAAAGTAGTTCAAATGTACCAGGCTCAATTTTTGAGAAAAATGGAATATCAAAACCCGAAACTTGATATCTTGCCCTTGCTTGAGACATTTGAACTACTTCTTGGATATCTCCTCGAAGAATACAAAAAACTTCCAAAAAATGTCAAAATTAGCCCGGGGTTTGTTTTTAAATTTAAATAAAAATATAAACTACATCATTCTGCCACAAATCCTTACCTAAACAATCTATTTTGCAATTCAACAGGCATCCCTAGGATACGATTTAGGAACTTTGACATATTATTGTAATCCTTGTCGAGGGACAGGATTCCCGGCATGCTCTCGCTATTTACAATCAGGCCGACGCCCACGAGCGCCGCCGCCACGTCCTTGAAGAAGTCGCCCTTGTAGTCCCGCGGCGGCGGTACCACGGGCTGCTCGTAACCCATGATGGCCTTCATGGTGGCCTCCAACGCCGAACGCCCATACTTGTTGTCAATGTTGAATTGACTGAGATCGCGGGTCTCCGTAGCTCTACGATCGCCGTGGGTTAGGGCCCCCAAACTCTCCAGCCTGGCAAGAGAGGATTTTAAGGAATATTCTCGGACAATTGATATAACGATTTATAAAAATTCAATAATTGTTTGATAAATATTGTTTTGATCATAACACAAAAGAAATTCTATTATACAAACTGCCTACTCACCTTTTGGCCACGATGGAGGCGAACCTTCTCTCTCCAGCCAGATCAGAGATAAGAAATATATACTCGGGAGCGTTCACCTGGTTACTCCTGTGAGTTCTGCCGAACTGTTGGATAGCCCTGTCAGCAGACCAGGGAAGCTCCAGCGTTATATGCACCCTCCTCCTCTGGTTCTTCACCCTCCTGTCGCTCTGCAGAGATATACCACTGGAGGCTGCTTCCGAAATTATAGCCACGTCCTTCTCTCCGTCCATAAACCGTTGTTTTTCAGTTAGATTCAGGGTTTCCAGGGGTACGTCTGTCTCCGATCGGCTCTCGTACTGGATCCCCCCATCTTCGGTCTGTACCACACGTCCTTTTCTACCTAAAAATCGTAACCGAATTGCGTTATTGTCAAATCAATGTTATTAAAATCTGTTACCTGTCATTTCTGCTACGTTTTCAGGGCCACCCAATTCGTCTATCAGCTGATCCAGGGTATTCGGAGGCAGCCTTTCTCCTAACCTTTCTATGGCTGCTAGCAGCTCTTCCTTCATGCTACAAGCACGTTCGATGGCGTCCATTGGGGGAGCAGTCGGTTTGTAATTCGCGCCAGCACCATTCGATTTTGCTGTAAATTCAAACTTTAACAAATTCCAATATTTTTAATAAATCGTTACGATACCTTTGCTGGTTTTTTGGCTAAATAACAACGACAGCTTGTCCTGAGTCGAAGTCCTTTTCTTTGGTGATTTCTTCTGTTTCTTGCCCTTCTTCTTCCGACTCCAAGGATCGTCGTCGGAATCGCTGCCCGAATTGAAGGGATTGAAGTCGCTGCTCGCGTTCGAGTCGGAATGTTCATCGGAAATCTCACTCTCGATGTCGGACATCTCGTAATTGGAACCGTCACTTTTAATCGAGTCATTTTCGCTGTCGGACGTGGACCATTTGTTTCTCTTTACGGCCCTCACAGCTGCCTGTCGCACTGGGGGAAATAACAGAGACGAATGAATGTGTACTATGCGTTAAAATAAATAAAACTCACTTGGTTTTCGTTTTCCTGAGGAAGTGTTGCCTTCGTCGTTGCCGTTACTGACTTTTTTTGAATTCGAAGGATTTTCTATGCCCAGCAACCTCTGTATCCTGTTACGATCGGGTGCCGGAAAATGTTTCTCCACCAACGTTTGAAAAACGCCTAAAGTGAGAAAAATTGAAATTATAAATTGTACAAGGCTATTGATGGGTAAGGCGTCCAGAGAAAGTGATTTTATGGGCATTTCGTTGCGCTTTTTAATGAAGCATTGTTTATTAAACATCATTTCTGATCCGTTAAATTCAATCATTTACGACTACCCTAATTATCAAATTGGCCACGTCCGTATACAATTCAAATACAAATGTGAAAATAATGTCTTTTCCAATTGCACGCTTATGACATGAAAAGACACGCCTAAGTTGGAAATTGATAAATCGAGACATGAAACTTTTTGTGCTTTTCTCTCTCTTCTTGACTCTCTTCTTCTCTCTATTTGTACACGATAAGCAAAAATAGAAATGGGTGCTTGTAACAAATGTATTAATTCTTTACATACCTTTAGCAGTAGACACAAAATCTGTCAGCTCTCCGTCATCCCGCTCCAGCTGCTCGAGAGTCCTGGCCTCTCCTGTACTCTGCAGACCGATAACGACACATTTCCCCATCTTTATAGCCTCGTGTGCGACTGCTACTGCGTGCGGCACCTTCGCGGCTATACACAAATATTTGAAAAACCTCTGATGGGACGACCAGAACTGTCCCCACATGGTTTTTCGCATGCGATTCTCTGCATCGACCAGCTCAGCTGCTTCGTGAAACTTCTGCATGGCCTCCACCCATAACTTAACGCTGGCGTCGTACACTTTTTCGAAATCCTTAGACAGTGGAACTTCTTCGATTTTAAACGCTACGCCGTGGAAACTTAATTGCCTTGCTATATACATTCCTGCGATAAAAAACAAATATGAAACAACCGGAAGTTTGGTTAGTTAATGAATTGTACCCCTCAGTTTCATGTCCATCGCAACGATTTCCATAGCACCAACGCCTCTCTTTTCCACTGCCGAAATAAAATCGGCAAATTCTCGGAAAGGCGTGCCTTCTCCCCACAACCCCAATCTCACCATGTAGGCCATGTTTCTGGGTTCCGAAGCGCCAGTAGCTGAGGCGTACACCACCCTTGCCTTCGGGAGTTTATTTTGTATTTCCAACACCGTAAGACCTAAAATTAAACCGCAGAGGTAGATTCGGCGGATATAACTAAATTTCTAATAGTGCAATTACCGGTTTTTGTCGGTTTCGATGAACCGACCGGGCACAAATTCTTCGCCCTGTGACATTCGTCAAAGACAATTAATCCGTCGAAATCCTGTCCGCACCACTGCAAGAGCTGTTTCAGCCTCGACTTGTACTTGCCGCCGGCTGAATTACTCTCTCCTATAAGCGCAGAATACGTGCTGAAGATGACGCCCTTTTTGACGTTATTGTTGACGGCCGACGATATCTTAGCGTATTTCAATTTGTTGAGAGCATGCACCTCTATCCTCCCGGCGCCGATGTCTTTGAGGTCACGTTCGGCGTCGTACTTGAGGTCGTTGGACACCGACACCCAGATCGCCCTCTTGCGGCCCTTAAGGTAGTTTTCGAAAATGATGCCCGCTATGGTGCGGCCCTTTCCGACACCTGCCCCATCACCTACAAAGGAAAAAACTCGTGGTAGGTTGCGTCCGTAATTAAGTTTTGGACCTTCCATTTTTTCTTAGAAAATTTGAAAATTTTTGTTAGGAATTTTCAAATACAAATTTTTTTGACTATCAGGTTGGCAAAAATTTACCAAGATCTTACTTTATTGGGGGGGGAGGGTCGGTTCCTCTAAGGTCTAAGGCAACCTCTCAAATATACTTTTTGAACTAACTATACAGGGTGTTTCCTAAGTACGGTCCGTAACTTTAGGACACAACTTCTTTTGGTATTTAAAGAAAAAAAGTTCCTATAAATATGTGGTCAGAAACGCTTCCGAGATACAGGTTATTGGAAATTTTTAAAAATATATTAATATTTCAAATAAATTTGGAGTCTTGAGGTCACCCCATACATAAAAGTCATAGATTTTAAATTTTTTTTTTAATTATTCAAGTTTTTAATAAAATATATACGTTAATATTGTTTTAAAGTACTGTGTTTAGTTTGTTAATCAGTGTCAATGACCTACAACACCGATCTAATCTAATTGAACTACCTAATATCCATCTATACTCCACAGTCGAAATTATAGAGTGATTCATCGCTAGCTCTTGGACTAGTAAGAAGGATGAGGCGTGCCGGGATCGAAAATCCATAGGCGTGTATACGTAAAAGGCAACAAGATGTAGAAAATATGGAAAAAATATAATAAAACATAACATCTATTATTTTTAGAGGTTTTATCGAGAAAACTTGAAAACTATTTTAGTAACATTTTGTTTTTAAATTTTAAGTGTTTTCTATAAAACGATGCCCTCTTGGGCATCGATAACCCACCACCACCCGGCTTACGCCGCCACAAAATATTGTAATGTTTACTATTAATATATTTATTTAAGTAGGTACTTACATATTTTATAATAATTATCTCACGAATATTATCACTGTCACACTTTCACTTCACTGCCACATAATCACTTCACTATTAATATATTTAAATACTTACATATCACATTATTCACATTATATATTTCCTCCATCTCATCTCATCCACTACATACTTAATGTATTGACCTTTTTCTCTTTGGACAATTTTTAATAATTGTACTTTTAGCATGGTTTCTGTATATTCAATATTTTTCGATTGTAACCAGTCCATAATATTTCCTTTTCTCAATGCTGACGTCGGTAACATTTCAACCCTTCTACTATGATAAAGTGTGTTATTCATCACAACAACTGCTCCTGGCTCCAGATATGATAAAACATATTCAAACCATTTTTCAAACACATCACTGTTCATATCTTCATGATAATCTCCCGTTTTTCGTGACTCAAATACATGCAAACCTTTATCTAAAAATTCCGTATTGCTTCCAATATGTGTTATAATCAATCTTCGTCCTTTTCCAGAAGGTGCCTTTAATCCAGTAGAAAATCCATCTAAAAATGCTTGTCTCTTACTCTTAACATTACCATCCTGCCAAACTTTTGATACAATATGACCTTCGTTTACCCATGTTTCATCCAGGTAATATGTCTTCTTACCAGATGCACGAAGTTCTCTTATTTTTTCTAAGTATTCTCCTCGCCATACCACAATTTTGTCTTTTTCAACAAACATACTATTCCGATTCCGTTTCAAATATCGAAAATTCATGTCACACATTATTCTTCTAAGAACCTTATCAGAGAAATTAGGAATATTCTCATCTTCAGCTATTGCAGCTTGAATTTTCTTTCTCGTAGGTGTTTCATTTCTAAAGAAAAATGAATTTTCCTACGTATGGAGTATTTCACGTCAACGTCGACTTCTATTTTCTTCCTCCCTCGTGTTTCCACTTTTTTCTTCTTTGGATTCACTTCTACACTATTTTTTATGGCACGATAAACAGTAGCAACGGATACTTTTGTCAACGAACTACACATATCAACAGCTTCACTTACACTTGTATTAGAATTTCGCGACCGAATTCCTTTATACACGTTTTTTACCATTATTAATTCCGCATCGCATAGGTTAGGGCGTTTATGAGCAACAGACCGTTTGCTACAACCGGCACTTTGATCCATTTTAATTATTATTCCTACGTTTTAAAACGTCCCGATTGTATTTTTTTAATTTATAAATTTACTATAGTCACGGAATATGCAAACCCTCGCGCGCGCTTATAGTTTGACGTTTCTAACTACGGCTAACTCGAATTCTACGTACGTCCGTTTACACCCACTAAAAAGAGCATTTCCCTATCTGTAATAAGTGCGATAGACAGAGATAGGAAATAAATCGCGTTCAGTGTAACTCAGTCTATGACTGTTATAGATCCTATCGATGTGCAAAGAGAGCGGCACATCATTTAACATAAGCAAATAATATTGAACCGTTATAAAAATCATTTTAAGTTTTATACACTTTACGGTAATAGTGTTTCTATATTATGTATGAATCACTCTCTATAATTTCGGCCGTGGAGTATACATGATGTGATATGACAACAGAGTGCTAAGCAGACAAAAAAAAACAAATGACCATCGTTAATTAGCAAAATGAGATTGCTCCCCTATATTACCGGTTCATTTTCTTATATTAATTTTTGTTTTCAGTTTTTTCAATCAGTTCTTTGTTTGTTTTGTTTCAACCTATCGCTACGTTCAAGAGTTGTAAGCAGAAAGACCGTTTCGTGTTCTCCCTACATCTGCACAAACGATTTCATAAATGTACCTACGTCAAAATGACATTAAGATAACCAGTTTAAAAAAACCTTAGCAAGACCAACCTATCAAAAATCCCGCTCTAGACCCATCGGGCAGAATGTGTTCGTGAGCCTGCGAAGCGTACGTTATACTCTCCAGTTGCAACGCCGACAGATGCCCGCCCCGTATGGACTCATCGGGTATAGAAAGCTTATACCAAACATCGGCAGGTGCGACCGACGACAACGATGCAGTTTCTACAACGGGATCGGGATGTTTCTTGCCCAGTTTCAGTTTCGACGGCATGTAATCGGCATACGTTTCCGCCACGCCCAACTCCTCGTCGTCCACTTCTTCTTCTTCTTGATGGTGGTGCATTGGTTTGTTGTCCATCTGGTGCATCCACAGAGACTGCACGGCTTTGTTGCTGAGCTGGCCGCCCCAAGGCGGTAGGGGGCCTTGCGAGTTATACAACATGGCGGAAAGGTTTTGCAGGAAAGGGTTGGTGTAGGGGTTGTTCATGCCGAAGGCGGCCATCTCCACTGGGAAAAAAATAGACGTAAACATTTATATTAAAAAATATATATATATACGAGGATGCAAGTTGGCCACATAAAAATATTTTAAATTGGCAGTGACTACTATATATAAATTATAAAATATAGGTACAATTAATTGTTGTAAAATAATAATGTACCAATTAAATATTAAATAAATAAAGCTAGAATATGAACTGAAAACGAATATGAAAGTGAAGGTTTAAAATAAACTAAAAAAAAAATTTATATACCACTAAAAATGGACCTCAATATCAATGTTGATTTTCTTGCAAATGGCTGATCTGATTTTGATATTTTCTTTGATTTTTATTGAGATATCAGTTTCTTTCCCTAAAATTAGTAATATAATAAATCAAAATAATGGCCAACGCTTGCTCACAAATTTTGACATTTGCAGGTTGTCAGGATCTAGAGGATAGTATAATCGACACCCACCCAAGAAGTCTTTTTTATATCTCAAAACCATGTTGTACGAGAATCACTAAATTTGGTACACAGAGGTTTTATGACATGTGGGATCTCACAGTGCTACGCTTTTTGGCGAGAAACCCCCTCAAGACACTTTTTCGTGAGCCCCTTTGTCTTTGGAACCAGAAAAATTTGGTTGTAAATTTGATTTTTTTTTTTTTAATTATTGGTTAGCTAGAAAGCCATTGAATTTAGAAACTTTTTTGTCTCTTGATATTTGTTTCGTAAAACGCAATGTTTTTGAGGAAAATGGCGAATCACGATATGCACGCATTCGATCACATTTTGACATTTTTCTCGAAAACATTGCGTTTTATGAAAAAAGTAAAAAGGGACAAAAACTTTCTAAAGTTAATGGCTTTCTAGTGGACTGATAATTTTTAAGAAATTTAAATATGCGACCAAATTTTTTTGTCTCCAAAGACAAGGGGGCCCACGAATAATTGTCTTAAGGGTGTTCCCCGCCAAAAAATGTAGCACCATCAGATTCCACATGTCATAAAACCCCTGTGTACCAAATTTAGTACAACAGGGTTCTGAGATATAAAAAAGATTATTCTTAGGGCTGGTCTTCAGGGGGTTGCAACTACGAAAGAGGCCACTTTTGCCACTTGGCAAAAATAAAAAATACGGGTCCCCTAAATTTGTCTTAAGAATCTGTGACCAAATTTTGTTGCATGAATGAAAACAGCCTTAAATCGATGACTCGTACTAGAAACTAGACAATCTTTTTTATTAACTTGTTAGCTATGAAATTGTGGCCCATTTTTAGTGATTCATTAATTTTATGTACGTTTCAACGGCCAATTTGCATCAAAACACAAATTATTTACATAAATTATTTCTAGAACAGAAAATAGAGAAAGATTTACTACTTTTAGATTCGAAGAAACATTTCGCATACCCATCTCGGCAGGCATTATATACTAATTAATGCGGGTATTCCATACAAAACCGATCATGAAAAATGATGATCTTTGACATGACAGATTTCAATCTTTCTTGAAATTTGTTGATGTATAATAAAAAGGATATCAATAGCCAGCCATACGCGAATAGAAGAACATTTCATTTTCTTAAAAAAATCACACGGTAAGTTAAAATCGACTTTTAAGACAAGTTATCTGTTAAATAATCAAGTTGGCAGATCAAAAATATGTCTTAATTGTTATGATAGACTCGAGATGTACCAAGCCTGATGTGCGAGTTAAATCTGTACCAGTTAAGGGGGAATATCGAAGTAGAAAAAAATGTTTTTTTTCAAATTTTTTTTGCTCATTTTAAAGATTGTAGTATTAAAAATATTGTGTGTAAATTTCATATTGAAATTCCAATAATTGTGGAAGTTATGGGTATTTTACGGAAATTTATTAGACATCAAGGTAGGAAACAACGCTGATCAGCAATGCGAGATTGAAGATGCGGAACGTATGCGTACTGCATACTGCAAAGTCAAAACTCACAATGCGACCCGTGAAGGGAGGATTGAGCCAAGGCAGTCACTTATCGCTGCAGAAGTCCAGGAATCGCAGATTAACGGTAAAGTTTTCTCAAGAAAAGCCCTAGTCTATACATATTTAAAAAGAAATTTGTTAGCATACTTAAAAAATACCTACTTTCGAATAAAACAAACCTAGATAAAATCGAACAGATAGTTATTGAGATAATTCCTAAAATTCATTTATTTTTTCCCCTGTCTACTCGCATATTTCCCTTTAAATCAAGTCTGATTTAACGGTCCGTAATATAACATGAGATCTTGGTATGTAAGGATCCTGATACGTTAAGTTCTTACTGATTAAGTCTTTACGATTCATCCGTCCAAGTATGGCAAGCAGATATATCGATTTTGCATGAACAACCTCAAAGGAAACGTAGTTAGTGGAAATAATTCCTTTAGTAAACCGTTAAATATTCTACGGAATCCTAAGAATAATTTATCATGCTAATATCTATTAATGTCAGTATAATCATAATTATTTTTAATTAAATCATTATATTCCAAAAATTTTAAAACGCAAATGATTATGATAATAAAAACAAATATTATTGCTTAAAGTACTCTTCATTGCTAATAAAAATAATTCAAGAAAATATATTAGCAGAACATCCAATTTATCAAAAGTACATAATTATCAATGTTTTCAGATTTCAAAGAAATAATATAACACTATACTTTTTAATGATGTTTATTAAATTCTAAGAATATTTATTTTGCAATAATCTAAAAACCATATATTTATTAAACCGTTATTTCACTATCCCACTTGAGACTTAAAACAGCAAAATTATGTCTCATTTTAGAAAACATAATGAAACAAGTTTTGCTGTAAATATTATAAGAATTTGAAAGCATTAGAAACGGTAATCGAATTGCACAGTCTGGGCCAATTTCGACACTTTTGGAAGTATTTTCTTGAGGAGATATACAAAATGTAATTAAGATGACTCACATCTAATTTATAAAAAAAATAACAAAAATTGCATTCTGATATTTTAATTCGTTTGAGATACAGGACCTCTTTCATTTTTGTCTGTTTCTCTGTGCTGTATATTATCTTATATTTCTGAAATTTTTTTCTTCTTTTAAGAGGTTTTCCATTCCGATTTGTGTATAAATTACGTACAGAAATTAAAAAAAATAAATGTATCAGCATAATCAGCTAGATCACATCGGCTTTGTAATAATAGTCTTCTGAATCAGACAAATTTCGATAAAGGATTAATTATTAATTTTGTTGCCTTGAGAAACCTGTAGTGTGACGACTCCACTGTTACTTTATAGAAACAAAAATTTCAGGTTGTAAATATCAATCTTATTTAATATAAATTTAAAAATAATACGTAAATACAAACATATACCTCAACAGATATTTGACATTTGTCATAATATCTATGGAATATCAACGTAATGAACTAAACAATTGAAGCAACTTGTCAAAAACGAGTAGTGTTGCCACGGGTGGAGACTCACTGAACCTGGGCAATGGAACAGACTATAAATAGCATTGGTGCTACGATTTCGTAGACGATAGTATAAAAACAAAAAATTATACAGGGTGATTCATAACTTATCCAAAAAAATTTAGGAATAGATGCGTGCATGAGAAATGGAGTCAATACTGTAAAAAAAAATTTTGTAAAATCTTTATAGTTTCTGAGAAAAAAATTATTGAAGTTATAGCACATTAAACCACTACATAGCTGGACAACTGTAGTCTCTAGCGTCATTCGCAATACGCGTGAAGAGCCATGTGACTCCTAATACTGAAATCCGTCGTTGCGGTAGTTTTTACCTGTTATATGTGCTATTTACATCAGTTTTTAAGTAGTATCAAAAATGGCTTGCGTGTATAGCAACTCAGAGTTGATGGATATCGTTTTAATTTATGATGAAGCAAGACAACATTTGTATTATGGTGAAGTATTTGTGTTATGGTGAAGCAAGACATCATTTGTGTTAGTTCGTAGAAAGTGAGTAAGACGGACCCAAATGTGTTTACACGTGAGTGGATAAAATTTTGAACAATTGCTGTTGCAGCATCGGGAATGTCAAATGATTTTATTATTTAAAAACACAAATTAATGTTATTAATAATTAATAAAGGCAAAAGCATTTGAATTTGCCGATATAAAATAGGTGCGATAAAATTCTATTTACATATTTCTTTCCTTGCGAAAGTTTTTGTCCGTTTTTATCACGCCGCCATACCGGTCGCATTGTGCGAGGTCAGGTTTTACAGTGGACCAGTTTCCAGTGCCGTGCAGAAGTGTATTTTTAAATCAATTTCAAACTGACCTTTTTGATTTTTTCTTTACAAAATTGTATTTGTAAGGGTCCCCTGTACATCCAAAAATTTTTTTTTGGATAAGCTCTGAATCACCCTGTATTATTCGTAATTCAACTGTTTTATGATTTTTGTTTCTTCATCGATACATCAAATATGATGTACCCTCACCCTGAACTGGAAGCTATAGAAAAATATTTGGATGCAGTTTTCGCTGCTCAATTTTTCTCGAAAATCGAGCCAGAGCCACCTTCCAGTCTATCTCCTTGGAAAATACAAGAAATGATGAATTGGTCCCCACTGCACATAATCCTACAGAGACATATAACGAGCGTTCAAATAAAAACGTGGTCGAAGTTGGCTCTGACACATTGGACGTAGGGCGTAGCTTATAGCGACCAACTTAACCTCATTTCTCAACGAGCTGTATAGCAGCTGCCAGTTTCAATAACAAAGCGGCGATACAGCGCTTTGACAGATGACGTTCAAGTTCATTTGCTATACGCTACGCCCTACGTCCAAATTTTCAGAACCAACTTAACCACGTTTTTATTTGAACGCTCATTATCAGTGATTCATGCACATGCATGTAATGAAGTCGTTGGCAGATATTCTATTAAATTTCAAGAAGTGATTAAAAAAGTTATGTAAACATGAATTTAAAGTCATAGCATATCTGATGTACAAATTATTTGAATCAAGTCGAGCTACTGATAGCGATATTTAATTATAACCACTTTGCGCCTCATAAACATAAATTAACTAATTTCGGAATTGTTGGAAATCCCATTTGATAAATTATTGTGAAAAGTTGTTTAATCACAAGTTTTTCAAAACAAATTTAAAATGATATACCGGATTAACAACTGGTATAAATTTAAAATTTCAGGAAGCTACAATTTATTTTTGACTGAAACTATAATATTTATTGACTATTTGATATATTTGTTTATTTTTTTTTCAGAGTCGCAGAAACAGCCAAATACAAAAAAGGGAGAAACTTCTTACAATTCGAATTTTTTGATATAGCGACACTGCTCCATTTATAATTATTCTAATAAAAATAGCTTCAGCGATGACGATACTGCTACAACTTACGAATCCAACTTATGCAACACGTACACACAGACAGATAAAACTATTACCTACATAGTACCCGCAAGAAAAATGAAAAAATCACATCACTCACAGCGTATAACATTGGACTTACTCTGCTGCAGAAATTGTGCAGCGTTGAAACCTGCTCCGCCTGCCGGTTGCGGCGGGAACATGGAGCCCATATTCATGGGTCCCCCAAGAGTACTGAGCATGTTCGCCATGGCGGCCACGCTGCCCATGCCGTATGGGGAACCCACTGCAAAAAACACAACACAACAGAACATACATAAAAAGATGTACGGGATTGTTTACGTTCTTATTCATTTTTTATTTTTGTTTTTATTCATGAACGCTTTGATCTCTTTATTCCTTACTTTAACAATGGTAGATTTTGGATTTTAAATGAAATAATAATAGATAATTAAAGATAATAATAATAGAAGATGTACGGGATTGTTTACGTTCTTATTCATTTTTTATTTTTGTTTTTATTCATGAACGCTTTGATCTCTTAATTCCTTACTTTAACAAAGGTAGATTTTGGAATTTAAATGAAATAATAATAGCATTTTGCAAATTCTTAATAAAAAAAATAATAAAAATAGAACATAAATGAGAAATGCCTTTAATGAATTATACAAATTTTTAAATCATGAGATCCAAAACTGTTATCAATGACATAATTTTTCAAGTGATATCATAGTATAAATAAGTTTGAAAGGAACAAGAAACAAAAAACACTTTTTACAGACAAAAGATATGGTTATACACCCCATGTTAGTCTCACTAATAAAAAAGAACCATTGCTTTACACAAATCAAAGCGAGATTCACTTACTTGGTGGATTCCTCATCATATCGTAAGTACTGGGGTGCATATTTGCCCCCATTTTTGGATTATATCCCATCGGCAAATGTCCCATTTTCATTTCGGGTTTCACATCTTCTTGTTTGAATTTTTGTTCTCTCGTCTCCATAATAGCAGCTGCTGTAGCCAAATCTTTACCCCCTCCTAGTAAATATATTACTTTGATACATGTTCCACTTAAAATGTATTATAAAAGAAGTGTAATATTTGTAACGATTACACCATTATACATCTACTATATTGTCGACATGAAATTATGAGCACAATTTTATTTGAATGGCTAAAATATTCGTTTTCATCTATTTTGAAGCAACAGTGGTAAGTTTACGTATTTATAAAAAATAAAATGATAAAAGTGACTCACCGGGCACTTCGATTTTGTCGGGGTCCTCATCCTCTCCAAAATCACTATCTGACATATTCTCCTCTTCGTCCATTATTTTTTTAGACTAGTAACAACAAACAGTAACAGTAAAACTTATTTCTGTAATACAAATATGATCGTGTTAATAGTCTACAAAGCAAAAGAAAATAAATAGCTCTAAGTCTATCTGTTAAATACTGTACGATTGAAAAATTGTTTATTAAAGGACTTCACGAAGTTACCGAAAAGAAGCTATCATTTATTATTAATAGTCAATAAAGATGCATAAAAAATTCATAAGACAGGGAATAGGTAATAGGGGCTGAAATTTTTATTCTAAGTCAAATATGGCGCAAACCAACGCCCTTATTTGGTAGCAGAAGATGTATAAGCTTAAATGGGAGCTAAAACATTAATATTAACCCTTGCTAAAGTTCCACAGCAGAAATGGAGCAGTGGTTTTTTTGTACTTTTTGGTTATGAATTTTTAACATCACTGTACCCAGGAAAAAAAGAAAAAAAAGCTAAAAATGTGCAAAATCAATAACTAAATTAACTTTAGAACCGAAATATACCTATTTCCTGAGACATTAAGTTACTTTCACTGCAAAAAATGTAAAAATAAACAGATCATTAGCGACTAGAGCCTATAGGAAAAAATGACATTACCATTTTTTTCATTCATTCACAGTCATGCACAAATTGTTTCAAGCAGGAAAGTTTTACCAAAATATAATAACTAAGTATTCTAGCTATTCACTGACACAATATTAAACTTACAACTTTTTTAGTTCGCGGCATTATTTTATTTAAAAGGGAGAACAACGAGTAAGCAAATCACGCTAAAACGCCATTCGATTACCCACAATGCAGTAGAGCTACCAACATTGATTTCTGGTGACAAAAGAATCGCAAAGACACTAAAAAGTTAGGGAGTTTTTAATTACCATGCTTCCCAATTACTCCGCTAGAGGGACGATGATAATGAAAAAAGTAGGTCTTTTATTTTTGTCACATTGCCACATTGGCTATTACAGTGTTTGAACTACGGGCAAAAACTTCTGCTTCTACTAATTAAAAAGCCTCAGATATCTACGACAGTATTTTAAATTTATGCGTTAAAAATTTTTCATAGGATACAATTTTTGTCTGCTTTTAGAACTACCCATGTGATATATTTAATCTATTTAAAATTTTCTACTAATTTTCAGTACTCGAATTTGAACTTGAACCGTGTGTACTGAGTAGTAAAGTCAACGATTTATTTTTCTGATTCTTAAAGGTATGTATTAAAAATTACAAGATACTATTAAATATTTTACAATTTTTGTTTTTTTTTTTAGTTGGAAATTTATATTCTATCGGATTTAACCTAAAATTTTCAATATGTGGCCAGAAGTTGAAAAAGCAAAAAATGAAAATAGACATGAAATTATCCTAACTGGTGGGGAAATTAGCCAAAGAATTGAGAAAAACGGTTTGGATTTATCAGTTTTCAATTTAATCGGTTTAAATTTTTTAAATATAAGCGATACTATTTTAAACACTATCCCAGATGAAATAGCTAAACTGACTAATTTACAGACTTTATTATTACACTCTAATAAGTTAGAGGAAATTAATGAAAGCCTGTGTCGTTTGGATAAGCTAAAGACTTTGGACTTATCCAGAAACGCTATAAAAGTTCTTCCAGATACTTTGGCGAATTTGTTACATTTGGTAACTTTAAATATAAGTGGAAACAAATTAGAAAACTTCCCAGCCTTGTCCAAAAACAGCAAGTTAAGTGTACTGGATTTATCAAATAACAAATTAAAATCATTTCCCCAAATTTGCTCAGAAGAACTCGCTAATTTGTCAGAACTAAAACTTCATGGTAATGAAATTGAAGAAATCCCTAATACCATCAGCAGTTTACCTGCTCTGAAGCTTTTTGATATAAGTTCTAATAAAATTAAAGTTATACCTGGTGAATTGTCTGACTGCCACAAATTAAAAGGTAAAGGATATTAAAAATTTCTTTTTAATTAAAAATCTGTAATGAATTAATTTTAATTTTTTACTTAACAAAGAAATTTTTCATTGGGCTTTGTTATACTATATTGTAATATCGTTTATTATTGTGCAATAAATTGCATAATGTTGCATTATGTGCCGTTACTAATACTACTTACAAAGTCTACTATTTTAGAAATAAATTTGAAATCGAACCCAATAGCTGATCGACGTTTATTTAAACTAATCGATCAATGCAGGACAAAGCAAGTTCTGGACTATGTTAAACAGCATTGTACAAAATCGGCTGTCACTACACAAGTTACTAATAGTAAAAGTAAGAATAAGAAAGGAATGAGCAAATCCATCGATGAAGTTGAAAATGAAGTTAATACTGACTACAAATATTCAATAAATGTGAAACATGTCGATGAAAATTTTAAGGTAGGCGTATATACATACATATTTATTTTTATTTGATTTGTGAAAGAATTTTATGTAGAATTAAATTAACAGTAACAATTTTTTTTATCACTTAGCTCAGTACATTAAAATATATTAATTTATAATTATATTTTGCGAGGCATGTAGGTATATGTATAAATTAAATATTGCGGGGATCCCTTTAATTATTGTGGGATTCACTTAATAGTCCTGTTATCTCAGTATATTTAGATAACATATTTAATATCGTTTTCACTTATCTATTTCATAAATCATTCCCAGTATACCACCTAAATATGTATTATATATTTTTTATATTGCAATATTTCAAAATTAAATATATGTATTTTTAAATATGCTTTTTTGACTACATGAGTACAAGTCCTCAGTTGTAATTAATTAGTTGCAATAAAAGTGTCAATTGATTTTCTTCGGGTCCTGATTTTTTTATTATATAATGTTTTTTAATGTGTCGTGTGTCAGTTTAACTGTATATCTGAATTAATCACGTGGTATGATTCAAGTAAACATTCACCATTTTGGCTGGCACACTTTACAGGGTGTTTTAAATTTCGGTGGTAAAATGATTAAAAATTAGTCATTTGCTAGAAAATCAACTTTGAATTGGTGCTCAGTGTTAGTATGTGTTAATTTTGATGCGAAATGTGCATCACACACAATTTTTATTTTTTAAAATTGTTAAGTAATACACATATTTTAGGTTCTCGTGATGAACGCCGTAAAAAACGTAAGGGAACATTTTGCTGCTTGCATATTGCACAACGTTAAGTTCAACGAAGAGTCCTTTAAAAAATTCATACAACTGCAAAATAAGTTGCACGATACTATTTGTGATAAAAGAAATACGGCCACCATTGCCACCCACGATTTTAATAAAATTGTAAGTGTACATTTTTGGCCTAACAATTTTTTTAAAGTAATATGAGTGATATACTTTTTTAGCCAAGCGGAAATTTGACGTATACCACCTCGCCTCCTAATGATTTGTTAATAACACCATTGAACAGAACAACGGCCATGACAGGTGCGGAACTTTTCAATAAACTCCAGACCGAAGCGAACAACTTGCGAAAGGAGAAAAAACGCAACACCTACAGCGGCATTCATAAGTACTTGTACCTTATCGAAGGAAAACCGCTGTATCCTTGCCTGCTGAACGAAAAAAATGAAGTCATATCTTTCCCGCCGATCACTAATTCTGACATATCGAAGGTACGACTTAAAATTGATACGAAACAGCTTTATGTTTATTAAATCCTCTTGTAGATTGAAGTTGGGACAACGAAAATATTTGTAGAAGTTACCAGTTCAGTATCGCAGTTCGTCTGTAAGAACGTGCTGGACACGCTTTTAAAAGAAATGGTCCTCCTTTTCGGTAAAGACTTGGACGTGCAGCAGGTGAAAACCGTGGATCACGAAGACCACTTAAAGGTAGTTTACCCCTCTAAAACGGATCTTAATTTCGAAGTTAACGTCCCCATTAAAATTGTTAGGGGGTAGTTTTATACATTATATCAGACTTTATTTGTAAAAGGTTTATATTTTTGTAGTTTTTGTACTTTTACAAAACAAAAATTTTACTCCGCAAAATATTTCATTTATAAAACGTCCCGATTTGACGGTGTACAGGGCACTAAGTAACGAGCAAAAATGGAAATTAAGCTCAAATTTTTTTTATCAGTCTACTATAACAATATCGGAAAATATAATTTCCTTGAAATTGAAGTTTTTATTTGAAATCCGATAACATGACATTGTTCTGTACCCCACAAAGTGACTTCATACCTGTTTCTATCGAAATGTATTAATTTATGAATTTTATACATCAATAAATTAATTTTTTTTTAAGATTTTTCCAAATTAATTTTGAATAAAGAACAATTTACACTTTTTCATATTTTCTTGTACAATTAACCTGTATCATGTTCGATATCGAATAAAAAAAATTGACGTTTTTAAAAAATTGGCACCTGAGGAAAATCTTGTTAGGCATCATAAAATTAACAATTTTATGGAAACGTGATATATTTGACTTTTTTGTTTTTCCTCATTTATATTAATGGCCTACACAAGTGCAAAACGGGATATGCTACATGTGAATTTAAACTTTAATTTGTTCAAATTATACTGTAAAATAATTAATTTGAAGGAAAAAGTTACCTACGATAATCACCAGTGAGGATTGTTACTTATTTTGTAGTTAAATTTTGAAAATTAAAATAATAATGACCATTTTTTTTATTTTTTAATACCTTTTATTGTACTTATATAAAATTTAATTTTTGAATTTGAAAATGATCAACCTCTGTTAAATTTGGCAGGAATTATATTTCTTTATTATTTATACATTATGTTTTATTAACATCGCCTGAGTATTTCGTTTATTTTAATATTTTAAAAATGTATTTAAAATTAAATTGAGGATTTACCACTGTTATTATTTTTAAGTACTTATGTTTTTTATTTATTTGCTATATTTATAAGCTATTGTACACTTTGAATTATTGTGTTTAAATAAAAATTAGTGTATACGTTTTGTATTATTCGACGTAGAAGTCACTATATACAGGGTGAGTGAAAAGTTCCTGCAATTTTTTTAGATATTTCAAAAGGCTCTAACTACCACATAATGCAACAAACCAATACACTTCAAAAAAAACCCTTATTAGATCAATATTAATAATAAACAAAAAAATGTACAGTAAATGTTCAAAATTGCTAAAAAATTACAACGATTGCTGCACATTCTTCCATTCCAATGCCCTTTTTAGTGTTCCACCACTGCATAGCATCTCTGAGGTTTTTTGCTCCATGGTGGATCACACCGAATGTCCATTCGGTTCAGATCTGGCGAGTACAGCGGCCAAATGTCTTTGGCCCAAAAGCTCTGAAATTAATGAATTTGAACGTTCATTGGGATGAATACAGATGGTGTCTTCGGGGTAATGCAAATGCCGGCCCAGACTATCACTGAGGAAGGAAAAAGGCATCGGCCAATGGTTTTTGCACTGGCAATCTTCTGCTGGCTTTGACTGAGCAGCTGACGACGATTTTCCCGGTTGTGAAGTGTTTTAATTGTAAAAATCTTGTTTTCGGTGAAGGGCACCTTCTTCAAGCGACCAGCCAACTGGTTCGAGAGCAACTTTATAACTTAGGAAGTCGCAGCTTCCTCTTGACGATGCCTTGGACGTGTTCAACACCGATTCCGAGCTGCATAGCATAGTAAAAATAATCAAACAATTAAAACAATACTGAAGGTTAAAATTGCACGGCGAACGCAACTAAATCTTTAGAATTTAATAAAGAAACAAAATAACATTAAATCGCTGTCAAAAAAAATTGTGGGAACTTTTCATCCACCCTGTATATAAAAAAGGGAAATTTTCAGCCCCCCTGTATATAGGGTGTAAATGATAAGTTTTGCCAATCTTTAATGGCATATTCTATCAATGAAAATAATCAAGATTTGCACTATAAAAATTTTTGATAGGACGCTTCCCCATGGAGATACAGGGTGTTAAAAGTATATGCATGATGAAGACCCACCTCGTTACAGCCTTAGCCTCGTTTCACACTTGGATAGGCTATCCGGATCCGGCTGGCTCTTTCACACGTAATTTAATTTTCAAACCAGTTTGGCCGATATTAGTCTCAGTTGCATTTTTTTTTTCATGACAAGAGATGGAATGTAGACGCATTGCAGTTATGTGGCTTGGTTATTGCCGATGTCATCGTAATAAAAAAAATAAAAAAGGTGAAAAATATACAAAAAATATGAAAAAGCTAAAGTTTTGTTCCACTGGACAGGTCTGGTTTCAACCACTGGTATAAAAAATGCAATATCTACTTCTAGTGAACAAACATTCGACATAGTGGCATATAAATATTTAAAAAAACAATTGACACGTCCTGTTCTTTTCAATGAAACTGGACGACTGAACCTGGCAAGCACCCGGTAAGTGTGAAAGCGTCAATACAAAACTATGCACTACTACCTCTTCGGTCGCTGGTTAGCCAGTACACGGCAGCCGGGCTGGCAGTGGTGGCGACCGGCTACAACCCAGTGACTGTTCACCGGATAGCTCCTTCCGTCACGTGTGAAAGCTGCCTTAAGACTGTACACCTTGCTGCTGGGTAACCGAATCCGGTTAGCTGGTTCCGGCATGTGTGCACTGGGTGTTACCGTTAGACAGTTGCTGAATAATCAGTATCCTAATCACTGGATTGGTAGAGGACCCATTTCTTGGTCGGCTTGTTGCCCCGACCTGAATCCCTTGGATTACTTTTTTGGGACTACCTCAAAACTATGGTATATCGTACTCCAGTTCCTAATGTAGAAGTACTTCGATAGCGCATTGTAGAGGGTTTCGCGACCATACACAATACGGCTGGAATTATGAGGCGTGTAAAACGATCAATGTAGAGACGCTGCGAAGCATGCATTCCATCCCAAGGACAGCATTTTGAATATTTCTTGCGATGTAATGTAGCCTTAAAATCTCTCACAAAAATATTAGGTATTGAATTTGTTGTCACACATTTAGCAATTAGTAGAAAATGGTAAATTGAGCAACGTAGGTACTTAAGTATCTTCTTATTTGATTTCCGAAATTATCTAAAAACCAGTAAATTTTACGAATACTTTACAATAATATTTTATTGCCACAAATTGATTGTACATTTTAAAAACATTTAAAATTATTTAAACATACGATTTTTTTTCAAAAAAGGTCCCCTACTTCCCCAATAACTACGCCACTGGAGTATATTTTGAAATAAATCCATGAAAAAGTAGTCCCTACTAAAAAAATGTCCCCCAAATTTTATCATTCAATATCTTCTGCCAGTGAAGTTACAGGAAAAATAATATAAATATTTGAAACTTTTAACACCCCGTATCTCCGTAGGGAAGCGTCCTATCAAAAATTTTTATAGGGTAAAACTTGATTATTTTCACTGTTAGAATACGCCAATAAAGTTTGGCTAAACTTATCATTTACACCCTGTATAAAAAAAATATGTGCAATCGTTTTAAAATTGAGTATTTCACGCTTTAGGTGTAAACTGCAAATAAAAGTAAAGCATATTACACATTTATTATTAAACTTCTAAATACACAACAATATAAATAACAAAACGCAAGTCTTAGTACAAAATAAATGCGACAGTTTCGAGGAATAACTAGTATATTATGCTTATAAAGGTATATCATTTTTTTTAAACATCTTAATTGTAAATTTTAATACAATATATTTAACACAGAATTCAAATGGATTATCTAAGATAATAAAAGATTAATATCTAAAATTAAATAATAGATTACCAATATTTATGTGGCTACAACTTTAAGGAAAATGCACTTATCAATAAATTTTGATAAATTTAATATTAAAATGAATTTAAAGTTTCATTTTATGTACTCGTACTAACATTTATTAGTCATTTTATATATATAATAGTTTTCTACGATAACTACAATAATAGACACCTAGCAATTTAATAATCTGAGGATATTTTTAACTATAATAACACAATAAATTCGTATATATTAATTTTTAAAGTCAAAGTCTCAGTCAAATTAAATTCCAGTATTATAAAAATTTTTAAATAACTACTGTTGATAATTCCCTTAAATATTAGTGGTACATGATACTTTACGATAATATTACTCTTAATGGACATGGGAAAGACAAGGAAAATATATATGTTAATTTTAATTTGCCTTCTTCGAAATATTTTTCCTCTCATTGTTATCGATAATAGCCAGATTTTTGGAAGCCACAATGCAATGTAGAAGTGAAATCAAGGTTTTCACGATACAAATTGGTGCAGAAAGGTATAAAATTATTCTGAATAGGGACAGTCCCACTACTAAAAAAAAGGAGGAAAATATTTAATATAAATCCTAAAATTCCTAAAATTGAATAGAAATTATATGATACTCACCTATTGGCCCCTCTGTAAAGTAGAGCAAATATAGTGAGGCATAAAACGCTTCATTTCCAGCGCACATAAAGAATAAAACGGTTTTATTGGTGTAATAAATGCTCATGATTGGATTCTCAGACATATCAATGAATTTATGGCTGGATTTTCCTTGTAGAACCGTTCTGAAACACATTCGCCGTCATAAATTTGTTTAAATTATGTTTTAAATGCGACTTACGTGTGGAGATATATCCAGTGGCAAGAAATATCAATGCACATGGAAAGAATAAACCAAAACATGTACTTTGGATAGAGATGTGCCAATACTGTTATGAGACCTAAGGTACCACATCTATCAGTGAGTTGATCGAGCATCCCTCCAAATTTGGTGCTTTGATTGAAATATCTGAAATTATATGTAAATGACGGATTGATTTGCTAGGAAGTATTAGAAATAGACCTTGCCGCATGACCATCGAAGGCATCGAGTAATGCAGAGACAACGTAACATGTTGTTGCAACTATGTAATTTGTTGGCATAAAATAAAAGGCAACGAGGGCTAATAAAATCCGGGCATAGCCTGAAATTAGAAGTGTTAATATGAATCTGAACATAAATATTGGCATTATACACATACCTATAATATTTGGCACAAATATAAATATATTTTCCTCAGTCATATCGGTAATTGAGTATTCCAAATACCTGTGAACAAATTTTATTGATATATTTTTAAAAGGTTAAATTTTCACTCATGCGTTGTGATAGTTGTGACGTGACGCATGATCACACAAAATAAACACATCATCCTGTATATTTATGCGCGTGTCTGAAGAGTGATAATTTGGTTGCCTATACTACACTTTGATGTTTGGAGTACTACCACAACATAAAACACAGTATATATAACTAGTAGCTATTTAGATTACTTTACATATGTATTATACATAGTACATACTGCAAGAATGTTATTAATATTAGCTAATTGATAATGGCCAATGGCATGCATACACTACGATAAGTGATTGTTAGTGTCGTACCTAAATAGAAATATATGTATGAAACGAGTACAAGATGATCACTCTGGTATTTGGAACTGGGTAACTGTGTACTGTTAATTCTGCTTATATAAGATTAGTATTTTATTTTTGCTAAATAATCCATAATTTTAAACATTTTAAGTAAAAATTGTCAAAAAATTTAAACTTTTGGGAACAGTCACATGATGGCGCTGCTAGCGCTGTCACTTTCTCAAATATCAAATCAAATGTCTAATAAAATATAATATGGCGGACTGCGAAAATGTGGTTTTTAGACAGAAAATATTCACATAAATCAAAACAGTGGACATAAAGACCTTATTCTATAAATAGTTAAGCGAAGTGTCTTTAGGATAAATGGAAATGTGTTTTCTAAAATAAGTGCCTGTGTCAATAAAACTGTCTCTATTTTTAATTGGATCTAAAAAAATGGCCCCATCTCCAAGGGATGAGGACGACAATACTCCAAAGGCTCCCGATAAAAATGAAAAAGCGAAGTGTGAGAAATCTAACATTTCCGAAGCCATCAAAGAAAAGGATAAGGATGAAAAAGTAAGTTGGATATGTCATGTTACTATAAATATCTACTCAATAATTGCAGACTTACTGGTAAAAACTTTTATTTTGATTATTTGTAGCTAAATAATACTGTTTTAAACATCTATTTTATAATTTTCCTTATTTACTTTGATTACCCTTTATTTTGTGATTTTCTTGGCGTATTGGGTTTTTGCAGTATTTTTTTTGTGTACCAATTTAGTATTTTTAAAGTCTTTGTCAAGATGCCTCTACTTTTAGAATTATGCAGCTTTCCATATTTTTTAATCATTGCAAACTCATTCCACAGTGACACATTTGTGATTATTCACCTTGAAAATGAAGGTTCTTAATGTTATTTATTAGTTGTTTTTCTGATTTGATACCTTTTTAAAAATCCACTAAATACAACGACATGAAGTAAGCGATGAGAATTTAACACATTTGGGACTCTGAATTAAATTAGGAAAGTTTAATTGAATTACTAAATTGCTAATAGAAAACAAATTCAATAATCACTGATTCCATGCTTAAATTTGGATCGGTATGCTATATAATTTGGAAACATTTTTTTTGCTACGAATTTAGCATTTTGCAACCATATAAATTCTACTATTAATTACTATTCCTTGGTTTAATTAATTTTTCTTATATAATAACGGATTAATTAGAACATTTGGAGTTTTGTAAGGATTTAATATACGATTATATCTTTTTGGTGTTTCTTTGATAACTGAAATATATGTGCTTGCATTCGTTTAAAATGAATTATTACTTAAGAATACGATCAACACTGATATATTGTGATGTCAGAGGTTATGAAATATTGAATATGATGATTAATTTTTAATTTAATTCAATTGGTATATTATTTAGTAGGATCGTTGAAGAATGGGATGTATGAAATGTATTTATAATTTAAAATATGTGTTATATTTTTAACACGTACAACGTACAAGTATTGTACTGTTGCAACATGTAGAAGTGTAGAAATCTCAATCAAAAAATGAATTTGATTCTGTACCTCCTTCCATATTAATTATTAAACTTAACACAAGGTACCTATAGAGGGGCAGGTACATCATTATTGTCGTTTTTATTTGGTTGAGTATTTTTGTCACCGAGAAGAGAAAAATTTTAATAAATAACTGCAGCAAAAGCATCATTCGGAAGGTTAGTATTATAAATTTTGGTTTGCCTAACCAGAAATGTCTGAAGAAAAATCTTTCCCAGAAAAATTTTTCTTGTTAAGCAAAACTAAATTTATTAAATTAATCAGTCGACTGCCCCTTTGGCATAAAGGTTATTAAAATTTTAAAAAAATATCCAATCGAGTAAAAAATAGTTATATCATGATTTTAGAAATCTGAAAATTTTCTACAAAAATCACCTTTTTCAGAATATTAACATTATATCATTTTCAAAACTAAAAATTATGTCTTCAGTAAATTTTATAAATTTTGTTATAAAATGCAATAACTTCCTTTTCTGTCGTATCTTGTATCTACATTATTAATACATTTTAAATATAGATATTTCTAATTTCTACGTCTTTTGAATGTTTATTTAGCTCTTAAAGTAATGTAAGCTTTGAAAAATTCTTATCTGACCATTTTTTTAATAAGATAAATAATATATTTTCCATCCATTACGAAGTGAATTAAAGAAATATGAACTATTAAATTATCATTTTAATTTCCCAAGTTTAATTTATCATTTATGTCGATATCAGTACTAGGTATTAATTTTGCATCTTTGATTCTTGGTTTATTTAACATTATTACTAGTTCAGTTTTTATACCCAAGATGGTTCAATTAATTTCCATAGAGATGATTTCAATACTTAAATAAAATGATGTTTAATCACGTCCATACAATGTGCTTGATAGAACAAGAAAAAAATTCATTAAAATTTAGGATCAACCCAATATTGTACTTTTGTTCACTCCCAAGTGAAAGAAAATTTTAACAGGAAAATCTGAACTTGCTGCACAAAACTTTGTGTGATTTAAGTAATAAAAGTTGACTAGTTTGATTAGTAAAATTGATGTAATCGTGACTTGCATTGTAACCATTTAAAAAATACCGAAATGCTCAAATACACCTATTTATTATCCTCGCCAGTCTTTCGTAGATAACGAGTACTAAAAATTTTGAGGCTGATGAAATTTTAAAAGATTTTCGTCACGCGGTTCTACATATATTGTAGAGAAAGTTCACATTTAGGTTAATAGATATTTTTATGAAAACGTTTTTACCAAGTGTCCATTTATTCCCGCACTTTACACTTTATTAAACTTTAATGTATTTTCCAAATCGACATAGCTGTCCACTTTTTATAAAATGTAATTAGTACGAATGTGTTACACCTAATTTACGAACGTTTGTTAATTTTTTTAGCGATTTTAATTCACAGCAGGTATAATAAAATTTAGATGTATGTACATAGTCGCCAAAACATAAAAGATAAGATTTATTCGTATAATTTGTGATTTATTCGCAAAAAAGCTGTTAATAAATTGTGTCCTAAACAGTCTATACTTATATTTAATGATTCTGGAACATAATTTAAGAAATTTCCAATAGATTTCCACGTTTGATGCACCATGGAAATCGAGGGTCAGATGACTACATTCAAAATAAATCACATAAATTTTTTTTTTGGACAACCCGGTATGACCGGAATGTGAGCTGGCAATTTATTTTCGCCCACCATATCTCGTGCGTCATCCTGTGACCGGCCGAGACGTCCAATTTACAGGCACAAAGCAATCAGCTGCAGTTGGGTCGCGTGCCCAGCGCAAGAAAATGAAGAATATACCGTTTAAATATGCACGAAGTAGCGAAAAAATGGGTTGTCGCAACTCCTAGCGCTAGTGTGGAGCCTTCGGAATAAATTGGAGCACACGGGGTATAATGAGATTTACACGGTGTCCCAAAAAATCACCTTGGAGTACAGATCGAGAACTATCGATAGTTAAGATCTCGGCTATCGATTATTGTCGATATTTTTCGATAGTTGGAAATAAAAACATGTTTAGTCAACAAAATATGAAATAAGCCATGTATTGGCATGGAAATGCAACAACTTTCTGTCGTTTTTCTAACAATTCAAACATTTCCAGAGCTGTTACAGCCTAAACATTTTCACATCGTTAATTTTATAGTGCTGAACAGATAACACTTGTTCAGACTTTAAATAAAATATGGATTCATTTTGATACAATATTTAAGGTTATGTTCATTTTTAAACTACATACATATTTAAACTGGCTTTTTAAATACGATTCATACTATATATAAATGTTTTATGTACAGATTGATTATATGTCATTATAGTTACCGTGGTGTGAATGTAGTACTACTTGTTGTCCAAAACAAACAAATTTGACGTTTAAGCTGTTCCTTGGTGACGTCATGTGATACACTGATACAAGCCTAGAAAGCTGCGTGAAGCTAGCTGGCTTACGGATATTAATTGGCCAACCTAAAAGTACCATAACTTTCCGTGCTCATATAATAATGGTTATATACAATTCATAAGTCCAGTTGATGTCAAGTCAAATAGTACTTTAATTTGCCATTTTTGTATCAAAGGGTTGACAGAAGAATCTTTTATATGCACCACATCAGTCGTATATTTGGCGAAAATCTGAACATTTTAATAAACAATACGCCATATTGGATATTTCACAGATAGCGCCATCTAGATTTGTGTTGTTAGGTTTTCTTTCATAAAACTTTGATTAACTTGAGGCTTGAGACTTGAGATTAACTCTAGAGTTTTGAGGAAGTAAACGCAGAGGAGTTTTCGAATTGTTAACAGCTTGTCTTGAACAATTATTTACTTTCTTGATGTGAAATACTGTGGTTAGGCAAAACCTAAATTTATAAAACCAACCCCTTAATTGCTTCTTTTGACGTAATATTTATCCCATTCTAGATAAACAATTTGATAAACAATGATCTCTAGACTATTAAGGAAAATAGGTACTCTTGTTTAAATTTAATAAATTTATACTCATTGAATAATATTCATAAAACAAGTACCGACTTTGTTTTCTCTTGAAAACATTTTAAATTTGTATTTGCTGAAAGAAGTAAACGCTACAGAAATTTCAACCAAATATTTGAAAATTTAATTTTCTTTAAAAAATACTTGTTTTATAGAAACTTTTCAAAATAATACATTTCTTTATATAATTCTGTCGATGTTGATAATATATTATTATCCTACAAATACACTTCCGTATGTAGATCTTTATTAAAACAGTTTTATTTAACAAAATTAAATAAGAGAATTAAAAATCACTCCCTAAAACTCACGTAAAATGTAAGGTAAATAATATTGCTTATATTAGTACTGTAACCTGAGGTGTTATTTCTTTACTTATCTATCTACCGCTATGACCAGTATCATAACGGTGTTAACTGACAAAAGAGTTTACTATTAACTTCTCGAAAGGGAGTTTATAATTATCATTAATTAATACTTGGGGACTTAGAAATGTTGTACGTTCAGAGAATGAATACCAGACACTTACCGTATGTCGCTCATGTACAAGATAATCCAGTGGTTGGTTGTATAGGGTGACACTTAAGTTGGAAGAACAAGAAAGAAACGCCAAAACTTCCAGGAAGGGTTTTAATAATAGTAAAAACAAAACAAACAAACAAACAAAATAACGACACAACGGGCTCGAACAACATTATTAATTAATTTATTGACACGCGACAGCGTACCGAGATTCAGGGAATGCGCGATCCATAGCAAAATTTGGAATGACTATCCATTATTAAATTAATCCGAGACTCTAAAACTAAGTAGACTGCTCAGTGTGAAACCCAAGGAAAAACTGCCCTTTCTTTCGAGATCTTTCCTGAATTCGACACTTCGCTTCGACACGCCCCTTTCTTGAGTCCAGACGTTTCTGTTCTTATCTTTCTGGCGGGAACCCTGGATATCGGGACGCTTTGGCATAACTATGCCACGTTAATAGTTATCTAATGGACTGAATTTACATTTATCTCATTGTAATAATAAATAATTCTGTAATTAACTGGACTTACAAATAACCCTAACCTTCCTCTAGTGACTCCGTGTAGCAATACGGGACGGATTAGTCAATCTCATTTAATATATTCTTATAGCTTGGAAAATCCGCCTAAAAACCAGCTATTTGATCTATTATTATTTTTCTAACAACCTCTAACCACTTGTTCTTGGAATTCCTACGTTTCTTGGAATGCATTTCGCGCGTTATTTGAAATATCCTTTATACCAGATGCCCAACACATGGCCCCGACAGTCTAAGTGAACTTGTTCAAAACTACTGTTAAACTTCATGAAGCCTCTCCGAAGGACGGCCTTGTGGCGACGCTAAACCTACTTAAAACCCCTTAACTTTTCGATAAATTAGTGTTGACTGAAATATTTTTTGGCCCATCTGTTCCGAGAACTATTAAATAAATTACTACGCGTCCCGGCTTTTGTTACAGTACTCTGACGACGTAATTCTAAGTTTGAATCATGAATAAGATATCTCGAAAGATTTTTAAGATATCGCAATAAATATGATACTTACCATCCCTCTTTTTACTACAGCACTATTCCGACCATGTTTTGTACGAAAATTGCGAACTGTGGCTGCCAAACCTTCATTATTTTTAAAATATTGCTTAGCAATGAAACCGCGTTCTTTTTTTTTCGTTGGCCACACTACCGCACAAATGGCGTAAATTTTAAATCTTGCGTGAAAACAGCTTTCCTTGTCTGTACATTTGAAATCTTCCAATAATTTATTTCCCTGCTTTTTGAGTTCATTTTTTATTTAAACGAAGGAAATTTCTATTTTCCTTTAATTTTTATGCGTCTTCGCATAATTTTTTTTTTGTTACAGACCGTGTTAAACCTAAACGATGGCGAACTCAAAGCGCTCTTGGATGAAGCCATGAATTACAAAAATCCCAAGGACAGAGAAGGAAAAAGCAAACTCTTCACGGTAAGTAAAAATATATGTGTTAAACCTAAAGTTAAATCTGAAGTGCAAATTTTTTTTAAATAATTTTACGAAGAATATTAAGTACTAGCGAAATGTTTCGTTATAAATGACCAACAAAATAGAGTAATTCTGAGCTAGTATTAGCCCAAACCATGGTGATAGATTTAAATATAGGGGTAACCAAAAATAGCAACATATAGTGAAATATGGACCATAAATTATAAAAAATGTAATAAATATTTCAGACAACGAACACTAAAAAATACATCGAAGGTTTTGGCATGGTACATGATTTTCAAAAACTATTATTATTTTATTAAAAATAGTTTGTCAAGATTTTAACAGATTTCTCTTTTACAAACGTCCTATCATATGTCTTCTTCAAAGTACTCTCCTCTTCACCTCTTCTTTACACATTTTTCCTAGCGGTGAAGCGGTGTTTCCACAGAGGACTCAGAGGAGGTTATGCAAGTATATAATCTAGGGGTTATGCGCAACGCAGTGCTGCCAACCGCATATCACTAAATATCTCCATTAGCGCGTAATTGAAAAAGTTCGGTTGTTTTCTGTACAGACCTTGTAATAAGAGAACAAGAAAATGTAAGTTGTGATTAAAAATCCAATAAAAGACTCACAATGTGTTATTTTGTTTATTTTCACCAAACTTATTTTCGTACCAATAATAAAAATTCGACGCCCATAATAAATTTTCACAGTATACAACACTCTTGACAAAAGTACATCTGCTCGCTCTGTGAAGTGGTGAATGTAAGCTAAACTTTTATATCGACTTTAGTTTGAACTCGTACAGCGCTTAAGCACGAGTTTTTACGGTTTTTAGATCATTTGTCTCGAAGAAAAATGAGTCTCTGGCGTGTCTACTTTTTTTCAGAAACCAGCGGTCTTGTAGGCATGTATTTTCGGTTTCGTTTCGTATCTACATTATTAAAATTAGCAGCTAGAAATTGTTGGTCTGCGGTGAATAGTTGCTGTCAAGTACCCAGTCGATAGCCGTGTGCCAAGACATTATTTTTTTCTGCGTCAGACTATTACAGTGTAATGACTCGACTATTTTTATCCTTTGTCAATTTCATTCCGTTTACGAATTCTATTTTTAGACTCGGCATATGTACACGCCGAGATGGGAATTGCGGTTTTGTAAAAAAAAAACAATATACAGGGTGCCCGGGATAAGAATTTAGGTGGTAATTTTACATGAGTAAAAAATAATGGTACAGTACACTTTTCTGATAACGAGTGTCCAGTTATTACGGAAATTAAAAAAAATAATTAAGAATGTGAGGGGTTTTGAGTTGTTTCAAAAACCGCAAAAATGTTATGAAAATTGTCTACTTACTAATATAAAGGGTAGAGATTTAAGAATTCTGAAAAAAACTGGGAAGTTTTTTCAAGTTTTCTTTTGCACTTAGCACTTTTTGATTATTAACACTGGATCTAGGGCTCGGTTTCTTTTTACCACTCACTTTTAGCTTGGCTGGAGCACTAAGTGTTTATGAGGGTTGACGTTCAAACACACTACAGGCTGGATCCGTAAGGGTGCTGCAGCGATGTCCGCGTTGGATTGAAAAATTAGCCTCCTTGTAAAACGCCCGTCTCGGAATGGCGCCGAGGAGTTATGGAACTGAAAATGATTTTAATTAATGTTAACATTAATGCCCCAAGGCATTGCTTTGGTTCGAATTTCGGAAAATTTAGAATAATTTTTTTTTTTTTTTTTCAACAAATCCGGAACTGTCTCGTGTCTCAGCGATGGATAGCATACATTGTTATCAGTGTCTGTTAAGGCTGTTTACGGCTGCAATGTTTGGCGACAATCTTGGCTTTGTACGGAAATTTCCGGAAAATTTGGAAACATGGGTGAAATTTTGTTTTTCCTCTCTGCGTCTTCCGATGTGCGTACGTTTGGGGGGATTTGAGCTCCGTAAATGGGCTTTTGAAAGTTGTTTGAATTATTTTGAGAACTTGGGTAAAAATTTGAAATTCGCTCGAGATTCATATTATTCATTCTCTGTCGACGGGTCAAATCAGTAACTTAATTGCTTTGCATTTTAATTAATGCTAATTGTTAGAATATTCTTTAGTTTTAACCTATTTCGTTTTACTTATAAAATTATTGTTATACTTTTGTTATTGAAATTTAATTTTCTTATACTTTATACTTATATCAAACTTTAAGAATTATTATAAATTTCATTCTTACACTAATGCAAACAATTAAAGGGTCAAAAGAATTTCCGAAATTTTGCAAATTTTCTTTTTTTTTTCAGAATCCACGAACTTGGAAGAATTTTTTTCAGCTAAGCCAGTACATAGACCAGATAGCTTGTTTATTCAGGTTGTTTCCTTTTTTTTTAAATTTCGATGCGACCATTTTTCATCGAAATATCGGACTTGGATGGAAAAGGATCTTTTTAACTTCAATCATCGATATCTCGGCGACAAATGGTCGTACAGAGAATTGAAGGGCATTTTCGGAAACTGGCATAAATTTCCTAGAACATGCTGCCGCAACTTTTCGAATAAAAAAAAGGTTTTTATCTTTTACACGAACTTTAAAAAACAGGAAAAAAGGGTAATTTATGTTTTTTTTTAGAAAATTGACGGCTGAATTAGAAATATTCACGAAATGACTAATGTTAAGCATGACTTTTGCAGTTCGATATACCCAGAAGAACCCTGTGAAGTTTCATCTCGATCTAGCGAACCGTTTCTTTGTTTCAGTTAAATTTTTGAAAAAAAATTAAAGGGTCACGTTTTTTGAGCTTAAACACTTCATAATCATGATTAAAATGGAAAAAAAATATTTTTTGAGATTTTCTCATTTTTACCGCAAATAACATTTAAATTGATAATAATAAGAAAAAAGGTGGTTTTGAAAAAAACTGTGTTTTAAGTGATTACAGACTGCACAAAAATTAATCAGAAATTCATCTCAAAAAACGGTATGAATTGGGGTCGAAATCTGGTTTGGGTTAACTTTAATTTTAATTTAATTAAAAGTTGAGGAACAGAAGCATAGGACGAAAAGGCCGAATCGTGCTGGAAACAATTGGATTTTGTTTTCTTCAATGTCCAGAAGATTTTTCAAAAAAAAAACAAAAACAAATTTTTCGAATTTTTTTTTATCAATTTAAACGTTATTTGCGGTTAAAATGTGAGAAAACCTCTAAAAAAAATTTTTCCATTTTAATCATGATTATGAAGTGTTTAAGCTCAAAAAACGTGGCCCTTTAATTTTTTTCAAAAGTTTGACTGTTTGAAACAAAGAAACAGTTCGCTAGATCGAGTTGAAACTTCACAGGATTCTTCTGGGTATATTGAACTGTAAAAGTCATGCTTAACATTAGTCATTTCGTGAATATTTCTAATTCAGTCGTCAATTTTCTGAAAAACCATAAATTACCCTTTTTTTCCTGTTTTTCAAAATTCGTGTAGATGAAAAAAAAAATTTTCCGGAAAAGTTGCGGCAGCATGTTATAGGAAATTTATTCCAGTTTTTGAAACTGTCCTTCAATTTTCTGTACGACCATTTGGCCGAAATATCGATAATTGAAGACAAAAGTGTCCTTTTCCATTAAAAGTCCTATATCTCAATGAAAAATTATTGTATCGAAATTAAAAATAGAGGAAATTGAAGCTGAATAAACAAGCTATCTGGTCCATGCAATGGTTTAGTCAAATTTTTCCAAGTCCTTGGGAAAAAAAAAATTGAAAAATTTTTTTGTCGCGCTATTTCTCAGAATTGCATGATAACCGTAGCTCCTAAAAAATTTCAACCGAAAGATCTAAAAACTAGAATCTTGGAGTTTCGGCCTTTTTTTAATTCCCGAAACGACCATTTTGTCAAAAATCACGGAAAAATTTCGGAAATTCTTTAGACACTTTAATTGTTTGCATTTGTGTAGCAAACAATTATTTTATTTACTCTCAATTACATATTAAGTAGCTATATTATTTCATAAAATTGTGCAGTAGGCAACGACCTCAGAAAGGATCTGAGGTCTTTGGCAGTAGGCTATTTGCTTTGTGGTTGCAACACTTGTAACTTGGCGCTGTGTCGGCTCTCAAAAACGCATTTGAGGTGGATGAATTTGTAACAATTCAATATTAGAAAGGTAGGGGATCTACCCAAAACAGAACAAATTGGTACGTGGTCTGAGACAAAAAAGTTTGGGGACTTCTGCGTCTAAATCGTCTCGGGAGCCGTGATCTTACTTTTCTGGGACACCGGGTACAGTTCAAAAATTAGAACGGCCTTAAAGTAAAACCTACGGCAAGTAAAGCAGAAACGAAAATCCGAATGACTGAATTGTCTTTGAAAACATCTGAACAAACATTTATTACATCGATTACAACACAGTTCCATTTACAATTAATTGTGCATGGTAGAGTTATTGTAAAACATATCAGCTATAGTTTTGTTTACATTTTATATTGTGGTGTTGAGCAATGCGTCTGAACGTACGATTTCTAGGTAAACTGAAGTTAAATAAAGAAAACAGTGCATTGAATTATTTTAATGTCTGTAGATTATTAAAAAAAATTGAAAGACGGTTTTTTTACGTACTTTCGTCACGTAATAGGGTGTTCTTTACCTTGTCGTGTGTTGTACGCGCTATTTATTCATTCCTCCCTCAACAGGTTGGCGATATTGTATTTTTGATAAACGTAACATTACATAATAGCTTAAATAATAACATTCGGTATTATATGGATACAATGCCCTTACAAAAACGTACACAATCGTCGTGTATCCAAAGGTTTACGATTAAATAGCTTCTAAGGATCCGCAGTCCTGAAATGATGAGTTGCTAAGTTATTGTCATGTTCGATGCAGTGTCCTTAATTTAGGAAATCGATATCGCTGCGAGGCAGTTCTTAATGGCGTATTTCCGTGATCGGTTATCCCTACGGTGGAGTCAAAGGGACCGTTTCTTTGTTTCCCCCTTCGAAGACGTACTATTTGAAATACTTGTTGA